GTCACTTTTAGAAGGGGATCAAAAAATATTTGTTGAAGTTTGAGAATTTTTAGAAGAGAATTCTTGGAAGACTTTAGTTACCAGGTAGACTCGGTCCCTATTACTTTATTTATTTTTATTTTTTTAAAGATTTATTTATTTATACAAGCACTGGGTACAGTCAGAAGCACAGGAGGATGAGAGAATTCACCAGAGCCAGAGTGGGGAGCAGACCAGGCAGAAGGACTGAAGTACACTGCTGAGGGGAGCAGTGGGCGCGGCAGGAGAGGTCTGCGCACCATGTTGGACCCTCCCTGGTGGCCGGGGATCGAACCAGCGCTGCAGAGGCTGCAGGCAGCTTCGCAGCCCAGCGCTCAACTGCTGCACTACCAGGGAGGCCCTGTCTCTATTACTTTAGAGTTCTAACCAGTTACGGGATTTTTTGCAAACTTTCCTCTAAGCAACAGTGGCATAGGCCCTTTAAATAATAATGCCACACTTGATGAAATGGCACTTTTTAGGATGGTTTTAGACCAGCAGAGTTGTATTTGAAGAGGACAGGGCTGCCTTTGGTAACAATCCGGTGACTCCAAGGTGCTTTTTGGACTGAATCTCTTTAACTGTGACTTACATTATGGTCAGTTCTAGACTAACGGGAATGTCAGCAATACTTTCTCATTGCTTTGAAAGTCAGAAGGACAGTTCAGGGAGATCCCAGAAAAAGAAAATAAGCTGTGATAACATTTTAGGATATCTGTCTGGGGGATCTGTTCATTCATGCAGTACATATTCAGAGTTTACCTTTGGTGCTAGTGAGTGCTTTGCCCTAAGTGCCTAAAAGAAAAAGAACTTGAATATAAATATGAAATCAAGCCATACCTGTCTCCAGTATATTTTTTTGGTAGAAATTCATGGAAATAGCATATTTTAGTTGACTTAATTAGTAAAATTGCATAGTAGGGGTAGTATTCATTCATTGTTGAAACCTGTACTTCGTTTTGAAATGTATAGCCCACCTTGATTAACTTCAAAATTAAGGAGGGAGCAAAAGCCCCTGCAACCAAATGGCCTGGCCAAAATCCACCTGGAACCAAGTGCTGGAATAGTCACACTCTGAGTTTTAAATGCTAGACCCTAAATCACAGCGGACTCATCCTTCTAATTAGGACTTGATTCTCAGTCCTCGCTGTACCTGGCTTACTTGGTCTGCTTGGGTCCTGGACATTTTTTTTAATACTTAATTTTTAAGTTTTAGGATTACAGCAACACTGAGAGGAAGGTACAGAGATTCCTCAGATACCCTCTGCGGTATGTCTGTTATGTCAGCAAGCCGACGTGATGCCTCGTTACCTCCCAGAGCCCAGTGTTTACACCACAGTTCATCTTGTCCATCCCGTGAACCTGGACAACCACAAAATGACATGTGTCCTTCACTGCAGCCTCACACACAGGCTGTTTGCACAGCCTGACGACTGTTTTTTTTTTTAACACTTCAGGCGATTCTGACTTGCATCTGGGTTGAAGACCAGGAAAATTCCAGAACATTGTGGTGACCTTTTGCCTTCTATCCTCCTGCCTAGTGCTCCAGGACCGTTATTGTTTATGGGATTGTTGCTCCAAGAAGGGTTTAGTCATAGCATTCTTACCATAGCTTTTTTTAGATGAGATTTTAATTTTTTCTAAAAAAAAGAAAGAAAAGACTTCTTTAGCACCTTTATTCTGAAGAGCTCTTAATTGCTGTACTTAGAACTTCTAAACAGTGAACATTTGTCAAGCATCAAAATAGCAGAATGAGGGAGTTGGACCTCGGGGATGAGAGGGACGGGGAGGCTGTCTCACCATCTCCAGGGAGTGCGGCGGGCGCGAGCCATACCGCTCCCCCATTCTGGGCTCTATTAATGAATGACCTAGATATAATTTTTGTGAATAAACAATCAGTTTTGTCCCCAAAGCAGGGCGCTTTAAACATGAACACTGCTGGAGCCAGTGCTCTGAGATGTTAAGTTCTGAGAGCCATTTCCATGCACCACAGGCCCCATGTCCTTCTGCCTCTGAAGGTGCCGGCTTTCTCTGGGGTGCAGAGAGCAGGGTCCCTGCTGTCATCCTGACTCATGTCAGTGCCTGTGACTTGGTGACGTGAGGGTTCCGGATTATCAGGTTGCTGCGGGACCAGGGGCCCTGTCTGTGGCTTGTTCCTCCTTCCCTGGGCGGCTTGGAGTGTCTTCTCTTGCCCACCCAGCAGGTGCACCCAGGAATGAGGGGACAGCAGAGGCAGCTCAAAGCCATGCCCAACAACCCATTTCCTCTCATATGAAAAAGAAAAACAAATATGTGTTTGGGCTAGACTTAGGGAGGAAACAGACTGGTGAGATGCAGAAGTTGGTTAATTTTTTTTGCCAACAGTGAAATTTTAAAAAAGATGTATTTCTTGATTTCAATTGCTGTTGCCTATTCTTATGAATAATCAGCATTTGTTTTATTTTTATTTTATTTTATTTTAAAGATTTGTTTATTTATTTATACAAGCACTGGGTACAGTCAGAAGCGCGGGAGGGTGAGAGAATTCACCAGAGCCAGAGCAGGGAGCAGAACAGGCAGACTGACGAAATACACTGCTGAGGGGAGCAGCGGGCGTGGCAGGAGAGGTCTGCGCACCATGTGGGACCCTCCTCCGTTAGCCGGGGAGCAACCGGGGATAGAAACAGTGCTGCAGAGGCTGCGGGCAGCTTAGCAACCCAGCGCTCAACCGCTGCGCCACCGGGGAGGCCCTCAGCATTTGTTTTAATGTGAATAACAGCACAGAGCAAATTCAGCCCCCTGAGTCTCACAGTCTCAAGCTACTGTTTTAGGCCTGTGAAGCATGTGCTGTTCACACCGATTCATGGGTGGTGATGATAAAAATCGACAGGGTAACAGTGACGGTTGACATTTATTGGATCCTCACAACGGACCAGCCACTGTGCAAGAGGCTTTACCTGGGTTCTTTCATTTAATCCCTGCCAGAATTCTTGGAAGCAGGTGGAGAATTGTTCCCATTTTACAGATGAGGAAACTGAGGCTCAGAGTGGTCACAAGGCTAGCAAATGGCAGGCCAGACCCATCTGCCTCTTTTCACTCGGCTGCCCTGTAGTAGGTGTGTAGGCCGCTGCCTTGAAAGCGTCGCCAGCCAGCACTGTCAGCCAGCCCTGGGTAAGACGTGCATGCCCATCTGCAACTATCGCCTGCAACTCTGTGGTCAAGCGACAAAGGCTGGGCTGTGGGGCAGGGGTAAGCTGGGCTATGCTCATCCCTCCTGGATAGCAGGTACCTCTGTTACTCCAGCCCTGCCCTTCACCAGTCCCAGTGTTCATGCCCAGGGTGTTGGCTGTCACCCTACACAGGAACTGGCATTTCTGCCCATAATGAACCGCTTCTAGGGATGAGGTAAAGTTACATATCCCTGACTGAGTATGTCCTTTTTGTGGCCAGAACATTCTAGTCCATTCTAGTACACTCTATGAGGTCACGAGTTACTCAGGTGCACCGAGTCAATCTCCCTGCCCCCACTGTCTGTTGAGTTCAGTGGAAACTGTAGATTAACTCTCAGGTTACTTAACCTTCCTGGGCCTCAGCTTGCTAATCTGTAAATCAAAATACTCCTCGTTTCTGCCTCACAGATTTGTTGTGGGGAATGAAGAGTTAGAACATGTTTAGCTCAGGACAGAACCAGGCTCAGCAAGTGGATGAGTTCCCTGTGGTCATTGCTCAGCAAGTGGATGAGTTCCCTGTGGCTGCTGTAACAACCACAGATTTAGTGGTTTTAGAAAGCACCCACTTATGTGACAGTTCTGGACTGGAATCAAGGCACAGACAAGGATGTGCTCTCTGGGTCCTTGAGGGGAGACCAGGTTTCCTGGCCCTCTTCAGCCTCTTGAGGCTACTCACACTCCTTGGCTCCTGTCCCCTTCGTCCATCTGCAAAGTCAAAAGCGTAGCCTCCTCTATTCTCTCTCTTTCTCGGTCTGACTCTGACCTTTATTCTGTTGTCACATCTCCCCTCCTCTGCTTCCAGCTTCTAAGAACCCTTGTGTTTATTTTGGGCCCACCCAGAGAATCCAGGATGACCTCCCACCTCAAAACCCTTAATCGCAACAGCATCTTTTTTTGCCATATCAGGTAACAGAGTCACAGGTTTTAGGATTACCATGTCGACATTTTGGAGAAGGGCATTATCCAGCCTACCGTGATAAGCCTTAGCTGTTTTTGTAAAATGGGACAGAATCAAACTGGCTAGCTTGAACATGGAGTAAGCAATACTTTGGTCAGTAGAGGAGCTAATGGCATTTATTGAGCACTTGCTGTGTTAGCTGTGTCCTGCCTTGGGGCCTTTGTCTCTCTTTTCTCCTCTCTCTGGAAATTGTTTCCTTCCAGAGCTTTGGAGGACCAACACCCTGAGCAAAAATGTCACCCCCTCAAAGAAGTCTTCCCTGGTTATCCTTGCTTAAAACATGCCCCTGACCCATTTCTTCTAGCATCTCATGTCACCCCTTCTCCTCCTTTAACAGAAGTTGCTTTTGTTTGGGTGTCTGCCTGATGCATTCTCTTTCCCCTTGTGAATGTCTTGTTCACTGCAGTGCCAGGGCCTGGAACAGTTTCTGGAACAGAATAGTTGAACAGTATCTAGCTGTTGGGTGAATAAAGCCATGTGGTTACAATGCTGAGCCTTTAATGCTCACTCTCCCCTGTGTGGTAGGTATTTTATTATCATTTCACCTGGTAGCTATGGAAACCAAGGCTCCCAGTGGCTGAGTCACTGCCTCAGGGCAGGCAGCTGAATTTGCATGCAGGCCCACCTGCTTCCAGAAGCTTCTTACTTCCTTCTACCTTTCTGCCTCCTGGCCCAATGTCATTTGAAGCTGCTTGAGCAAACTCTGTTGAAGACCCCCCAAGCTCTGTCAGATCTGTTCTCTCTGCTGCGGTGTGTGAACGCAGCTCTCCAGGCCCATCTGCTGGCCACCTTGATGTTGGTCTTCTTCTCTCTAGGTCTGTTGTGTCGGGTCTGGACTCCCCTGCCAAGACTAGCTCCATGGAAAAGAAACTTCTCATCAAAAGCAAAGAGCTGCAAGACTCCCAGGACAAGTGCCACAAGGTATTTATTTCCGCAGTCGGCCTCCCTCCTTGCTCCAGGATCCTCCCGTCAATATATGCCAAGGGACCTGCCTGGGGCCGCTGCTGGCGCTGAGCCACCTGATCCAAACAGAGCGAGCGAGGCACTCCTGCCCCCGCTGAAGTCGCGCTCCGGCGGCAGCTCAGAGGGATGTGAATTCAGGCCTTGACGTTGCCGTAAATCCTTTAAATCTTAACCAGAGGAGGCCCTGGATTTAAAACGGCCGGCCCGTTGCTCAGCATGACCCAGCCAGATGTCTGCTTCTTCCGGCAGGTGGTGTGGGTCCTCACCTGTGGCTGAGATGCATCCCATCTGCTTTGAGTGATTCGAAGTCTCTCTTCCTAGTCTTTTAAAACTCCTGCTTATGTAACTGCGGCCACTGCGTTGATTATGCGCAACGTCTCTTAACACTCACTGTTCCTGCCCAGGGGCAGCTCTCTGGAAGCTCCTAAAAGTCACTGCTTGCCTGAGACTCCTGAGTGCAGACGAATCCATAGCTCCTTGCACTGTCCTGGATTTATCCTCTAGATCTTTGCAAGGAGATGGGGGGGATCAAGATGGATTTGGGATAAAAGTAAAGTGACGTCTGCAAAAAACAAGCCCAAACCAAAAAAAGCAAACAGGTGAAAAATGGTGGTGGCTTGCTTGCTCACTGGGTTAGAGAAGTGACCAAGTGTGAACCGAGACGTGAATGAGAGGAGTGACTTAGCATTGTGACTCTCCTTACGAAGAACTGAGCTCTCCAGGGCGAAGAAACAATGGTATTTCCACCCCAGCCTTTGGCGAATTAGCCCCAGCCTTGACCACCAGGTGGTTTCGGAGGCTACTTGAGATTTGTTTGCTCCTAAGGAGCCTCTGCGGGCCCTTTTAACCTGTCGATGTGTTTATTTCAGATGGAGCAGGAAATGACCCGGTTACATCGGAGAGTGTCAGAGGTGGAGGCTGTGCTTAGTCAGAAGGAGGTGGAGCTGAAGGCCTCTGAGACTCAGCGATCCCTCCTGGAGCAGGACCTTGCTACCTACATCACAGAATGCAGTGTGAGCCTTCCCCAAAGCCCCCTTCCTCGGAGGTGGCAATTCCTGTTGTGTGTGTCTCATCCTGTTTCATGACAGCTTCATGAGGCACATCACAGCTAGTGACAGGCAAGAGAGCAGGAGCACACAGGAGCTCCACCTGTGATTGACAGAATAGGAAGAGGGGCCTGAGGTCCCAGAGAAATGACTCCAGGCAAGTGCAGGGAGGCTGCGGAGCCTGGAGATGGGAGTGGCCATCGTGGTAGCCAGCCGCTCAGGGTCCTGAACATCTCCCATCCCAACCTCTGTGGTCCACGTCGTGTCCCACATGATCAGCCTCGGGAACCAAACTCCCAAAGAAGCACACAAAAATGTATTCTGAGTCTGCCCAAAGTCAGTTTCCCATCAACTAGAAATCAGTGCAGCAACCAGAGAACTGAGTCTTGAAAACCCAGACCCTCTGTCATTTCTTACCATGTGACTTGTTTTTCCCCTTTCCTTCACTAGAGTAGACTGTCTTCATTGTCTTGTTGAAATTTTCATTCAGGTGTTTTTTATAATGTGCACAATGAAATAGTCTCCAGAAGTTGAATCACACCTTTTCCAGGTTGTTTTCCCACACGGGAGAGGAAATCTCTTGAACGTGGCTGATTTAGAATAATGCTATGTTTCCATTCCAGATTTTGGCTGTTACTCAGCTCTGTAACTCAGATGTGTATTTCAGTGCCGCTGAAGTGTTGATGGGGCTTTATGGATGAAAGGTGTCCAGGAAATGTAAACCAGGAGGTGGCAGGTAGACTGCTTGGAGTCTTTAATGACAACTGGGCAGAGAACGAAGATGTTGCTACCTTGAATGAGGCAAACATACTTGCAAGTCTGCCAATAACTAATATACCAGATAAGACTCTGTCACCTTTCAAATGGCGGTTGTAACAACCGAGAGAACTCACTAGTTTTTAGTCCTGAACCTATAAGTAAGTATCTGCTGGGACAGGGAAATGGTGATAGGAGACAGGCTGGTGCAGTTAAGGGCTGGACCCATGAAGTCACAAGATCCAGAGGATGTTTCTTGAACCCAGGGTTTTTACAGGATGAAAACTGGAGTCAGCAGCCAACCGGAAACTGTCAACTTTGGTCCGTCACCTGAAGCGTCTTGGTGTCTGCGCAGCAGCTTGCAGCTTGCAGCTCCCTTAATGAACCTTTTCAAACACAGCAGAATCCACAGGGCACCCTATTAAAATTTTTGCTTTCCGCAGAGCTTAAAGCGAAGTCTGGAGCAAGCACGGATGGAGGTGTCCCAGGAGGATGACAAAGCGCTGCAGCTTCTCCATGATATCAGAGAGCAGAGCCGGAAGCTCCAAGAAATCAAAGAGCAGGTATGATGCCCGCCTGCCTGGGAGCAAGGCCGGAGCGCTAATTCAGGAGAGGCATGCTTGAGAGGCAGAGGGGGAGAGAGAGAGAAAGGGGGGTAGGGAGAGAGAGAAGTATGTAGGTCATTTGGAAACTTTAGCTTTCCTGTGATTTATATAAACCAGAGAGTGCTTGTTCTAACTGCTCTTGACGCCTGCACCCCATTATGGCCACTCTTTTCAATTAAAGGTGTAGGTTGAGAGCAAGATGGGCAAACTTTGGTCTGGGGCAGATCTTGCCCACCACCTCTTTTCCATGCCCACAAGCTAAGGATGATGGTTTTTGTTTTTAAACGATTAGAAAAAAAAAAATCAATATAAAGGTTTCATGATATATGAAACTTTATTGGACTTTAAATGCCTGTGTCCATAAATAAAGTTCTGGCAAGGCATGACCATGCTCACCCATTTACAAACTGTGCCTGTGCTTACCATGGTGGCAATCGTGACAAGACCATACATAGGGCCTGCAGAGCTGAAACTTGCTTACTGTGTAACTTTTCACAGAAAAACCTTGTCAACCTCTACTTTAGATTATTAAAATGTACATATTTTAAAGATTTTTTATAGGGTTTCAGATGTACTTTAAGTTTTTGAGAGGAACCAGGAGAATGCATACTTTTCCTTATATAAAGAGTTGTTGGGGGAAAGAAAAAAAGAACACATTTTTAAAAAGTCGTCGGAGCAGTTAAGGCCAAGTTAGAATTACACGGCAGTGCCCAGCACAGAAAGCCATCCCCGTGTGCAGAAAAGAGAATCGAGACCTTTAAAAAGCCCACTCCTTCCCCCCTCAACCCCATTCTGAAAATGCTTTCTTTTAGATGGTTCATTTTCATTTTGCCTCATTGTTTCGTTTTTAGCATGGATTTTTCTGTCCTTTGAAGAAACTGTAAATAGAAGCTTTAATGAAGAAATGGCAATGAGCAATTGGAGAGCTGAATTATCAGCTGCCAGGCAACTCTCATTCACTTCAGAAAATCTAATGGAAACAGTGATGGAAATGAGTGTTTTTGTCTCAGGGCAGCATGAGCGTAGCCAACCGGGCAGTCCCGATGCAAGAAACTCCTACAAATAATTTGATCCATTAGCTATTCTTTGAAGAAAGAACTATTATTTGGGGGTTTTGTTGGCACACTCTTCCACCTTAATATTTTTAAATGATTGGCCATTATCCTCTTGCTCAATAAAAATGTTACAAATAAAATTACCTAGGAAATGTTGCAATCTGGTGGTTTGGTTGCTGGAACAATACTAATCTTGGAGATTTTGAAGGTGACCCGTACAGTTTGAAAAATCTGCTTTGCTAGTTGACTCATGCCCCTTTTAGCAACATAGCTTTCATCTGAAAAGTTTCAAGAGGCAGGATTCGCTCTCCCCCATCGTTTCAAGGTGTTTGGAAATTTGCTTTTGATGACATCCTGGGGAAATGAAAGCTGTGTCTGGCCACCAGAGGGAGCAGCTGGTGTCCACGAATTCTGTAGCCAGAATTACCAGGACATTTTGAAACGGTCGACACCGGTGGTTGAGTTCAGAGAAATGTCTTTTATGATTCATACCACAGTTGGCATGCCTGTGGAGTTTTAGATTTAGTGACTGCTGAAAGTTCCACTGGGGAGATGAAAACTCAGTTTCAGATTTTACTTCTCATCAGAAGGATTTATTAAAATGACTTTGGGTAAGTTTTGTGAGAGCAGGATGTTTGCGATCCAGGAAAAAGCATTTAATGCTTTCCGCAAACTCCTGGTATTTGGTTTGCATCGTATCGATTCCTCCCAGATTTGGCATTTATCCCCCACTCTTTCTCTCCAAAGCCAATTTCCGTGCAGCTATTTATTTATTTTTTAATGTTTTGCTTCTGCTTAGCCACCTCCGGGAGAGGATTTGGATGTGGCTTAAAATAAAGACAGCCAGGAGTCTCACATGATAGCTTGATTCACGCATCGGTACTTGCAACTGCTGACTCCCCTGTTCCGGGTGCCCCCTCCTCTGAAGGGAAACGGAAGTGGGGGTAACAGAGGTGTTTGTGTTGGGGGATTTCTGACTGAATAGGACCATGTCTGGTACTTCCTTGCCACAAAATACAGTTCAGAAGACCTGTAAGGTGTCTTGGCCTTGGAAGGTGGTCCCCCTTTCCTGTTCTGTTCCCTGCAGCACTTACCTGTACCCCAGCCCATGCCGAGATAGGATGGTTCTTACTCTGCCACCCTTGGAAACAGACCTGATTATCTTTTCTCAGTTTTTTTTTTTCCCGGAAGCAGGGATTTGGTTAGCTGTTGGGTTTGTGCGATTTCCTTGAAGCACCCAGCAGAATGACTGCTGCCCACAAACGAGGTAGTGTTCTTTTTGATGCTTGTAGCAGGACGGGGCCCCAGGTCCTCAAGAGCTGGCAGAGATGTTGCTGGCTTCTTGCCTTCCTCCCCCTGGGTGCTGACAGCTCCGAGGAGAGACGTGATGGAGGATGACTAGCTGCTGTATCCCTGTTCTTGACAAATACATTCCCTTTTGGCTGACATAAGTTGAAGAAAGAAGAAGGAGTTTGAAGACAAACCATGTCCAAGATTTTCTTCCAGTTTTTTGCTTCCTCTGCAGTTGGGTGTGTGCGCCTGTGGCCAGGGCCTGCTTCCCACCGGGCACACCGGGCCCAGTACGCAGGGTGGACGGGACTTTGAGGTGCCCATAAAGTATATTAATTATTATTTTCTTCTCAGAAGAAAAAAGACAGACTTTTAGGCCAAAGAAACTGTTTTTATAGGAAATGTTAATGTATTTTATGTTACACGAACACTGTTGTAAAATGTACTTTCAAGTTTTTTTTATTTTGGTGGCGGAAGGAAGGGGGAGTCCAAGAAGGCACCGGGCCCAGGCCACAAAAGACATATTTTGATTCTGACTGAGGGGTCTCGAAAAACCCCAAGTAATGGATATGCTCCCTCTGTGAGCTTACACAATCACGAGCATCTCATAAAGACCCAGCCGCACACATCCACTGCAAGCCCTGGTGCCCTCCTGACCTCTAGCCTTGCCTTCAGTAGCAGTGGGGTAGACCACACTCGGCTCGCTTTCCCCTCTTTCCCTTATACCAGTGATACAGAGGGTGGTGTGCTGGGTGAAAATGATCCCAGAGGCTCTGTTTTCATAAGAATGGCACCTTCTCTTCAGTGGGTGCTAGGGGATGCCTGTTACAGTGGGATGGAAGATTTACTTTCTATCCTGTTTTTTAAAAACTAAAAAAACCACCAATATTTTATTGGTTCAAAACATAGCTGTGCTCAGGTGATGCCTCTTCAGTTATTTCTTGGGAGGACACATCTTAGAGCTGTTCACCGTGTGTTGTCGGTGCCAAAGACAGTCTTGATTGAATTCCTTGTTTTTTCATTTCGATCCCCCACCCCGTCCCTTCCCAGGCATCTTGGATTGGATAAATGCTTGTTTGTAATCCGTATACATAATGAGCTTTGATTTGCAGATAGAGAACATTTTCATACCTTGCCCCAAAGTTTTTGAAACACTTGTCCATTCCTCTGGCATATCCAGTTTTGAAAAACCTCAGTCCAAACATCTAGTTTTGATTTTAGACCTGCTTTTTGGGAAGGGTCGGACTGTCTGGATCACTAAAGGGTTTGCCTAAGGGAACAAGATAACTTTCTTTTTTTTTTTTGAGTTTTTCTCCTAAGTTATTTTGACCCGAGCCAGTGTCTTCTGGTGCTTCCAGATTTCAGGATGACTTGCATTTCAAGAGAAATGTTAAGTTCATCATTCAGTTTTGGGCCTGGAAAAATTAATGGTGAGAAACTGAGACAATGAGTTTCACCTTCCAAGAGTCTTTCCTCTGAGATCCCATTTACCCCTTTGTGCCCTATGAAGGGTTCATTTTAAAACTAGGACCATATCTAATGGCGTTAGGAGCACATAACTTCTAAAGGACAAATCTGTATAAATGATTACCTTTGGAGGAAAGTTGCATGTAAGCAGTTTATCACGGTTGTTTAAAGAGCATCCCTTTTCAGCTCTCCCGGGTCACAGTGCCGAAGGTGCTGTGTTTACTGTGTGGTGTTACTTGCTCGAAGCATCTAACATCAGGCTCACGTGTTCCCAATGGTGTTACTAACGATGCGTCTTCTACCTGACAGCGCTTTAAAGATTTCCCGTTCTTTTCTCCCATCCTCTCCCCTGGCTACCTCTCTGCTCTCCTTGTCTCCAGGTCTGCCTGTCTCTTCAGCACGTCTCCCCTCTTCCCTCTCCACTTTCTGTCTTTTCTTTCAGGGGTTCTAAAGCTCACCTTTCTTCCATTTGCCTGCTCTGTAGGAGTACCAGGCTCAAGTGGAAGAAATGAGGCTGATGATGAATCAGCTGGAAGAGGACCTCGTTTCCGCAAGAAGACGGAGCGATCTCTACGAGTCTGAGCTGAGAGAGTCTCGGCTTGCTGCCGAGGAGTTCAAGCGGAAAGCGACAGAGTGTCAGCACAAGCTCCTGAAGGTAACCCGCCGCTGCCCGAGCGCGTCTTTTCAGTAGAATCACAGGTGATCTTAGCCAGAATGACGGGACTGCTAGCTTACTGATGGGGAAATAATGGAATACCCTGGAAGACTCCCAGTCTTGACTTGTGAGAAGATAGCTGGTCATCATCATTATTTGGGTCACAGTGATCAAGAGAGGTATAGCTGATAGTGTTGTCTGTAAGGTTTTAAGGTTCCTGAGATTTCCCAATATATTTTCTCTCTTAAATTACAGGCTAAGGATCAAGGAAAGCCTGAAGTGGGAGAATATTCCAAACTGGAGAAGGTATTTTCCATCATCTGATCTGCGGTCTTCTAAATGTTGCTCTCCCCAGCATCTCGCTGGTTAAGGACACTCTACACTCTAGCAGTGAACAGAAAACTCTCTTGCGGGTTGATTGGGACCGCCAAGGTCTGGGTAACCACGTTTAGGTTCAGCTGTGGTCCTGAAAGTAGTAAAAGAAACCTTGATTTTTGTAACGCCTGCCCACAGTAACAAATCGGCCCAGGTACTTAGTAACTCAGGTGAGTGTTCCTGCTGTCTACACTTGGGGAGACTGTGATTCTCTTCTTGCCATTTGTAGTTGCTAGTTCTAGAGAAATTGTTAACATGGAGTTTGCATAGGGATTGTCAAAGACATCTATGGGAGACCACTGTCTTCCTCTCCATTAGCAGGTATTGAAGAACAAAACCAAAAGGCCCCACAGAAACTTCGAGAAAATCAGACTGCAATGAATATAATAAGACCTTAATGATGATTTACCTCTTGCTTTATTTCCGGGGCTTTTAATTATAGATCAATGCCGAGCAGCAAATCAAAATTCAGGAGCTCCAAGAGAAGCTGGAGAAGGTAAGCCTGAGGTGAATTGGGGGAACGTATTACTCTCCCACCTCCCCCCATTTCCAAATACTTTTATCTTGTCCTGGAGCATGAAAGATGAAAGAAACAGAATTAGTCACCCAGAGCTGAGGAAAATGAAGGGGAGTGAGCTATTACCTGGAAATATCAGAGTTCTGGATATACTTTTCCTTTTGAGACTTGTCAGCAGTATTTATTTTTAAAAACCAAGTTGTATGAGACTCTCAAGTAAAAGTTCTAATTATATTACGACAGAACCCAAGAGGCTAGCTTCTCTCCCTCCAGGGGCCAGGCTCCACATTTTGCACATTTGTAAGAGAGATATGTGCTGCTCACGATACAGACTGTTCTCAGTCCGAAGCGCATTCCCTGCACCGGAAGGCAGGCAGGCTGCAGGAGCCCTGGCCTCGTCCTCTGGGCCGCTGCGTGATTGTGCTTCTGAACTGGTGTGAGCTGGCTGGGTTTAATAGAGCCCTTTCTCACTTGTTCTTTTCTTTTTTTAACTCTGGTAAATAACCACTGACATGAAGTTGACCATCTTAACCGGTTTAAGGACAACGTTCAGTTCAAGAGTGCTTAGTGCATTCATGTTAGCTTAGTGCATATCTTGCAGCAAATCTCTAGAACCTTTTCATCTTACAAAACTGAAACTCTATAACTGCTGAACAGTAATCCCCCCACCTGCCCCAGCCCTTGGTGACCACCCTTCTACTTTCTGTTTCTGTGATTTTTGCTGCTTTAGATTCTTCTGTGGGTAGAATGGTATTTGCCTTTCTGTGAGTGGCCTATTTCGCTAAGCACTTTTTCCTTGAGGTTCATCCACATTGCAGCAAGTGACCCTCCCTTTTCAAGGGAGGATGTGTTCCTTCCTTAATATTCTGTTGTAGGGCCACCCTGGTAGCCTGGTGGCCTGGTGGACTAGGGGTTAAGTCTCAGCACTATCACTTCTACAGCCTGAGTTCAATCCCTGGCCAGGGAGCTGATCCACATGGCGCAGATGACCTACCCTGTCTTGCCCGCTGCTCCCCTCAGCAGTGTATGTCAGTGGATCTGCCTGTTCTGTTCCCCACTCTGTCCCTGGTGAATCCTCTCACCGCCCCCACCTCTGGCCTGTACCCCAGTTCTACACACACACACACACACACACACACACACACAGATTCCATTGTCTCTATATATTACATTTTCTTTCCTATTCATTGGTCCCTTCCTTTCCTGTACTTGAGCTCCCTAATGAGAGCCTCTGCTGTCCTCTTTTAACGAGAAGCTCTTGAGGATTCATGTTTTTATCTGAGTGTGATGTAAGTCGCAAATGTCAGCCCCAGATGTAATTTAAAGTTTTCTTGTAGACACATTAAAAAAAAAAGTAAAATAAGTGGAATTATTTGAATGATGTCATTCAGTTAACCCAGCATTTCCAGAATATTAATATAGCCTATCAGTATTAAAACATTCACACTGCTCCCAGCTTTAAATGAATTCAACTTAAAAAAAATTAAAAATTCATTTCCCACCCACATTTCAAGTGTTCAGTGGCTGCTGTGTCCAGTGGCCGCTGTGTCCCATGCTGGCCAGTGCTGGTCTGAAAGGTGAAGCTTTCCCCCCCCCACTTCTACAATTTTTAATTTAAAGCAGTAAATGTGAGATTGTTTGTCTCTTACATCAGATCTTTGCTATGATGCTGTCAGATCTATAGTCTACTGAAGACCCAAATAAAAACTAATTTCAAAAGGTTCAGCTGTATTTTAAACATGAATTTAGAAAACCATGGTTGGTGTGGCCTTTCAGAGGTATTTATTTGAAAAAAAAGTTTATAAGTTTCATTTTGTTTTTTTTGGAAAGTAACACAAATTAACAAGGGAGAAAATTAATGCTTCCAGGTAAATACATTAACATCTGGGTAGATCCATCCTTCTAGATCTTTCTGTTCACATTTACTATGTAGCATGGAATCTATTGATGGTCTGATGCATCATTATCTTCTCTATCCCACGAAAGAAAAAATGTCAGTTTAACTCTAGGATGCGTTCTAAATTCAGTGTAGCTCAGAATTGATGATGGTCAGAGAACAAGATGAGTGTTGATATGTTTTGAAGAATGGAGATTCTGTATATTCTCAGTATCACTTGCTTTTTCTAGAATTGTCACCACCTTCTCTCTGTGATTCAATTTGGCCCCCTCTCCTGTTCTTCTCTCCTGGTAGGCGGTAAAAGCCAGCACAGAGGCCACTGAGCTACTGCAGAATATCCGCCAGGCCAAGGAAAGAGCCGAGCGTGAGCTGGAGAAACTGCAGAATCGCGAGGACTCTTCAGAAGGCATCAAAAAGAAGCTGGTTGAAGCCGAGGTGAGCAGGGGGCCTCTGGCTGACCCCGCTCCTAGGCCCAGCGTGGCCTTGTGTAAAGGATTCTGCCCACCGGCCCTTGGCTGCACCAAGGGGAGAAACGGCCACCCCTTGCTTGTGTCTGACCAGACCTTTTGCCCTTCTGTAAACTCCTGTGGAACTCGAGAGGCTCAGAAATGTTTCCCCCAGAGGGGGCCGAGATTGGTCACAGCAGCTTCAAGTAGGACGATGTGCTGATAACAGCTTTTTTCTTTCTGTTTGTTTTCCTCTGGCCTGCTGGCTAGTCTGATGGTATTTATGTCAATATAGATGAGCTGTAGCTCTGCCCCAAGTTTCTCTTTTTCTTCCCTCTGTTTCCTTGCATTTCCTGGGCTTCTCCCATGGTGCTAACAACAGATTCACTTTCAAGGCTGCAGCTGTTACCGTGTGTCGGTGACTCCCAGATCTGTATTTCTGGGCCTCTCCTCTTCTTAAATTCTTTGTTGTTGTTGTTGTTGTTGTTAAAATCATTTATATAATTACACAGGAAATACATGAGTGTCTTCTCAGTGTCAAAGCTTACACAGTACCGAAGATTATAGAACAAAACGTGACACATCCTATTCCTCCTCTCCGCCTCTTCCAACGCCTTGGTGATGGTTTTTCGGAGTGGATGTGCTAGTTGGTTCAACTATCCCTCTGTGGCTGGGCCTTCTGCTTTCCCTGTCATGGGGTGGCCATGAAGCTCCTTGCACATGTCTCTTTGGGCCCGTCTTCACCCACGTCCCAGGCCGTGTTTCCCTCTGCTCCCAACCTTCTTGACTGAGTGTCTGAACAGTACATCGAATCTAGAATGAACTGTTTCTTCCCCCACAAAGCTGGGTTCCCTTCTCAATTTCCTCCTGCCAGTCAGAGTCACCACCATTCATCTGGTCACCCCAGCCTTGAAACCTTGACATCATCTGCTTCTCCTTGGATCCTGTCACTGAATGAGTCATGCCACCCTATAAATATAGCCACACACCCCCACCCCCCTGAGTGCTGGCCACTTCTGTAAGCACCGCACAGGCCAGGCCCTCTTCCTCTTAGCTGAGCAGGTATGGTAATTTCTTGGTCTTCTGGTTCCTGTCTCTCCTTCCCAACTAGCTCATACAGGCTCAGACTTGTGGACCTCAACCACAAGGCTCATCAGTACCCCCTGCCCCATCCCAAACCTTCCAGGGCTTCTGTATATCTTAGGTGCACCTCTCAGCCCAGTATCTGAAACTCTAAACCCTTTAATCTGCAAATGTGTCCCTTTCACATTTTCTCCTGCTCCTCCTCCCCAATATATCTTATGCGGTAGCCACTCTGGCTTCACCTGGGGCCTGAGCTGGCTCTCCACCACCTCTGAAGCACCTGCCTTTGTCGGGAAAGCCTTCCATCCTCCTCGCCTGCCTTCCCCACCCCCGCCCACCCTCTCCTGGCCCTCTCCAGAGCTCACATCTACTCTGCCTCTTTCTCTCACCTGTTCAGCTAAGTCCTGTCTTCTGCCTGCCACCTCCCACAGTGCTCCATACCTACTTACCCTATGGTTCTGCCCCCTCTTAACTTATCTGATGTTTATTTGTGTTTATCTTCTCTTTTCAAAGGACAGGAATCATGTCGACTTCCTTCTGTGTTTTCCAAGGTGCCTAGGGGGGTTCTTTGCAGATAGTAGGCGCTTGGTAAATATTTGAATGAATGAATGCACTCTTGTAATCTACACCACTGAATCCTGGAATCATAGTCTTCTTTCCTTTACTGTTGCTTCGGTGCCTGAGACTTCTTTTCCTGCCTGGAGTGTGTACTTCCTGAGGGCTCTCTCCCTCGGTATAGGCATTGTGCCCATAGTGGTTTTGCCATTAAAACTCTCTGATTGATTCATGACCTACAGGAACGCCGCCATTCTCTGGAGAACAAGGTAAAGAGGCTAGAGACCGTGGAGCGTAGAGAAAACAGACTGAAGGATGACATCCAGACAAAATCCCAACAGATCCAGCAGATGGCTGATAAAATTCTGGTGAGCAGGAACGAAAGTTGAAAAGTTGAAAGCTAACAGGTTAGAGGTTGCAGAGGGAAGGGGGTAAAAAGGATTAACACCGTAACAGGGGAGGTGTCCCCGAGTAGGTGAAAGAAGAGAAGTGGTTTTAGCCCTAGAATAGTGTGATAACCAAACGTGGGACATTTCCGCACTGGTCAAAAGATCCATCAATATTATTTTTTTGCTCTGTTTGCTGCTGCCTGACATTTTTCAGTCCAAACGCGCACACTCTGTCATTTCCAATGCATTTTTTTCAGGAGCATTTACGTACTTCTCTCAGCAGAGAAGTACATGTGGCCATTAATTTTGCAATGCCAATTTAAAAAAAGCCATAGGGACTTAGTCCTTTAAGCTCGAAACCCAGATTCTTGCACTTGGAGAAGAAAGAAATTAGTCACGCAGAGTTGTTTTTCTCAGTATAGTATTTGTCAGAGATCCGTGTTCACCCACTCACTTTCTCTGCCTCAGTTGGTTATTATTATTATTATTTTCAATTTCCTTAGATGTAGCAGGTCTTTTTTCAGGCTTGTAATCTTCACGATTCTGTTTTTGGCTCTGTTGACCAAATTAAATCAAGGGAGGCTCGGGTGGTCCTTGCAGATGTACTGAAGTATTGCCCCTGCCAGAGGGGCAGGCAGGTGAACCTTTATAGGGCTCTCCCTGGATCTCGGGCCCAAAGCAGAATGCAGTGCCGCATTTGGGAGCCTAAGTGATGATTTGGAGTCTGTTCCTAGCCTCCTCCTCCCAGCCCAGGAGACTGGAGTAGTCGGCCTTGCTCTCCACCATAAGGGGGCAAGGTTTTGAGCAGGGTCACTTCATCCCCTCTTTCTCTCTCTATCTCTCTCTCTCTCTGCGCATCACTTCTGGGAAATGAGTCACCAGCAGCTATGTGACCTCAGTAGTGGCCAACTTACAGGCCTGTGCTTTAAGCCAAAAGGGGGTAAATAACCCTTCAGAACCTTACATTTCTGTGTTTTTGTACATTTACACATATATGGGTGCTCTTGGGCAAACAGGTAAAGAGAAACTGGTTAAATTGTTTTTTGCTTTGACACCCAGTCTTCATATATACGTCTGCGCACGAAGGCAAATGTGACTGTTAGTCTGCTCTCTCTGTTCTCTTGTTCCGTCATCCAAGTTTCTCTTGGCAATTGTCAAGTGTGGAGTGAAGTTAGATCCCGTTGAGATGCCACCACCACTCTCTCTTGCTTGGTACAGACAAAGTGGCTGAGTCTCTTGTGGTTGCACAGTGTTTCTCTGTTTAATGGTGATGTGTTCATTCATTCATTCAACAAATATTTAATGAGCTTCTACTATGTGCCAGGCACTGTTCCAGAGGCTAGAAATACAGCAACCAACCACAGTGTTTGCATCACGTGACTGAAGAGTTTGAGCCAATACACCTAGAAAAGATATGTTTAAAAAATGACAACAACAACAAAAAATGCCAAACTGCCAAGAAGTCAGATTTTAGAATTTCTGCTGTTCCAAAGGTTCATTCTCAATGAAAATGTTGGAGTCCAGAGTTCTGCAGTCTTGCCTGCTGGGTTGTAAACTCCCAATCATAGGTAGACCAGAAATTTCATCTTAAAGTTGTCAGAGTTTTGGACCCAGTTTTAGGATTCTGACTTCATTCCCGTGCTATGTTATGAGGACTGAAACTAAGAAAAGATGATTATTGAGTGATTTCTAACATGAAGAAAACGTAAGCAGATTTCTTTGTCTGAGTGTGTCTTGCCACCTGCCTGAGTGCCTTTGTGGTTGTGACTTCGTTTAGTAGAAGGTTCCTTCTGCTCCAAAACCCTGTGCTTAGGCCATGAAGCATATGGGACATGGGCAAAGAATGGTCTTTGATACTGTTCTATAATGATGATGCTTGGAAACACACCCTCCTCTCCCTACCCTTCCCCAGTGTCATTTGCCTTAAAATATTTGCTCTTCTGATAAGAATTTTCCAAACAGATAATTGGGGTTCTCATTATAGCAAAGTCGTTTGCTTTAAGAGGAGAAGTCATTGCAGGGACCCTTTAGTACACATAAAGCCCAGAAAGTATGTTTTTATTAATTAAAATCCTGTTTATAGTCAACTTTTCAAGATCACATCTGTTAGATTGCAATAGAGCTTGTGCACCTGGTCCTATAATCGAACACTTTAATGGCCCTCAAAGCAAAGTCAATGCTGTAGACTTTAGAATTTCAAAAGCTTAATCAGTAACATTTTCTGTGCATGTGAATCTGAACGTATTTTTTTCTTCTCATTTTATGGACATATCCTGTATAATTTCCTCATTCTCCAAAATTCTCATAATTACTTGCACTTCAAAGAAAAATTTCAAATAATGTGAAGAGATGAAAACTTGGAGTAATGACTTTTGATATTAGTAATTAACTAATGGGTCCAGATTCATAAGAATTAGATGCAGATATTTGCATTTAGAGACTGTTCCAGTGAGTTGAATGCTGCCTTTTATAAGATCTGTACATAATACATTGGCAAATGAATTGGTATGATTTTCAAATGAATTAAATTTTATTTAAAAGCAAAGAAATTAAAAGAATGAAGAGAACTTTAAATTGGAGCTATTCTACATTACTCCAAATTTTCTTCCCATTGTCAATGTATGTGCATCCATATTTTTGTCATTATTATCAGTGTGTTTTATGTTCCGCTTTGTTCCCATTAGCGTTGCATCATATAAACACAATACCATGTGAGCATCTTCCACATACCAGTTAAAATAAGCTTTCAAAACTCAAAGTATTTGAATGGTAACATTAGTTTTCGTTCTTCACTAGGGTTCTTGAGCAATAATGTTGTTAATGGGGGAAAAAATGAGTTTTTTGTTGTCATCAATTAGATTTACCTTTAAAATAGGATCACTTTTCTAATTGAAGCTTTCATGGCAGTGAAAATGACCTGAGACTCAAGATAGTGGTGAAGGGCTCTGTACTAAACTTTCAAATGTTGCCTTGTTCCTCTTATTTCTCTATGCAGAGATGAAGAACTGCCTTTGTTTGAGCTGTCCTGGCAGGTTTCTGCTCCCAGCCCACTAGCTGTGTGTGTCTTGTGTGAATCCTTGGACTTGGAAAACCCAGGGCCAAGGCTTGGTGGTAGTTTCCTTCCCAAGATGCCTGAGGGCTAGCAGTGAAGGAACAGATGCCTGTTACCTATGGTGCCTGTGCCAAAGTCATGCTTCCTGTGAATGTCTAACATACACTGGCCATGTCCTGCCCTTTGCATACCTGACTGTCTGTCTTTTTGTGTCCAGGAGCTAGAAGAGAAGCACCGGGAGGCCCAGGTCTCAGCCCAGCACTTGGAGGTGCACCTGAAACAGAAGGAGCAGCACTATGAGGAAAAAATTAAAGTAAGATACTGTGGGGTTTTTTTGAAGATTTATTTATTTATGCATACAAGAACTGGGGTACAGGCTAGAGATGGGGAGGAGTGTGAGAGGATTCACTAGAGACAGAGTGGGGAGCAGAACAGGCAGACTGACCGAAATACACTGCTGAGGGGAGCAGTGGGTGAGTCAGGAAAGGTCTGCTGCACCATGTGGGTAGCTCCCTGGCTGGAGATGGAACTCGTGCTGCAGTGGCTACAGACAGCTTCATAGGTTGCATCTTAACCCCTTGCGCCACCAGCAAGGCCCAAGATACTGTTTTTTTTTTTTTTTTTTTATTTGCCTTGGTATTCCTTCTGTAGCTCTGTAACTGGGCAGGGAGACTAAAAATGGTTACCAGGTCAGAACCACTCTCATCATTTCTGGGTCCTAGCACTTGCCACCACAAACGCAAACAAAGGGGTTTTGGTGTAGCAAAGGGAAGAAGAACAATTTATTTTAACTAACAGGGTAGAGGGAGAGGGAGAACTAACAAGGTAGTGTGAGGCAGAGAAGGTCCAGCTCTGCCCTGTGGTATGGACTAGAGCTGTAGGTACAGGAGCTAGCAGGGTGCAGCAATATCTGCCATCTGGAGTCAGGGCCTGTGGTGCCCCAGGGCAAAGCTTTACCAAGTCCTGCCAACAATGGGACAATAGGTATGGCAGAGGTCTGCTGATGCTGAGGAGAGGGAGCCCTCCTCCTGCCCTGGGAGTGAACATCTGCTAGCTGCCCAGCAATGGCAGAGCTCATGTGTATGGTACCCTTTTAAGGCTCTCAAAATGGCCACTTAGCTCCACCCCCTTTCCATTAGCCCCGCTCACTTAGGATGTCGTGGCAGAGACCAGACTCCTGGCACTGCACAGGTGTTGTCCTCTCTGGCTTGGGCAGTATCTGGATGTCAGGTGGTGGACTTTGGCCTCTCATCCTGTGGGAAAAGCACTGTGGTTTGTGCCCAGCCTGGGAGGCTAAGCCTGCTGCCCCTGGGTCTAGGGAGTGCAGGATTTAGTTGCCCCTGACATGCTCCAGCAGCTCTGTATAGTTTCCCTTCTGGGGCATTTTGGGCCACTTAATGATCAACCAAATAACTGTTTAGGGTAAATGTTACCTGGGCCCTGATATGGGAAACTTGGGATATTACTCATGTACGGTTTGGGTATCTGTAGTTACAAAAAATTTGTCATGTATCTCAAGTCCATCTTTAAAGTATTTTTTTGGCCTACTGTCATTCAATCCATGATAATTTAGATTTAGCCCAGGCTCATCACATTCTTTGCTTTCAATATCCTTCCTGTATCTCAGATTTGGGATCCTATACCTTTGTTTAAAAATATATCCTTGAGGACTTTCTTCAGTGAAGATCTGCTGGTGATAAGTTCACTGTTTTGTTTGTCTGAAAATGTCTTTATTTTTTAGTCTTGGAAGATGTCATGACTGGGGATAGAATTCTAGGTTGGCAATCGTTTGTAATAATGCTCTTGAGAATATTCCATTGACTTTTGGTTTTTATTGTTACTATTGAGAAGTCAGCTGTCAAACTGTTGCTCTCTTTCGAAGTAATTTACTTCTTTTTTTGGCTACTTTAAAATGTTTGCTTTGTCTTTAATTTTCTGAATCTTTACTGTGATGTATCTAGATGTGGACTTCTTTTTATTTATCCTGCTTGAGATATACTGGGCTTTTGAATATAAAGGTATCTTTTATCAATTCTTGTAAATTTGGGGCTCTTATACCTCATGTATTGTTTTCTCCCCTTTTTTCTTCCTTCCCTGTTGAAAATGTGATTGGGCGTGTGCTACTTTTTTTTTTTTTTTTTTCATTTTTTTTATCTCTGTTATCCTGACTGAGTTCTAGTTTTCTGAACTGATTTTCTAGTTTTCTCATCCTTACCTGTCCAAACTGCCGTTAAACCCACTCATTGAGTTTTAAATTTCAGCTATTTTATTTTTTTGTTTCTATTCTATTTTGTTCTTTCCCAAATTCACTAGATTAATGAAGACAGTAATTTTCTATTCCCTGCATTCATTTTCAAAGCTTGACTCTTACTCTTTAAATGATTAAGGCATAGTTGTTTTATCAGCTGTATGTGGTAATTCCAATATCTGAGCGTCGTTTTTTTGCTATGTTGTTTCTCTTGGTTCTTTTTCATGGCACCTGTCTCCTGTGGTGGTGAACTGCTTAATTTTTTTTGTGGGGGGGATTATTAATAGGAGTTATTTGAGGCTTTGAATGAAAATATGTGGTCACCTTATTAGGTGGCTCCAGACTTTTATAGCTCTTACCCTTTGAGGCTATTACAATGAAGCTCAAGTTTATTAAGTTCAGCAAATACCAATAAACAATTTTAGCTCTTCTTGACACTCTGGGCTGCTCTGTAATTATATTCCTACCATCCAGACAAAATCCCAACAGAGCTTTTGGAAATGTTTTCTGTATTTTATTTAGCCTTGTTTAATTTTTCATAGAAGAGCTGGTCCAAATAATCTAGCCATATACAAGAAAAATTCAGTTGTTATTTCAGTTATTGAAGTTATTATTTCAAGTCTACCCTTATTAATAAATTCAGTTATCAGAAGTGAATGCCAGCCTATTTCCTTTTAAAATCACCTTACAATTGCATTATGATTTTGGACAAAACCTTTAATTCAGTTCATATATTATTGAGAACCAGACATTGGTCATTACATCACAAATAGTGTTTATTCCCCTTCCAATCAGGTATTGAAGGAGGCTTTTAATTTTTGTGATAATGCTATTACTGACTTGATTGGTATTCTCGGAGAGTTGCCTATTCCATTTTTGGAGAACCAAACACATACATGCTCATGCAGCATTACCACCTTCTTTTTTTTTTTTTTAACTCCTGGTGTTATTTTGGGTTATTCATCATTAAAAGAAATATGGGAAAACAACACTGAAGTGACTTCAAAGTGTTTTTGGTGTGGCTCCCCCACCCCCAATTTAATGCATTTTAAACTTTATATACCAATCTATGAATTACTAATGACTTCCTGGTTTTTATCTTTGGGGTGAACTAACTTTCAGAAAATTCTGAGAATGTACATAATAGTTCACTGGCACTTTTGCATGACGAAAACCCTTTACAGAATTCATCCTCTGATTTGAGTGATTATATTGATTTTCTTGTCAAAAATTCATGTTCTATCTTAAATTGATATAAATGTCTCCAGTGGAATCTCTCCTCTCCTCTCAAACAAATTCTTTGCTCCCCACCCCCATGCATCTTCTTGTTTGTCCTTCTGCCAGTTTAACCCTGTCAAAACTGAGATGCGCAATATGATCCACACTTCCCTTTTGTTGGTATCCATTACCAGCAAAGTTGGGGTCTTCGAGTCACCCTAAAAATGTGCTTGGTTTTTATGGTTTAGCACTCATAAAAAAGGAGTATGCCTAGTCTGGATATTATGTGGTCTCTGCTACCTTTTAGATGGAAAGAACTTTGTTTTGTAGATCCTAGAGAATGTTAGGGGAAGATCTGTTTTCTTCTGTCTTCCCTCCTGGAATCATTTTGAAACTATGTCTTTTTAGCCTGGTCTGCTTTGTGTTCTTGTCCCAGCCTCAGGAAGGCCATTTTGGTAATAATTATGATCCTACCCTAGATTCTATCCTTTTCTTGTTCTTAATTTTAGAATCATGCCCTGACATCCAAGAGAATGGGCCACTGGTCCTATTGAGCACTTTTCCTCCTCCCATGACCCTGTCCTTCACCTTTTGTTCTCCACCAGCTCTCATTCTATTTTTTTCATCAGTCGCTGGTTTAAAGCCCTCTTTGAAATCTGTTCTTGCCTTTCTTTGTCAGGTGGACCCCCTCCCTGCCGACGGGCTCTTTTTAGGGATGATGTCCTCATGAGCTGTGAAGGCCTCTTCACAATAGACATTGTGGGGAAGGCAGATTTCAATCCCATCTGTGACCCCAATTCTTTCAGCTTCCTTCCCAGTATTGGATGCAGTTGGTGTCATTCAGAAAAGCAGGGTGGATTCTCTGTGATGAGAAACACCAGGTTGTGGTCAAAGGCTCAGACAAGTCATGGTTTCCTTTTTTCCTTTTTCGCCTGTTTTGGCAACTGGCAGGGCTGTGTGTGCCTTGCAGAACATTAGATCAAGCTAGTGGATGGTGGCACCATTACTGTTTGGTTTTATTTTTTCCTCTTGGGAACAGTAGGTGCTTACAGTAGTGTTCTCAACACTGAGGCCACATGATTTCTGTTCCCCTGGGGAAGATTTCTCTTTCCAGTGACTTTTTTTTCCCCCTAGGTGGATCAGAGGAAAGAAGGGAGGAGAGAAGAATTTTTTTCCCTCTCTTTTATGTTGTGTTTCCCATCTGCCGACTCTCCACCTACTTTATTGGTGGGCAGAATCCGCTTGTCCCTGGCTTTTTCTGAACATCAGCCTTGGTCACACAGACTTCCTCAGTCTTCAGCTTTCTGCCCCTCCGCACATAGCCCAGAGGTACTGAGATTAATTTTGTACAAAGTGAGAGCAGACAGTGTTTTGAAAACTGCTGGTGCATTGGTAATAGCTGCAAGTGATAAGATCTTGAGAGAGATTTCCCCTCCTGCCCCCCATTTTGGGGTTTACCTCCACTTTGGATCTATCTCTTGGGTCTTTGGCTGCTGATTCTAAAATAAATTCTCCATTCCAGGCCACTGGGTACTTGCCATTTGATGGTAATTACCTTGATTGCTTAACCTCATCCTGGCTGGTAGACAGATTCCTAATCCTCCTTCCTCAGAGTTTGGAGGCCTGATCTTGCCACTGCTTTTTCCCCCTTTCCTGACTGTTCATAAATGCCCCTGGTCGTCTTCCCTGTTCAACTTTGCTGCTCAAGACTCTTAACTACCTCTTTTGTTTTTTGTAGGTGCTGGACAATCAGATAAAGAAAGATCTGGCTGATAAGGAGACGCTGGAGAATCTGATGCAGAGACACGAAGAGGAGGCCCACGAGAAGGGCAAAATTCTCAGCGAGCAGAAGGCGGTAGGTATAAGCAACCAAAAAGCCGGTTTTCAAAGATGGGCCATGAAACATGTCAGGAACACACACCTGAAAAGAGCTCATTCCACCTGGTGGATTAGTCTTTCTGCTTCAGTCCTGTGGCGTTTGTTGCTATGTGGAAACTCTCCGTGCAATTTCCTCCTCTCCCAAAAGCAGCCAAGGGTCGCCACTTTAACCTTTCCCATCCTTTAAGGACTCATGCTGACCTGACAAAATGTGTTCTAGCCCCCTGACAAAAGACCCAGTGGCTCTAGGTCTCCCTCACGTGTCTTCTTACCACCTCATGCGTCTTCTTCAGAAACTTGCTGCTTGCGAGGGTCACTTGTGATGCTTGTTAATCTACATGTGATCTCGGACCACACCGAGACTTTATCCATCAGAATCCCCAAGGATGGGCCCTGAAAAGTTATATTTTTAACCAGCACCCTCCCTGATTCTTAGGATTCATTAAGTGAGGGAAACTTTGATGTAGAGAGAATCTAGGACAGCTGCGGCTCGCTGAGAAAGACTCACTCAGAAAATGACAACCCAATGGGCAAAGAAAAATGTGAACTTGCAGATTCAAGTTTGAGGCTCCTGCAGCCTTGGGTCACATTCAGTGACAGGGGATTTAACGGGGCCTATTTACTTAAGGGCTGTCTGGCGCCTGTGTGGGGCCTCTGGCATGTTTTAATGGAGGCCATTTAACTGCGTGCATGTGTGTTCTGTTCGGTGGAAATACTGAGTGCCATTCATTTGGGCCTCTGGCCAATTTACCTGCATTTTGCCCCAATCCACATGACTCACGTTCCTCTCATTCTAGTAGAACTATCTGTGTGTGAGGTTTCCATGGTCCTCTGTGTTTCAGATGATCAATGCTATGGATTCCAAGATCCGATCCCTGGAACAGAGGATTGTGGAGCTGTCAGAAGCCAATAAACTTGCCGCAAACAGCAGTCTTTTCACCCAGAGGAACATGTAAGTATTCAAATCCTAACTGTGTGCATGATTACACTTTAGTCTTCTCTCCCGGGGCATAAACTCCTTTCCTCTCTCTGATGGAGTGGAGCAGATTTAATTACTTCTGTATGCTGGCCCAGCCCCCTAGACTTATGTAATTTTGCCCTTTCTTAAATGCTCTCACTCTACCGTGTTCTTTCTTCTGAGCTGGGTTTGCTTTAAATGCTTCAAATTGCCATCAGATTACAGAATGTTTTGCTCTTCTCTAATGAGTCTATTTTTAGTTTGCTTTTGGAAAGTCCTTGTCCCAGGGCCTGCCTCCCATGATTAGCCAGAGGTGATCTTGTGTGTGCCCAATTGGGCCATCCATTTCGTTGTTGTTAAGTCAGGCCCTGGGGGATGAAGTTTGGGGTTCAGCAAGGACTCTACAATCCAGGAGCACTTTGATAGCAGTCTTTTCCCCCAGAGAATTACAACCTTCAGGATTTTTTCCTCCTGAGATGTCTCCTGAGATCTTTTTAAACATTCCCATCTCAGTTTAAACCAGCTGGTCGGCAGCTCTTTAGGCTTTGAGTCATTCCAGTTCCTGAGACTTCTGAGCAGTTTGGTGGAGAGGCCGGCAGGGTCTACCGAGAAGGAGGAGGAGTAACAGTCCTTCTCATGGCCCTTTCTCCCCAAGGCCTGCCTTAGTGTGTTGTTGGGGTACTGGTGTGCTTGGAGCAGGCTCATTTCTGTTCTCCTATACAAACAAAATAAAGAGGGGTCAACCAGCAGAGTGACATGTTGGTATCTCTTGCTTCCTCCTTGACCATACTGAATCCCAAAGTCAGGTGCTCTGAGCAGACCCCCATGCTGGGATTTTGCCCAAGGACATGGCTGACCTGGGAATGACCACCGTCTGCTCACCCAGACAGCTCTCTCACTTGGCTTTCGTCCTGAGAGGACCTGCTCACCTCTGATGGGACTGTGACTTTGGCTTATCCCACCCCCCCACCAGGAAGGCCCAGGAAGAGATGATATCAGAACTCAGGCAACAGAAGTTTTACCTGGAGACACAGGCTGGTAAATTGGAGGCCCAGAACCGAAAGCTGGAGGAACAGCTGGAAAAAATCAGCCACCAAGACCACAGTGATAAGAGCCGGCTGCTGGAGCTGGAGACAAGGTTGAGGGAGGTGAGAATGGGGGTGATCTCCTGAGGGGATTTGTGTTGGGACTCGAGGCCCCAGGCCAGCTTGAGTCAGTACTTACATGAGAGGCATCTGCTGTTAAATAACAGAAATCCAATCATGATGATTTCGAAGGTCTAATTGGCTTTAGGAAACAGTTTCCATTTGGGGCAACATCCCATCTGACAAGGAGAAAGGCTCTGTGAATGCCCTTCAGGGTGAAAAGTTTTTTATAGGCAGAAAAAGACAAGATAAGGGAAGAGGGAATTATTTCAGGCTTAGGTCATTTACTTGTGGGGAATGGATAAGGGTCTTATGAAAGATTATTTCATTTTCCTTTGGTGATTAGAAAAGACCCATTAGGACTACATCTCTGGGAAGGCTGAAATGACAGGGACTTTGGCACCACAGTTGGGTTGGGCGTTAAGTGGTGGTGGGCTGCCGCCTTCCTGGCTCAGGTGTCTCCATTTAGACCTGTCACTCTCTTAATACACGTGGTGGTGAAGAGTGCAGGCTGGGCCTCAGGGATCTGGACTAGAATCCCACCATCCTTAGGTGTCTGTAACCTGGGCAGGCGGCCACTCCTCATTGCAAATGGCCTTGATATGCCTCAGCTTCTGAGGGTCAGGGGGCTAAGGTAAATGGGTGCCGCAGTCAAATGGGGGCATTTCTCCTGTGTCCAGATTTAGCAAGGGTTATATGACCCGGTCCGTACATGGAGGTTAGCACAGTGTTGGGTATACAGTGTGGCTTCATGACAAGCAGCCGAGGTCTCACAATGACAGTGGCAGATGAAAAGACAAATCGAAACTGGAAGTGCGTTTGCTGGAAGGAGGTTCTCTTCAGAGGCGGTAGGGAACGGGGACGACTGACCGAGTTTTGGGGAGGAAAATACAACACATTTTGCTGTAGATGTGTTGAGGTTGATTCAGGCTGTGAAGTTACATTCGTATCCTCACTCACTGTATTTACTGAATGCCTGCTGTCTGCCAAGAGCTATCCTGGATACACAGTGCTGACAACACAGGCCCAGCTCCTGGTCTGGGGGCTGTGGGTCTCGGGGGCAAGGACTAGCAGATGTGGCCTGCTTGCCAGACTGGATAGCAGAGAACAGCCCTTGGGGGTGGAGACGGTGCCTGAGCCTAGTCGGTGCTCTAACACTTGGGGTAGAATTCTTCAAGATTAGATGATCTCTCTTTCTCTTTTTTAAAGATTTATTTGTTCATGCATACAAGAGCTGGGGTGCAGGCCAGAGGCGGGTGGTTGGTGAGAGGATTCACCAGGTCCACTGAAATACACTGCTGAGGGGAGCAGTGGGCGAGACAGGAGAGGTCTGCTGTGCCATGTGGGTCAGCTCCCTGGCTAGCGGGGAGTCGAACCCATGCTGCAGTGGCTGGCAATAGCTTGATAGTGCTGTCTTTAACCCCTGCGCCACCAGGAAGGCCTCAGATGATCTCTCTTAAGGGAGGCACTGTTAAACAGACAGTGGTCCGGGGACAGAGCTTGGGGAAAGCTGGTGTGCGGCATGCTTAGCTTGAACTGGAATATTCATCCAAGGCCAGTTCTCTTAAAGACCAGAAGAAAATATATAATCTTGTGGTTTTTTCAGGGGCTTTCCAGGTATATTCCCCTCCCTTATGTTCAGCTGATGTGCCAGTGTTGAAATGCAGATACCTGGGCCTCTCAATTTCCTTGACTGGAATGTGGGAGGACTTCGCACTTTATCAGGTGCCTCGGGTGACTCTTAGGCTCTCTGGAGTCGAGAACCATTGCTCTGGGTTGTCCAGAAGTCCTTGGTGGTGGTTTAACTGTCATTTCCCAGGCTGTGTTTTCTCAATCTTGTGAAAGTTTAACATTTTCCTGTAGTGTCAACTTGAAGAGTGTCAGTAACTCCGAGGACTTAGCGTGGCAGCATGGACTGCATTTTGTCTCCCCTTTGCATAGATGGCGCTTGCTGCCCTTGTCTTGCAGCTATGGCTCATCTGGGCAATTAAAATGCTACTGGGGAAGTTTGTTGCTTTTTTCCTTGAGTCAGAGTGGCTGGCCACCTCCCCTGCGCAGTGCCAGTGGGAGAAACTTAAAATGCTGTGTTGAGAGATACAGGCCTGTTCCCTGGGACTTCTGGAGCTTAGTTTCAATCATAACAAGGCAGGCCCACCTTCTCTTTGCCAAATGCTGCTGTTGGTGTTGGGGCAGAGGCCTCAGCCTTGGCTTTGATTCCCCTGAGCAGGCCCAGGTGGTTGGTTCCCCGAGCCTGGGCCTGCACCGTTAGCTCTTCTCACCACGTGTGTGGAGTCTTGTGTGTTCCCCTGTCACTGCACAGTGTGCCGCTCCCCCACCTCTGCTTGACTTGCTGTCACCTGCCTCTCATGGTTTTGCCAAGTGGTGTCAGGGGAATTTTCAGGCTTGCTAGAAGACTCCCAGCCTGCTCTGACTGCTGCTGTTTTTGTCAGATAAGCAGTAAGTCATGGACTCTGAGCCAGGCTTCCCGAGTTTGCTGCCAGCCCTGCCACTCTCTAGAGTGTGACCCTGTGCACATGGGCTCTCGCGGCCACATTTGCTCACGTGTAAGACAGAGGTTGGGCAGCACCTCTGCTGTGGTTGTTACGGAGGTGAAGTGAGTTAAAACAGCGCCTGGTGTGGTGTGAGTGCTCCCTGACTGCTAGCACATCGTCACCACCCTCCTCCTTACTAGAGACATCTCAGCTTTGGCTTCTGCTGCCACTGACTCAGGAAGGACTTCTGGAGTGAGGTGACCAGCCCCTTGCTCTCAAGTTTCCTGCCCATTGTCCCGGAAGACTTTAGACATCCACTCAGAAGTTTTCCTTGCTCTTCAGATACCACACATCACAGCTTCACAGACTGCTTCTTAACCCCTTGTGCCACCAGGGAGGTCCTGCATAGCCTTTTAAATTTGAATTTCTCCATGGGTTTCTTACTCTGGAAGACATTTGCTTTCTTTGATAACATGATGAAAGAGATAGCTAAAAGGAACCTGACCATACATATGTGGAGATAATTCTGTCCTCATCTTGTAGATGGGGAAATTGAGTCACAGAGAGTTATAACTCATCCATGTGGTTCTGTGTGGTAGAGTTAGGATTCGAATCTGTTAAAACTGGTGCTGAAGTCCAGGCTTCACTGTCAAACACTGTCTCCTAGGAAGAAGGGCTGGTGAGAGGTGACGCCCTCTCTTATCTTTTCTACTAACAAAACCTCAACCAAAGCATTCATCCCTCAATGCATTATCTCTCTCTCAGGTCAGCCTAGAGCACGAGGAGCAGAAACTGGAGCTCAAGCGCCAGCTCACAGAGCTGCAGCTCTCCCTTCAAGAGCGTGAGTCCCAGCTGACAGCCCTGCAGGCTGCCCGGGCTGCTCTGGAAAGCCAGCTTCGCCAGGCGAAGACAGAGCTGGAAGAGACAACAGCAGAAGCAGAAGAAGAGATCCAGGCGCTCACGGTAGGCCTGGGCAGTGGCACCTTCAGTCTGCTGAAGGTCTCAGCTAGAATGAGTGTGGTGCTGAGGGTATTTGCTCACTCTTAAGAATTTCCAAGAGAGAAAAACAATCTGTGAGATGTGTAATGGGCAAAAAATGAGCTTATGTAAGCTGCTGCTTCGCTGGAGTCTGTGTACTCCATCAGTTGGTAATATCTGAGGGTTCCTTAGAATCTTGAAAAGTTCCTCCTTTATTTATTTATGTACTTTCCTCTCTTTAAAATAATCATTATATTTAAAATTTCAGTTTCAGCCAACACCCATTTACCTGGTTCTTCTATGTTAATTTTCAATAATCCTTAAAAAAATAATAATTTGTATCTAACAGTGTTCTTTTTACCATATTTCTATTTTGGTTAACTTCATTTGTGTTACCCTTTTTTTCAAGTTGTAGATTCTGCTTCATGTCTTATGTTTGCATCTGGTATGATCTGAATGGGAAGGATTCCTTTGAATGAAAGATCCTTTCCCTAAAAGGGACCCGACTTCCCTGCTCTTTCTTAGAGACTAGTTTACTCAAATGGAGACTGTTCTCGGGAGAACTTGTTGGCAAGGGGTGTCACTGGATTTAGACCTCCTTTCTGGAAGTCCAAAAATGTGACTTTTGGGGTTGGTCAGTTTCCCACAGTTGATCCCTCTCTTGGGGAATGACCCAGGCTAACATAACTGGCAAGAATCTTAAATTGCCGTTTTACCCACTTAAGTGGTAAATACAACCACCGAGTTAACTATGATACTCCGGGTGACTAATCTTCACATGTTCTCCCCTTCAGGGAAGTCTGCTTACAAACCCCACTTCTCTTGGAAGGCTGCCTGGTGGGCCTAGACTCAGCATAGAAAGCTGAATGTGTTTTAATGGCTGGTGCCAAACAAGCGCACGCATATCTAACAGTGACACACTGTGCCTGCCCAGCTGTGAGGCGCACTCAGGCTTGCTGGTCAGGGCGCCCTTGGCTGTGGCAGGGCACTAAGCAGCTGATGGGGCTCAGTGGTTTTTTTTAATGAGGTGCCTACAGCAGCACCTTATTCATTCTGATTCCTTTTGGATTGCTGTGTCTATCACCATCAGCAAATGTCCCTGACTATCTCTGGGTAAGCTCCCTTCTAGAGATGGCCATGAACTTTCATTGCTTATGAATTTACTGTGTTAAAAAGCTGCATGTGTATTTTAGAAAATAACACATTTCATTCTTACAAGTTATCCCTCATTGTGTTGGATTTGGGAAGTCTATTATCTGAACTAAATGGGGAACATGATTTGACACTGCCAGGCCCCAGTCACAGGGGTGTCTGCAGTTCTGGGGGTACCGAGTGACTCCTACAAAGAAGATGCTTAGTGCTTTCTAGATTTTCCAGGACTTAAGCCAAGCTGAGATATTGATTGCAATTTAAGTTTTATTGTCTCTGAGGATACTCATTAATAATGGTGCTCCAATATTTGGCTGGGGAGAAATAGTCTTATCTGCTTATACTTTGCCCAGTTTCAAAATGAATGAAAGCAGATTGGAACGATATAAAGCAGTATAACAGGACAAAGTAAGAGAGAAAAAAAGTCTATAGAAGGAAAAAAATGGTGACAGGAATGAAATTAATATATACGGGTGTGTGTCAAGAAGACTTACATGCTTTCTGGATTTGGGTGGTTGGGGAGAGAGTCAGCCACTCAATGTAGCATTTCTTAGCTGCCAAAGTATACATCTAATGTCCATATTTAGTGCTCTGTGTATTAATAGTTCCCCCTGTGTGAGCCCCCAAGCTCTGAAAGAAAGGGGAAGAGGCAACACCAATCCCATCCATACTTGAGTCCTCACGGCGTGCCCAGTGCTGTTCCTTTAGCCCTTTTCTCCCTCAGGAATTGGGCTGTCGTTCCTCACATCTTTTTACTTTTGAGCAGGGAGAAGGACATATTTATCTCCCTGCTCTGTTGGAACTGGCAGGGACAGTGGTAGCTGTGCATCTTATTGTGCCTGTTTGGAAGGAGGGGGGTATAAAATAGAGCATGTGTCACTGCTGTTTATCTGTGGGGAAATTAGTCTTTAAATCCTGTCTTGCCGCTGTTTGGAATGTGCTGTGTCTAATGGCTGCTGGAAGCCTAGCACAGCAGCAAGTCACGACTTAATTTAGTCAGATGAAATCACTGCCTCAGAGCATCTTCTTAAAAAAAAAAAAAATGCAGAAGCAAACCTCCCTAGGCCTAGAATCTAGGGCTCTACTGTTCTTGTAGGCGAAGATGCCATGGAAAATAGGGCTTGTTCAAAATGATGGCAGAGATGTGCCCTCTGTCAAACAGCTGTTGGTAACCCCATCAGACGGGAATCCAAGCCCCATATCAGTTTGCTTCTGTTCAGTTTTGAGGCTGTGAGGGTTTTCTCACCCCTCCTTTTGATTATGTTCCATAAACCTGGTTATGGACTCCATGTGGTTGTTGCCTGAATGGATTTGTTGAATTTGTTCTGAAGAATGTATTTTCCACAAGAAAGTGCTCACACACACAGTTCTCTGACTCTCATTGTCAGAGGCCCAAGTTCAGACCCACCTCAAGCATCAATCAAATCAAATCACCTGGATCTGAAATGCTCTCCTAGGTTTGTGAGCTGCACAGCAGGCTGTTTTATCAATAAAAGGGAGTAGTCAAATGGACTGTTATTGCTTAATCCAAGAGGTGGCCCTCTCTTAGCCTGGGAAGGGGAGTAGTTAACCCTGTTTGGTCTCCACCACTGGGCCAAATTAGGGAGAGTGCAGTTAAATGTAAGCTCTCCTTGCAGAGGCTGGTGGGACGCCAGTGTTGGCCTTCCTTTCCCCATCCTGTCAGTTACAATTGCATGGAAATTCACTGGCCATTAAAAGATAAGATTGAACCAAGGTAGAGACCACCAGGAGAATCAACTTCAAGCAAAAAAGCTATGCTTTTAAGATGCTCGAGTGCTTAAAATTCCACCTGGACTTGACATTTAAGACCTCATATAATCCCTTCATCTTAGGAGGTGAATTCGCATACCTTAGCCACTACGGATGTGTGCTGTGATGTCAACTTTACACCAAATGGGGCCACGGGGCAGAGGTGTGCCATGGGTTCTGTGAACACCAGCGAGGACCCATGAACACATTTCATGTCTCTGCCCTTATGCTCTTTTACTGATTTGGTTAAATGACTGGTGTTGAATAATCAAGAGTCTAAAGCTGGAGGCAATAATGAGCAGCATCCTGGCTGAATAGCATGAAGATGGGATCCTAGAGTCATCCTCCTTGATTTGTCATTAATCAGTGCCTGCTCTCATTTTTTAAAACAAATATCCAACCTTGTATTTAATTAGTAAGCCATTGGCGGGACAGCCAAAATGTGAAACTGGGGCAGATTAGGTGACAGTCTGGTTTGGTGCCTGCCTTCACAGGGGTGGTGGGGATGGGTGCATGGAAATTGGAGTGTCCTAGAATGCTGGTTGTGGGGGCCAAAAGGGGGTCAGCCATCTCAACTAGTTTCCTTTCATCAGCTCTGCAGGTATTTTTTGTCATCAAGACTGCATTATAGGGCCTCCCCGGTGGCGCAGCGGTTGAGCGCTGGGTTGCGAAGCTGCCCATGGCCTCTGCGGTGCTGGTTGGATCCCCAGCTGCTCCCTGGCCACCGGAGGAGGGTCCCACATGGCGTGCAGACCTCTCCTGCCGCCCGCTGCTCCCCTCAGCAGTGTACTTCGGTCCTTCTGCCTGCTCTGCTCCCCGCTCTGGCTCTGGTGAATTCTCTCACCCTCCCGTGCTTCTGACTGTACCCAGTGCATGTATAAACAAAACAAACAAACAAACAAACAAATAAAGCATGCCTCTATTTAAAAAAAAAAAAAGCTGAAACCATACTATTAAAAAAAAAAAAAAGACTGCATTATAATCTTCTTTTCTTCTGCTTGTAACTTTCCTTAAAATTAGTGAAAGCTGGAGTACTCCCAAAGGAGAGCACCTCTCTGGCTTTCAGATTACAGCCTGTCTATTCCACCTTTCTGCCTCCCAAACCCTAGGTCAGTGGTTCTCAAAGTGGAGTCTGTGGTTGGCTGGTGGTCCCCAAGGTCAGATTATTTCCATAATAATACTAAGATGTCACTTGGAATTTTTTATGGTGTTAACATTTGTACTGACGATGCAAAAGCACTGTTATTTGAAGAGAAGTTTTTAAAAATTGAAAAAGTCTCTTAATTTTTAATGTGATGAATATGAGATATAGCCCACATAAAAAACTCCTTGGGGTCTTCAATAATTTTTAACAGTGTAAATATTCCCTGTAGCATCTAATTAGCACTTGAATATTTCATTGAGAGAATCAAAAGTTTGCTTGCCTGCTGTATTTTATTCTTCTTCAGCATACTATTGTGTGACCTTTTGCTTTTTTGTTCATTTGTTTTACAGCTCATTTCAAAGAAACATAGAGCATATGTTTCCTGCTATTTTCTTAGCAGAGTGGTTCAATGATTGTTAAACGCGTACAGCAGTCAAATTTTGTGTTTATATTTCATAGTCAATAACAAATCAAAAGCTGTAGTGATCATAACTCATAACATTATACCCTCAAAGAAGATTGCTATTTGATGTGTCAACATGGCCCAAAGACCTCATAAATGGTTACATTTAATGGCAATGAATCAGTGTCACTGATTGAAATTTCAGGCTATAGTTGAACAAGTAGATAATATGTGTGGTGTTATTTGGAAAGTTTGCTATAAATGAAAAAATGGAACAGGGCTTCTATCCCCGCATCTAGATCAGTGAGCTTTTCTATGATCACTGCTTAAGCTGGGAAAGCATTAACTCCACCCTTAGGTTCCTGTTTCTATCTTTGAGAGATTTCACACCAAATAGTTGTTTAGCTCAGGACTTGGCAAACTACAGCCATGGGATCAAATTCCGTCTGCCTCCTGCTTTCTGTAAATAAAGTTTTATTGGCACACAGCCATGCCCACTTATTTACATATAGTTTCTGACTATTTTTTGTGCAGTGACGCAGAGTTGTGACAGAGACTGGAGGGCTCTCAAAGTAAAAGTATTTACTATCTGGTGCTCATTTACTTTTGCTTCACGTCTGCTCTAGAGTTTATTAACCAAGGGCCTTATTCTTCTTCTAGGAAGAATCCTTGCCTTTTATCCTTGTTCTTGGTTTATCCTTGGTCTTCATGCAATGTAGATTGAATTGGATGGTCTTCAGGGCCAGGCTGCTGCTTGTCTGCTGCACAGATGAGACTTGTAGATGTCTATATTTCTACCCTGGATAAATAATATTATTTATTCCACTCAATAAATCTCTCATTGATTTTGGGCAAAAAGCAAATCAATTTTTGCAGAAAAAATATCATCTATTAAATTAGGTCATAAAAATACTGACTATTTGGGAAGTTGATTCTAAATGATAACTTTTTACTTATGAATATGACTGAGTCTGTCTGTGCAACTGTATTTTTTCCAGTGCTCTTCATTGTGTTCTGTAGATTTAAATTTCTGGTTGTCATTTTTTCCTTCCTGAAGGACTTCTGTGTAGAGGTGGAAAATTCCTTCAGCCTTTAAAAAACCTTTAGTTTATCCTTTTTTGAGAGATATTGTTGCTGGGTATAGAATTTTAGGTTGGCAGCTTTTTCTGGTGGGGTTTTGCTTCTCTCATTTCATCCACTACACATTTCAGGATTTTAAAGATTGTTCCACTGTTCTATCTTGTTCCCCACCTCCATGAGCCTTCTTGATGTGAAATCTCTGGTATTCTCTTTTTTACCTTCTGTATGTAACTTCTTTCTTTCTCTGGTTTGTTTTAATATTTTCTCTTTATTACTGATTTTAAGCAGTTTGATCATGATATTTTTAACTTAATTTTCTTCATATTTCTTACACTTGTGTTCATGGGGTTTTTTGCATCTTTAGTTTTATGGTTTTTATCAGCTTTGAAAAATTTGTGATAATTATTTCTTCAATATTTCTGTCTCATCCTACACTCTGTCAAGGAGTCTAATTACGTATATATGAAACTGAAGTTGTCTTATAGCTCATTGATATCTGTTCATTTTTTAAAGTAATTTTTCTTGTTTCATTTTGCATATTTTCTATTGCTGTGTCTTCAAGTTCACTAATCTTTTTTTCTGCTGTGTCTAGCCTGCTGTTACAAACTTAAAATATTTGTGGCAAAATAGACATTTTAGAAAGTAAATCACAACTCTAAAAGTTTTCACTTAGTTGTCTTATAGATGCTTTTATGGGGACAAATTTGTTTTGTTTCTAAGACAAGGACTATTTTTTACCTCTGCCCCAAATTGGATGCTTCTTTAGGCTTTCATAGTTAAACCCTTGATACCATAATCTAGCCTATCAAGTCAAGTCTGCTAGGGCATCCTTTCCTGGCACCTCCATCTCCATTAACAAGTCTTGTTACCTGTGCTTCCAAAAGTGATCTCAATCCCACTTCTCTCCATCTTCTGCTACCATTCTGCTCCAAGCCACCATCATCTTCCCTTGAAGATCGTGACAAGCTCCTCAGTGGTTTCTCTGTTCTTCATTTGTCCTGTTTCAATCTATTCTTCCACCATCATCTACAAAACATCAATCAGGTCATAACACTAGGCTTTGTAAAAGCTCCAGTGACTTCCAGTTGCATTTTGAATGAAATCCAAACTCTTTCCTAGCCCTTCAAGATTTCTTGTCCTTTACCAGTATCTTAGGCCACTTCTCCCTTTCCTTTCTGTGCTTTAGCCAAGTGGTTTTCGAAAATTGTTTGACCACTACCCACTGAACAGTACATTTTCCCTGTGTAAGAGAGAGTATATATTTCATTGATTTGAAGGTATCTAAAATTAGGATGCATCTTATAACCACAGCTATATATGGTTATGTAGTCATATACACACAAACTTGTCAGAGTTCAGTTAACTGCACCTGTTATTCTTAATGTTACATAAACTCATGATAAGTCTGACAATTGATAACACTTAACTTTGATGGATTAGGTATCTGAAACAAAAGTTTTCTATAATCTTTACTACTTAAGTTACCTTCTGATGTTTACTGCTCTATCCTGTTGATACCAGTTCATTGGAGGAAACAAAATAAAAGAAAAAAATCTAAACCAAACCAAAACAGCCCACTTGTCATGTTCAGTATTGGGTCACAACCTGAAGTTTGAAAAACTCTGCTGTAGCTTCTCAGGCCATTTTTTGTTCATCAGATCCACCAAACTGTTTCTACCCTTAAGGATTTTGCACATGCTGTCCCTTCTGCCCTTTCCTGGTCTTTGTTTGGCTGGTTCCTCATCTTGCAGGTTTCATTTTAAGTGTTTCCTCTTCAGAGAAGCCCTCCTTGACATTCCCATATAAGTTCCTTTCCACACTTGTTTTCCTGGGCCCTGTTTGTTTCCTTCATAGCATTTGTCACTATTTGTAATCATGTTCATTTTCTGTCTCCCTCACCAGAATGAAGATGTAGGCCATATTTACTCTATCTGACCACAATGTCTGATGTATAGTCATATAGACACATCACGTCATAGTTTGCATGCAAGATGTACTTGTCAAATGAATGAATGCTGCTGTTTTAGAGCAACTCTGTCCGGGAGAAAGCCTTTATATTTGCTTCAAGGTCACTGTGGGTTTCTGAATATCAGCATCTTTTGATTTAAAAAAAAAAAAAAACCTGACTTTGTCCTGGTTGTTGTCGTTTGTGTGTGTGTGTGTGTGTGCGCGCGCGCGTACATGTGTATTTTGGGTGTAGCCTAGAGGGTGGATGATGGTCAGTTAGAGGGAAGAGGGAAAGGTTAAGAATAGTGGAAAAGATAAATGAAGGGGAGTAAGAATTTCATCCTTTTTTTCCCCCTTTCCTCCTACTTGTCCATAGGTGTGAATATAAATGTTAAGTATATTTGTACAGGGTATGCATGTTGGTCAATTGTTTCTTACACAGCCTCTTGTTCTTGTAACTTTATTTCTCGTTTGGGGGTGACTTGATTAATTTGTTCTTTGAAAAACAGATGCTGGGAGCTGCGGCAGCAGCATTCTTGGCTTTCTAGGCAAATTGCTGTGCTCTTTATTTGACCCATAGCATGTCGAATTGTATTCTCCCCTATGAAAAATTTATAATCAACTTCTTACCTTTTAGGCACATAGAGATGAAATCCAGCGCAAATTTGATGCCCTTCGTAACAGCTGTACTGTGAGTATTAACCAAAGATGATTCAAATAACGTGAAACTAAAACTGAGAAGGACAAAGGGACATCTCTTTATAATAGCAGTGACTGAATTTTGATACAATCTTTTGGCTCAAAGCAGTTAATGCGGTCAAACTGATTTGCAGTTTCTGAGTCCTAGATAACTAGTTTCTTGGGTTTCTGCCAATTTGAAAATTTTAAAGCCATTCTTTATGTTTGGGGGAAGATAATTGGAATAGTCAAAATAATTCTCACTGCAGAACAACTAATAGGTTTCAGTATCTGCAACATAACTCCCAAGGCAGCTCCCCTGCCCTCCTCAATGTAGAAGGTTCTAAGGCTAGCCCACTGCCCAGATGTTGGGGCAGTTATAGCTGCAAGGTTTCTGCAGCCTGCCACCTCTGCAATGAGTTCTTCTGTGGATCTAGAAATGTTAACTTCTTAACAGGAAAAATCTGACTTTCTAACATGCAAATTCAAAAATTAGGGCTCTTTGGGACATGTTACATATATCAAAAGAAGAAAATTCTCTGAGCAGATAAACATCAGGCAAAGATTATATAATAGGGTAGGCTCAGTGGAAATTCAAAGTCTATTTGTGATCAGAACAAAGGACTGGAACGGGGCAGTATCCTTATCCATGGCTCCACTCCCTTCTTTGGTCAGTCTTCATTGAGCTTGTCTCCATTTGTTTTATTTGCATCTGAATTTCCAGAGTCAGCTGCCAACCACCACATGCATATTTTATTTTCTGGTATAATAGCCTTTCTTTCCTTCTTGCCTGCTATGCATAGGACATCAAGTCCCAATGATATATGCTCTCCTCCCTCTTAATTCAGGTGTAGAATGTATACAGTGAAGTGCCTAAAGTGCACAGACCTTAAGTATACAGCTCAATGAAAATTTTACATGTACAGACAATGGTGTCACCACAGAATTGATTAAAATACAGAACATACCCAGCGCCCAATAGCTTCCCTCATGTTTTCTTTTTCATTAGCATCCTTTGCCTAAAGATAACCTCTGTGCTGACTTGTGATACCTTAGATTAGTTTTGCCTATTCTTGAACGTCACATGAATGAATTATACAGGATGTGCTCCTCTGGGTTTTTTATTTGCTTAAGTTGTCTGTGAGTGTCATTCATGTTGTTGTATCCATTAAAATTTGTTCTTTTTCATTACTGTGTAGTGTTTCCAGTGTACAGAACTGAAGTTTGTTTATCCATTTGCCTGTTGATGGACCTTTGGATGGTTTCTGTTATGAGTATGGCTGTTAGAAAACATTCCTGTATAAGTCCTTTGGGGGTAATAAACACTTGCTTCTGCTGAACACATGCCCAGGAGTGGACCATCTAGGTCACGAGATGTGCCTATTTGAATCTAGTAGATACCAAGCAGACAGATTCTTGAGCTGTATTTCCCACGCTGGGGGCAGGATCAAGGAGGCACTTTGATTTCCTCTATCTCGTCTCCCTTCTTGGAAGAGTTGATGCTTTCTGTTCCTCTACTCCTTTTGCCCTCCGTTTTAAGTTTTCATTTTCTTGGTTTCTTATTTTACACAAGAGTTGTTTGCTTCTGTTACATATACACTTGTAAATTACTGCACACGATGCAAATCATTTTCTGACTGCTTTTTTTGTATTACTTATTTTTTCTAAACAATCTTGAATGTATTTTAAATGTGTATACCAGTGATCCTTCATCTGGCATTTTCTTTTCTCCTTCTTTAAGTCTTTTGGCATAAGAACTTTAAAAAATTTTTTTTGGTAGCTCTATTGAGGTATAACTGGAGAACAATATACTCATGAGTTTTGAAATGTATATACCCTGCGAAATGCACTAAACAATCAACATATCCATCACCTCAAAAGTTTTCCTTTGTAACCCACCCTGTGGGTTGTGTTTTTAAAATTGGAAGTTTTGTTTTAATAGAATATACCAATATGTAGCTTGAATTTGGTTATTTTCATAACTTACATAACTTTCAGTTTCTCTTTATCCCTCTAATTCTCTCTTTCTGGAACAGGGACTACTAGTCTTTGCTTTTCTCATTTCTGGCATTCTGTGGCGAAGCCTCCAGGGGGCCTATCCAATTGCAAGGGTGGGGGACCCCACTACTTGGCTAATACAGCTGGGTCGCTTTTTGATCCCGACCACACATTCTGGAATTGGGAGACTCGGTTCGGTTTCTAAAATGGCTTCTTGGTAACTTGTGTAATATTATCCTCCCAATCCTCTGCTGCTTTATCTGTAAGATGGGCTGATGTTGTATATCCTCAAATCCAATATACAATCAATCATAAGGTGAAAATTTATTTGATAAGTGTTGTTAGGGGGCTGGGTGAGGGAATAAAGATAGCGGCTTAGTTCCAGTATACATTCATATTTCAGAAGCAGTAATACTTAGGAAAACTCTGAGTGTAGAATTAGAAATTTGGTAATGATACCTGCCTCCTGGGGTTCCTGCAAGAATTAAATGAGATGATGCATCAAAGTGTCTGTACAGGACATGATCCATAGAAACTGATGAACAGCCTTGGTTGCTATTATTGTTTCACTATATTGGATTTAGGATATGATCTTTAGAAAATGGCTCAGCTGCTTAAAAAATGTTTGAAAATCACCACTTTAGAACAACAGTTGGCAGCAATAGTGATCTTGATTACACTTTCGCAAGTGCAAAGGCTACTTTAAAGACTTCAGAAGAACGTGATAAATATTCCTTTTTACTGGTGCTGCCCAAGATTGGGTCAGCTAGGAAGTGTCATCTTCATTACTAGGGGGAGCGCCTGTAATCACTCAATTGATAGGGGCTACCAGGTAGCAGCTTCTCAAGTGCTCATGAACAGTAAGATTTTCAAGCTCAGGCCAGTTCTATATTTTGAAGAGATTTATAAAAAGGATTTGATTCAATCTGGCACCTAAAACCCTACCTAAGTCTGTTTTGGAGGGGAGTTGGTGGGCAAACATATGACACAGTTTTAATTATGAATCAATCTGTCAGCTATAAGATTAAAAATAAATAGCATGCAAATAGCTTCCTTCAGGAAAGAGCCAGGCATTAAAATAGGACTTGAGCCCAGTGTCTGTTAGCCTGATGCTCATTATCTGACTGGTTTCTTCCCCGCTCTGTGCCATAGACATCGACCTGGTATTATTCCCTCTGCTGTCTCCCTAGGAGGTGGGAGAGTTTAACATCCATTTCTCAGAACCAGGTTAGCATAAAAGCCTTGAAAAGCAGCAGAGAGGCCCAAATAGATTTTTTTTTTCTGTTTGGACACTGAGTAGATAATTTCCCCCCTCCCATTCTTGTTTTCTGTTACAACTGCACCCAGATCTCTTATATGCAAAAGCACCGTGTAAGAAAACTCAGCAGGCCCCTGCATCAAGCTGTCTCCCTCCTCTTTTCTAAGGCTACGATGGAGTCAGCCTTTCCATTTATCTGTTTATCTTCTGTCCTCAGGGTGGAAAGATTAACAGACTCTTAATATTAAACAGATCATTTGCCCCTGGTGTGGAGAGACTGTAGCCAGGCCCATGAAGTAGACCTAACAATTTTCCTTGCATACACTACCTGGTCCAAAATCACAAATTTCCTGTTTTTATACTTATAAGCTATGCCACAAGTCATTTTACTATCTACAAACCCAATAATGTGTGTAAGGGCATGGCTAACACTTTATACACAAATCCAGTGACCTGCAATAGCATCACAAGCTAAACCCGTTGTGCTGGAGCAGAAAGAATATATAAAACGTCTGAGTGAACACTGCTTTAAGAGGGCTTAGGAGCACTACCTCAAAACAAAACCCAGCTCCTGTCAACTGGGCAAAGTAGAAAGGACAAAATATAGAAGCAACAATCACAAACTGGAAATAGAAATCAGAGAGGCGAGACCCTGTGATAGCCAGACCTCCACAGGGCCCAGGAGGTCCCATCCTGCTCTCTGGCCATCTCCCTTGAAAAGGCAGCATCTGGGGCCTTGTTCACCTTTCTCAAGTGTTTCTTCCTTAGCACTTTGTAATCTAGTTTTGGGAGGAGGAGAGGTGATAGAAATGGGCTTATCATACATTCATGTGGTTTTTTTTTTTTTTTCCCTTTTCGTGAGTCAAAGAAAGGAACTGAGCCCCTGAAGTCTTCATTATGTCTTGGCTTCGCCAGTGAATCTGTCTCGGAATGACAATGACAGTTCCTCTGTGAATGGACTTTCAGTAGCCTGTTTGCTCCCTGTGGTGCTCCTCATCTTGGTCATTCATTTTTATCCCTGGCACTTCACTATATTTTAAGGTAGAAGAGGATGCAAGAAAATTCAAAAAATCAAAGCAGTAGGAACAGAAGGAGTCAATTTAGTATTTACCTCCATGGCACAGATGAAGAATCCAGTGCTGCAGAACTCAATGTGATTTATCTGGAGTTCCAAAACCCATGCTTCCCAGCCAGCTTGCCTCAGTCTTGTTGTTTTTGAAAGTTCTGGAAGGATGCACAATATGGGGCAAAAAAAAAAAAAAAAAAAAAAAAGGAGATATTTGCAGTATAGGATGAAACTGAGTCTTAAGGGATGGTTTACTATACTTAAGAGACCAGTTGTTGACCTACTGGCTGTTGTTTATTCATTGTTTCTAATTTTAGGAGATTTCACCTTGTTGCTAAAATGGGGATACAGGGATTCCTAGTAGGTATTACTCACTGCTGGGAATGGCAAAGTTGCAGTTTTTTCCCCCGATATAAAAGGAGTCTTAGCTAAGAACCTGGCCACATAATCTCTGCCCCCCACCCTCTTGTTGCCCACAGTGCCTCAGACCTGTACATTAGGAATTAACATGGCTTTTTGACATTAAAATACAATTACTAGACCATTTAATACATTAAAAGCTTATCAGCTCAGTTAACAAAGTGGAAATCTGTGTTTTCTGAGCCACACTGAATAAATGTATTTAATTGATGTTCCTGCATTCTGTTTCTGGGAAGATTTGTTTTTAATTGATCATCTAAAGGAGTTAAAATAGGAAATTAGTCAGGAAAACAGTGGCAACATTTCAAAACCTAATTCTTAGCTGGGTTTGAAAATGGAAACAATGAATAACTGTAGGCTTAAAGGCATTTCCTTTTAATTTATTTCTTTTGTTACATAAAATTTAATTTATTGCCTGCACGCCTCATTCCGACTATTAGGAAATTGCCCTTAAACTCCTAGAGTATTATATGTAAAAGCTCTCTGCAAACGCTGATACTAAACCTTAACCAAGAGAATAGGAAAGCTAAGTGTACTGAAATGGAAGTCGTTCTGCCATTGAGCAGGGAAATAATTTTGCAAAACCTGATTAAATCTCTCTCTTGGTAAAATGACAATTTCATATACACGCCTTCCCATTTTCTGATAGCTGACTGTATAATAAAAGCCATTAAGGTGATGCCATAGTACAGTATTATATTTTTGGGATCATTCCGGGCTTCTGTTAAAATTTTTTCTTTTGTTGTATGAAATTAAATTTATTATCGGAGATATTATTAAAATAACTCTTAGTGTCCTTCTCTACCAGTCTTCCTTGACAAGAACTTTATTTTGCTTTCTAAGACTCTCTCCAATTACAACGTCCTATAGCTGCTGTCCGGGCGTTTTTAGCTTCATTAACTGATGGTGATACCAGTCTCTTTATTCTCCCTCTTTCCTTAATTTGCTTTTTCCACATTACATTTTTGTCCATTAACTTGACCTCATTTCAAGCGACCCTTTTCATACAGCAGTCACCTTTGATTGATTTACTTTTGTTTTCCGATCGCATCCTGAGTTAGAAACGGAGACTTTTCCTTTCTCCCACGGTGGGTGTGTTCGCGCCGTGCGGGTGGATGTGGGCACTGGGTCTGGCTCTGAGGTTGGCTAGGCAGACGCGGGAGCCACACATTGTCAGTGCCGTGCAGGTTCAAGCATCGACGGCTCTAGAAGCAATCTCTCCTTGAAAATTGGCTTGCTTGGTATGTAACCAGATTCCTTTCCTCTTCTAGGTAATCACAGACCTGGAGGAGCAGCTGAACCAACTGACTGAGGACAACGCTGAGCTCAACAACCAAAATTTCTACTTGTCCAAACAACTCGATGAGGCTTCCGGCGCCAATGATGAGCTGGTACAGCTGCGAAGCGAAGTGGACCATCTCCGCCGCGAGATCACGGAGAGGGAGATGCAGCTCACCAGCCAGAAGCAAGTAAGGACAGTGAACAGTGTCTTGGGGGATTGAGGGGTGGGGGTGTGGTGTGTGTCAGGTCCTAATGTTACTTCAATTAAAAAATAATTTATTAAAAACAGAAAAACACACAATGGGGCCTCCCTGATGGTGCAAGGGGTTTAGTCTCAGCACTATGAAGCTATTGGCAGCCACTGCAGCACGAGTTCAATCCCCAGCCAGGGAGCTACCCACATGGTGCATCAGACCTCTCCTGTCTCACCTACTCCTCCCCTCAGCAGTGTATTTCAGTCAGTATACCTGTTCTGCTCCCTATTCTGTCTCTGGTGAATCCTCTCAACCCCCCACTTCTGGCCTATACCCCAGCTCTTCTATGCATAAAAAAATAAAATAAATCTTAAAAAAAAAAAAAAAGGTTTCTGGAGCACTCTGGTCCCCTTTGGAGTATAGCGAGTGCCTGAGGCATCTCTCCCCAGGGTCCAGAGACAGAGCCTGTCTCGTAAATGGGCTTGTTTTTTAATATTAATTTTGATGTAAAAATTTTTTTCAAATTAAATGCCATTCTTTGGTAGGCCAGAGAGTGCGACTTGATTTTTTTTCCCCGAACAATAGCAGAGAGTATTATTAGCAGACTGACTACTGTAAGAAAGATTTTAAAAGTTTTTCAGGTAAAAACGATACTACTGGGAAGAAACGTTGATCTATACAAATGTAAAATGTACCAGACGGGCATAAGTGAAGCAAATATCAAACTCAAGTCTTAAATGTCTTCAAAGTCCACCGATTGTCTAAAGTAAGAATGGTAGCAGTGTGTTGGGGGTTGTAGTGTTGGTGAAAGTAGGATGTGGCAAAACTGGCAAGGAAGATGGGATAGAGGGGCAGGAGGAGTCACCGTTAGGGAGCCTTCATCACACACATAGTGGTATAGGTTATATGACATAGGATATAATTCATTTAAAGAACCACATAGTGATCTCTGTGATAAACTCTACGGCAAGAGAAGCAAACCTTACATTCACAAAAGCCTGGCCACGAATATTTTGGGGGGAGCCACTTGCATTTTTAGAATGGTCTCTTGCTCCGAGCCCAGCTTTCCTGGGTCCTGCCTGTCTGATGGGTGCAGAAATGGCCCTGCCGCCATTCTTGTCTGGTCCTCTCTGCCCATTGAAGAAAGGGGTAGAGCTACATTTCAGATGGTAGTTAGAAATGTGTGCTTTTCTGCCACGCATCTCACAAGCATAACATCCAGGAAATCTGTGTGTGCTGTGAGACACAACTCTGTGGCACTGATTTGCAGACGATGGAGGCCCTGAAGACCACCTGCACGATGCTGGAAGAACAGGTCATGGACCTGGAGGCCCTGAATGATGAGCTGCTGGAGAAGGAGCGGCAGTGGGAGGCATGGAGGAGCGTCCTGGGCGACGAGAAGTCCCAGTTTGAGTGTCGGGTTCGAGAGTTACAGAGGATGCTGGACACCGAGAAGCAGAGCAGGTGGGACTTGCTGTTTGTCAAACACCAGGGACAGGTGACCGCAGCAGGCTACCCCTGAGAGTTGTGGGCGGGGTCCAGCCATCCCGGCCCACCCGGGACTGAGACATTCCAGTGCTGACTCTGGGGTTGTGCGTCATCCTAGTTGTGCACACGCCAGGCACTGGCTGCAGAGTCTGTGGCCCTAACTGGTGTCCATTTACCCTGTGCAAAGGCCTGGAGTCAGCAGGGCATGCATCTTGATGCTTTCTCTGCAGAAACCTTCCTTCAGGTTTGTTCCCATTGTGACCCCATAGTGAGACCATCACCCTTTTAATGCTGATGACGTGTAATGCTGTGGACAGTGTGGGGTGCACAGCTGTTGTGGGGGCCATCCTGGATGTTGTAGGTTGTTGAGCAGCATCCCTGGTTTGTGCTCCCTAGATGCCAGTAGTAACCCCCTCCTCTACTTGGTAACTACTGAAAATGTCTCCAGATACTGCTCAATGTCCCCTGCAGGGCAAAATTGCCCCTGGTTGAGAACAAATGCTCTGTAAGAATAGTTTAGATTTTTTTTTCTTTCTCAGTAGAAAACAGTATTAAGTTCAGGCACTACCTCTTCTCTGCTTTCCGCAGCTACCCTAGCCAGAACCCCCTTCCTGCTGGGGCCCCAGCAGTGCCCATTTTTTGCTGCACAGGTCTAGGGGGTGCTGTTCACAGTGAAGACATCACAGATTTGTATCTTATTTATGACAGTTTTAGAGCTCACCTAGAAAAGTGTTTCATTGGAACAAAATTGGTACATTATGGCAATTTTAGCAGCAGACCTTGAAGAATAGGTGCTTCATTCCAGTCTGCACAGAGGCACTATATGGGCTGATGTAAGGCCCATAGTTTCACCTCTCATAGGTGAATCACGTCCATCCTCCATGCCCCCCCTACTCTTACCTTCCTCCAACACTTGCCTTGCTCTGTGTTCCAACCCCTTAAGGAAGACAATCTACACACAGACACAGTTATCATTTAACTGGACTCCTTGGACTCATTTGGGTATTTCCCATGTTTACTTGACCATAGCAGACGCAAGTCAATATGTGGGGTTCATAATCTGTGCTAAGTCAGTTAAGCTAGAAAAGATTGGAAGCAAAAGATGAGAACCCTTAAGTTTGGAAAGAAACTGCCAGAAGTATTCTTCTTTGGGATTTCCTCCCACTCAGGAAATATCCTCCCATCAAGAAATATACAACCACAATGGCGGGGCCACAGCGTGGGCTGTGCTTAAGGGAGGCATTTCATGTCTGCTTTTGGGGCACTTGTGAAAGATCTGGGCTTCCCCCCCCCCCCCATCTTGGTGTTATGTGGGATATTGAGATGAGTAAAATACAGATCTTAAGTCTGGTCCTCAAGAGGCTAAGCATCTTGGGGAGGAGCTATACTACGCATTTAAATATTTACCACCCTGACTAGAGGATGGAATGAGTAGGAGACCAGTAAGATTATACTTTGGATACAGAGCAAGGAAAGGTTGCTTCTGAGAGGAGAAGTTGGGAAGGGTTCTGTAGATGACACAGCCTTTGAGTTTATCCCTGAAGGCTGAGGAAGACTAAGTTTGTAGGGTATGGAAGGAGAGTGTTGCTGGTGGAGATTGTCTGGTCACAGTGTGGACATTGCAAGACATAATATCTCAGTGGGCAAAGGGAAGTGATTTTTTTTTCCAGTTTGCTCTAGTTCTCCTATTGTCTAACCTTATTTACAGACTCACAGGAACTTGACCTCCTTAAGAGTATTTTCACCCAAGGCCCAAAGTGGGTCAAATCTTCACTCTGTCAAATCTTAAGCTGTCAAGAAGCAAGGCCTAACTTGGAACTAGGGCTAGGGTTGGGCATCTCTCCAGCCCATGGCCTGTTTGGTTGCTTGTTAAGATGAGAGACAGGCCAGCTTCCTCTCTCCAGGTTGGCAGTGATGGGGCTTCTGAAACGGGGGCCTGTGATTTTCCGGCAGGGCCAGAGCCGATCAACGAATCACTGAGTCGCGCCAGGTGGTCGAGCTGGCTGTGAAGGAGCACAAGGCCGAGATTCTCGCTCTGCAGCAGGCTCTCAAAGAACAGAAGCTGAAAGCCGAGAGCCTCTCCGACAAGGTCGGCACCCATCTCTTTTGCCCTTTAGGGCATTTTCTTTTCCTTCTGTTAGAAGGCAGGCTTGTCACAAATTCAGGCGTAGCCCTGGTTCAGCTTGGTTCATGAGCAAAGTTCACTCAGGTCAATGCTTATGTTTCATGTGGGACAGCTTGGCTGGCAGTGCCCGGGTGATGGCCGCTGGGTTCCCATGGTTGGTCAGCTACTTCTTAGCATCTGCCTGTCTGGGCCCTTGAAGCCTGAATTTTGATCCGGGCACACAACTCTCTTGTTTTCTGGCACTTGATTTCTACAAGGCTTTGTGAATTTTATGTCTCGCGTCCATAGGAAGAGCCTGGTGGCAGGACTAATGCCTGCTGTGCGCTGCAGTAACAGGCAGCCCAGCCTCTCTGGGTTCCGAGTCCAAGGACACCACCAAGGCCTCAGTATTCACATCCGAAACACACAAATCCTGTCCACATGGCATCTGCGCAAAATCACATGTGTGAGTCAGGGATCTTACCTAATAGTCATGAAAGGATTCAGTGTAGGCACTTTGTTGTTTTAGACAACAAAGGTGAACACCAGAAGTGTTATGTGTACACACAAACACACATACAGGGCCTTCCTGGTGGCACAGGGGGTTAAGCACAGCACTATGAAGCTATCCGCAGCAACTGCAGCACCAGTTCGATCCCCGGCCAGGGAGTTACCCACATGGCGCAGCAGACCTCTCCTGACTTGCCCGCTGCTCCCCTCAGCAGCGTATTTCAGTCAGTCTGCCTGTTCTGTTCCCCACTCTGTCTCTGTTGAGTCCTCACACTCCCTACACCTCTGGCCTGTACCCCAGCTCATATGCATAAATAAATAAATCTTTTAAAAAAATCAGTACTCTCACACATTCTTTCACATACATACATCCAGTCATCTGAATGTTGTATAACTGTTAGTTCACAATTATAAAAGTTATTTGGAATAGTTGTGGGAGATAAAGAAACCACAGTAAAGCAAAGGGAAAAATGACCAATGATCCGTCACCGGTGAGTTACCGGTGAGTTCATGCCATGTTTCAGCATACACACACCCACACACATGTTTATAAACTTAGGTTCTTACTGTATAAACACTTTATATCTTGTTTTAAAAACATCATGTAACAAGGGCTTTTCCTGGGTTCTTGACTATTTTTTGAATATGTCGTTCTAAAAACATCAGTGTCGTAGTAACTATTTTAATCATTCCACCTGTGTGGGAAACTTGAGCTTCCCAGGTTTTTTTTTTTCCTATTATACATAACACTGTAATGAGCATAAATCTTTATGGACCTCCATGATTACTTTCTTACCAGAATTTCATAGAAATAAGGTGATTGGATGCAAGGCTCAAGCTGCCACTCAGGAACATGCCTGATTTCCTGGGGACTGACTTACAATGTTTTTTAAGCAAGAAGAAAGTAAATATGTTATTTAGAGATGAGTGATCCCTTTTGCATTCTAACTTGAGTATTTTTTCTCTGTCTGGCTTTTAAAGGATTCTGTAGCAAAGTCCTTCCCCACCTTTGAGACTACAGATAGTCTGATGCCATCTTGTCTCAATGGCTGGTAACGCAGGACACTTCTCTCTTCTTATGTCCTGCCAAACTGCTATCTTATACATGTCTAGTAAGGGCCACTCTCTCCCTTTGTGATGGGAGGTAAGGTCTTTGAGAGCTCTTGTCTACCCCTTCATCCCCAAAGCCCTAGTGCTGGTCACTCGTAAGTGTTCAGCAATAGTCACTTAAATTCAGCCAAAGCATAACAGAAAAATCAATTCTTAAACAGTCATTGTCTCAGAACCTGGTGTGGCTGTAGATCTACATGTGCACATAACCCACATTTACATCATAGAATATCCCATATCAGACTGACCTGTGATGTGGACTTCTGTGGTAAACTTTTAAAAAGAACATATATGTTCTGACCTTTAAGCATTGGTGATTCTTTCTGTATGAAGGTTTGTGGCTATTCGCAAAGGTCATTAACTTCTAACTGTCCTCAATGTGGTATCATGGCCATTTTCCCCCAATGTCCAGCTCAATGACCTGGAGAAGAAACATGCCATGCTTGAAATGAATGCCCGGAGTTTACAGCAGAAACTGGAGACGGAACGAGAGCTCAAGCAGAGGCTTCTGGAGGAGGTGGGTGCTGGACATCTGGCACGAAGAGCCAGGGGGATTTTGAAAGTGGTAATCTGTTGTGTTCAGGTGGTTAGATCCAAGTGAGACTTTCAGAATGTTCGAGGCAGGGTAACGTGGTCATTAATGCTTTCTTGAAGGCATTTAGCGAAACAAATGTGTTGTAAAGGCCGGTGGGTCTCTGTCCTCTGCATCCTCCCCTGTAGTACCGTCTAGACTGTGGGACTTGGTGAACATGTGCCAAATGGTAGTTTATTAAATATACGGGTGAATGGATATTGAGTTAAACTGTTCTTTAGAGTTAATAGCCAAAGGATATCAAGTTTACAGGCAGAACATCCATGCAAATTAGCTTTGCACAGAGCAAAGACTTGATCAGATTAGGAAGACTGCCAAATTTCATGAAGATTTTTGAACATTCAGTTAATTTGATTAAAAAAAAAATTGTGTCCTGCTTTTGAGACATAATATGAATAGCTTACATTGATCTCCTGGACCCAGCCCTCATGTTATTTCCTGGATCTTTTAACAGAATTCCTAAAATCACTTATCTAAATTGATGACTGCAACCCACTTCCAAATAAAACCCTGTATCTTAAATGGCTAAAGATGATGCTCTTGTTCATTAGAACCAACCTTCCAGAAGAAACACACTTTGTAAAGATATTTAAGGAGAATTTCCATTCCAACAGTGTTCTGTTTAACCCATAATGAGCCTGAACCCACAGTTCAAGTAACCGGGTTACCTGTTCTGGTTAATTGAGGTTTCATGGTATGATACCCACAGCTGCGGAGGGGTTCTGCTGATAGAAATAACACTGCTGTGCATTTAAGTTTGAAAAATATGGTGACCATTTTGCAGGTGAGTAAGAAATGTTTTATAGACTGAGACTCTAAAAACTACAGGGGGAGTCTGGGAAAATTCAGGAGAGGATGGTAGTGATGGTTGCAGAAGAGTATGATTTGTACTTAATGCTTAAAAGTGGCTAAGGTGGTCAAGTTTGTGTTACATATATAGGTGTGTATTGTGGATAAAGGTGTATATGGGGAGAGTTTTATCACAATAAAAATTTCTTTAATTAAGTTAATTTTATATAATTTTATATATTTAAAGGCCCCACACACACGAGTGGGGCCTTTACTAAGGGCAACTCTAAAAGTACTAATGAAGTTTAAAAATCTGCCTGGTGGTTGAATAGAGAAATACAGCCTTTTCTCTGGAGTGAATCGGCAATGTCCTCACTGTGGGCCCAAGTTGGAAACAGAAGGAACAAAAATAATCAGTGCTCTCGCCTGTCCTGTTTCCCTCCCGTGGAAGGAGAATTGGCCCTGACAGCTCAGTTCTTTGGTCCAAGGTTACTTGGTGAGTCAGTGACAGCACTAGGAATAGAAGCCGGGAGCCTGATTCAGTCCCCTCGTTCTCACTTCTGCACCACATGAGAACATTTCCAATTTCCCAGTGCGTAACGCACAGATTTTGAGCACAGGCATCTGGCTGACATTGAGTTTGAGACAGAGTTCGCTGACAATTGAAACCTTTATAATACAAAGAACTACCTTTGTTGTGCGCAGTGTGGCTGGGGTCTTCCTTGTGCTGTGTGCTCTAGCAGCATGTGACTAGGGCTTCTGTACATCAGGTACAGGTACACCCTCTTTGTTAGGTCTAGACACCTGTATGGTGGGGCTGGAGTCGGGCTCCAAGTTGGAAAGAATTTTTTGGTGTCATCTAAATTCCCAGCACTGACCTCTCTTCCTTTTACCCCTGTCCCTGGCAGATTTTACTAATGAATCTCTCTCCCAAATCTTTCCTTTTGAGTCCAAAATGACCTCAGAAGGCATTTTAAAGCCACTGCTATTCCATTGGCTATAAAACCTGAGGTGAAAGTCCATTTGCTATTCCTCTTCCAGTTGGTATCCTGTATGAGGTTGAGAACCCTCACAGCTGGGCCTTGCTGAGCTGCGGCCTATGTACCACAGTGACTTTGGACATCCAGCTCATCTCCCAGCACCTCTGACTGCTAGGAAGGCCTCGTATTTTGAACTAAAGACTGTAACTTCCACCCATGGGGTCTGCTCGGTCAAAACATTTAGAAATAGAGCCACCTGTATTTCCAACCCAAATGGGAGATTAATATTGATTAATAACAAGCTACCTGCTTATTAATCAAAATAATGCACATTTATTTAGCACTTACTATGTGCAGATGCCTTTCTGAGTCCTTTACAGAAACTGATTCATATAGTCCCTGTGACAGTTCTGTGAAACAACTATGTTCCTTATCTCCATGACAGTTGATTTGGTATCTAACTAGCTTTCCTGTTCTAAGTCACTTTTTCTTTTCTAAATGAAGCATTGCAAGTCCCTAAGTGTGGGGTTTTCATTTTGAGTAGGTTGATCTTTCCAAAGAGAGTTTCAGGAAGTCTGCATGGTCCAAACATCTCAGAATACGGTGGGGCTCCTCCACCTCTGTCCTGGGCCTCAGAAACCTCTGCCAGTGACTGGGGCTCTCAGAGCTTCCTCACACTGTTGACACCATTGACCTGGTAAAACTCACCACTTGGCTGCCACGTGTTTTTTTCTTAAACATCCTTATGTTATTTGTTCAGTGGAAGTTTTAAAAAACGTCATCCTTTCGAACATTCTGTGGTTGGTTTGGACCCGTCCTTCCAGCCACCAGTCTCATTTCACAGCTGGTTCTGTCATCTGTTTCCTTCACACTCCCTCACCGTCCACAGCCCCCCTCAGGAATGGGGGGCTCTCAAAACGCAGCTCAAGCCTGCCCTTTGGCATGGCCCCGGAACAGCCTCCACTTGCTTCTCTCTGGGAAGCAGGTAAATAGTTTGGAACAACCCTCCATTGAACACAAATGTCACTCTTGTTTTTTATTAGAGTAAATAAGCAGCCTCTTTCTTGGAAAGCTAATGGGCAGTCGATGTGTTATTCTAGAGAAATATTTTGGGCTTGGCTGTCACCAAATAGATCGCTATCCCCGGCACTTGTTTCTCTGCTTCCTGCCTAGTAATTAATGTTGTCCTAAAATAGTGGGAAGAAACGCAAGAGGATAATTTGCAGAGGAAATCACTTGTGCTTCTCGGGCTTGGTGACATCGTATTAGAGGTTATCTTAGCTATTTTCTCTTTTTCTCTTTGTATTTCAGAGGGAGGTTGTGGTTTGATTCAGAAATTCCAGGTTGGCACACAGGCCAGGGCGTTGTCGGTTAGTCAGTTTCTCTTGCTTTGTGGAAGAGGTGCTTTCAGAAGCACCCCTCTCTTAATGGTAAGGGAAAGGCTGCTGGGGTAGGTTGGGTCAGGGAAAGGCTGAGAGTGAAGCGAGAGGCGACCAGGTGACTGGATGGAGGGGAAAAGAAGGACAGAGGAGGCAGCACTAAAATTCACCAGGCACCTGCCGTCAGCTAGGCTCTGTGCTCAGTATGTCACCTCCAAGGGAAGGTGTCACACTCATGTTCAGGTGAAGAAACTGAGGATCCTAGAGGCAACTGGAGTTGCTGGCGCACGTCACATGCCTGACACGTGGCAAAGTTGGATGGAAAGCAGGGTCTGGAAGATTCCAAGGCCCAGGTTTGTTTCTACTCCCTGGTGTTGCCTCATGTCGAGAGGAAGAGCAAGTGAGGTGAGGGAAAGAAGTGGAAAGACATGGAAAGAAAGCTAAACAGGTGGAGGGAAGTGAAGTGGGCAGATAGAATCAGTGAACCCCAAGACAGTGGCAAACTTTCCGCCTGTGCTGCCTGCTGTGGCCTGTTGAAATCTCCCATGGTGGCATTTACTGCTCCTCAAAGGCTGTCGGTCCTTGAGTCTGCAGAGGGTCTAGGCAACCCGAGGAGAGCATGTTTGGGCCAGCGCCAAGATAGACCAACCCAGGAGCCAGATGAAATCAAGCAACAATGTGTGAGGGTAGCTGCTCTCTTCTGCTTTTTTGAACCAGAATTGATTTAGAAAAGAGAGCCAGCACAGGCAGTGTCTTCCTAGCCTGCCCTTCTGGTTGACTTCCATTGCAAACACTGGAGAGCTTTGTAGCACAAAACTACTTCCAGTATACTAAATCGAAATTTTTCCTCTCTGGGTTTTACCAACACTTGTGCTGAATCTGGTATTTTCCTTTCTCCTTACCCTGTAGAAATATCACCTTTGATTGCAGTTGTTTGTATGCCTGTTGGGGTCCCTCACCCCGTTAAGGGACTCTTTGACAGCATTGATATGATTCCCGTTCGTGGATTGCCACACCGAAAAGTGATTGTTACTGTAGCAGTTGAAATCTCAAAAACAAAAAATCAGGGCAAACTGGATCTTAGTTGTAATGGCAGGAAGCCTCGCTCAGGCAGCTCAGACTGTTAGGTCCCCAAATGGCCTTAATAATTCTGACTGGGGATGCAAACCCACAAGCCCAGCCTTCCCACGCGGGGGCTTTTGGAGCTAGCAGGCCTTCAGGGATTTCTGTGCAAATCCTCTAACTGTATGTGCCTCATTTTGGAATAGAAGACAGTTGGTAATTCTGGAATGAGATGAATCCGAAAGCTAAGTTTTTGGTGCCATGCCTGGAATTAACTTAGCGACAGGAACAGGAGAACAGTTGTACGGCGTGGGGTCCTGAGCCCCTGTCTGGCCTTTCTGCCCCCCAGCAAGCCAAACTGCAGCAGCAGATGGACCTACAGAAGAACCATATTTTCCGTCTGACTCAAGGGCTGCAAGAAGCTCTAGATCGGGCTGATCTGCTGAAGACAGAAAGGAGTGATCTGGAATACCAGCTAGAGAACATTCAGGTGAGGACTGCCACAGGGCATTTGCTTTACCATTGTCCGCAGAGAGGCCCAGCATGATGATAAAGGCCATCTGGTATTGTGGTCAATGTGTTTATTTCCCCCAGCATTTTCCTATGAAAATTTTCAAGCATTTGGAGAAGTTGGAAAATTTCTACAATGCTGAGCCACTAGGGTCCACGACTAGCCATGTGCTATTTTTACTTTTTCCACATATCTGTCCACTCATTGGTGGATCTTTCTTTCGGGGGGGGGGGCGGGTAGTGTATGTGGAGAAGGTTAGGATGAAGTACATAACTATTGAGCCAGTGTGGTTGGTGTTGAATTTTTCATGTACTGATATTCCCGATGATGTTTTTACTCTCTTAATAATAAAGTAATTTAAGAAATTGCTTTTCTTTCTGAATCTGAGGTTATTTTTAACCTTCATGAATTTTAGGTTCTCTATTCTCATGAAAAGGTGAAGATGGAAGGCACTATTTCTCAACAAACCAAACTCATTGATTTTCTGCAAGCCAAAATGGACCAGCCCGCTAAAAAGAAAAAGGTGGGTCAGAGTGTCTGAAAAATGGTTGGTGGACAGTTTTTGCTTAATCATTAGGATTCAGTGAATACCACAGTGATAGAGAATCATAGGAATGTTGAAGGAAACAAAAATATACATGTTGTTGTTGCATTGGGGTTGAAAGATGGGTTTTGAGATCATGAGACTAACTCCTAAAGAGAGGATGTCATTCTCAAGTGTGAAACAAACTACTTTATGTCCATGGCCTTCACAACTATAATGCCTGTCTCTGTGTAGTGAGTGGTTGTTTTTGTTTTTGTTCTGACAGCCGGGGTAAGAGTGGTGTGCAGAGACAAGGCCTATGTGTGGGTCCCCTCTAGAGGGATTAGCAGGACTGTAGTGAAATTATAAGACTCAGAGAGATTACAGGCCATTCCTATGGAACTCTCAAGAGATTAGTAGGTCACAACTGTACGGGACTCAAGAAAGACAGAGGGGGGTTCTCAGGTTCAGATGTATCGCACTCCAGAGGGATTAACAGCTCATCTGTGTGGGGCTTTGAGAGAATTCTCAGGTCACACGTATGGGACTCCAGAAAGGACTAGAAATCATCTCTGGTCCGGTTCTCTTCATTAGCTCACAAAGAGACTGGGACCCTGAGAGCTGAAGTGACCTGCCTAACATGCCAGGCTGGAGAGCTGTGCCCTCTACCCAATACTGCTTTCCCCCTGTAAGATGGCCTCAGACAGATGAACGGTCAGAAAAACCAAACCAAACTAAAGCTGAGGACAGGGTTCTATGTAGGTGCACACGGGAAGAGGTTTATTAAGTCCCACACCTGCGTCCCTAAACCACCGAAGCCCTCCGACTAGGCCTGGCCAAGTGTTCTTAGTTCACAAAGCTCCCTGGGGCGCTCTTGGCTTCCTTCCAGAGACACTTGTGCGCCAGAGAAGCTGTGGCTGCAGTTCACAGGCCTGGCCTCGGATGACTTGGGGTCGCGAGAAGCGGGCTGGAGTGGCCAAGCGGTCTTGCTATTCCTGCCGCTCTCCTCACTGTGGGGAATGAGAACAGCACCCAGGAGTGGCCTCCTGCTGAGCTGTGGTTGTTGGGGAAGGGCCCTTGTAGCTGTGTGACTGTCTGTGTTTGTCCTGCTTATGATATTTAATCTTTTTTTTATTTTAGCAGCGGACTGTTATTTGATTATGTTATTGATGTAGTTAGGGTGTTTCCATTTATTTTTCTGTTGTTACATTCTTTTCAGCCACATTATTCTATGTTGGGTTTTTTTCTTCCATGCACAATACATGTTTTCATTTGCATTTTTTTTTTTTTGTTTTTTTGAGTCAGCCCCTTGTCTTGATATCATTTTTGTATTCGATTTATTTGGCTTCTTTTTTAAAAACAAAACAAAACAAAACACCCATCTCTGTGTCTTGTAACTAAGCATCCTGAGACAAATTCAAGGCAAGAGTGATTTCTGAACCATCTCTCCTGACTCCATCCTCCACTTCCATTTTTTGAGGGCAAAGACTCAGGAAATGACTCTCCTTCTTGGGAATGCTAAAGGAAGAGGTGGTGGCAAATCAAGCATCTTTAATCCTCTCGGTGAAAACTTCCGCACCCCTATTTTTTTTCCAGCCGACTGGAATGGGCTGTGGCTCAGTCACCCCTTTCCCCCCTTCACATGCCATTTTCACTAAATCCGCTTACAGTGAGTATGCTCCTGGCTTTCGTGGTTTGCTCCTCCCAAGTCAGAGTTCCTTTAGCTAGTTTCAAGTGCCAGTTTCCAGGAGTTAGGAGATATCTCTGTTTCCATTGCTAGGGTTTATTTAGTCGACGGAAAGAGGACCCTGCTTTGCCCACACAGGTTCCTCTGCAGTACAATGAGCTGAAGGTGGCTCTGGAGAAGGAGAAAGCTCGCTGTGCAGAGCTAGAGGAAGCCCTCCAGAAGACACGCATCGAGCTCCGGTCTGCCCGGGAGGAAGGTAGGGGTGCTGTCTGTGCGGAGAGCTGTGGAAAGGCAGAGGACCCATCTCCAGGAGATTGGTCAAGACTAGCCAGTGTTTATGGCCCATACACATTCAGCCCAGACACCCCGAGTTCGGAAAAATTCACGGCACCTTTGGTGCCAATCAGGCACGATTATATCCTTTTGGTCTCGGGTCCTTGAAAGACATCCCAGGGGCAGTCCACTTGGCTTGTCCTGTTGGCCATCCACTAACCAAAGGCATTGGCCTGGTCTCTCTCCAGCTGCCCACCGGAAAGCCACAGACCACCCACACCCGTCCACGCCAGCCACCGCCCGGCAGCAGATCGCCATGTCTGCCATCGTGCGATCACCTGAGCACCAGCCCAGTGCCATGAGCCTGCTCGCGCCCCCCTCCAGCCGCAGAAAGGAGTCTGCAACCCCAGAGGGTGAGTTCTCAAGGGGCCCTGGAGTTGTGTGGACAAACTAATTAACTAGGCAATAAAGACATATGGTAGAAACAGCTGTTAGTAAGACTAATACTGTGCTGGGCCCTTCTGCCCTTGCCTATGGGTCCACCCTGTTACATTACTAACAATACTAATAACTAGGACAGGTGGGCCTCCCTGTGGCACAACGGATTAAGCACCGCACTACGAAGCAATCCTGAAGCCTCTGCAGCATGAGTTCCATCCCCGGCCTGCCAGGGAGCTAACCCACATGGCACAGCAGACCTCTCCTGTCTCGCCCGCTGCTCCCCTCAGCAGTGTACTTTGGTCAATGTGCCTGTTCTGTTCCCCACCCTGTCTCTGGTGCATCCCCTCACCATCCGCACCACATCTCTGGCCTGTACCCCAGCTCTTGTATGCATCAATAAATAAATCTTTAAAAAAAGAAAGAAAAAGAGGACAAGTGAGTCTTCTCCCTCCTCACTCCCAGCTCACTTACCCAGGGTCAACCACTGTATTTTTCCAGTGATAATTCATGCAAGTAACTGCATGTCTATATAATTCATATAATTATATTTTAAAGAGTATGAACAAACAAGCATATTCTTTCAGCTCTTTTTTTTATTAGCATCATAGCACACTGATAGACACTGCACAAACACCTTTCCTCCCTTAGTTAAAAATGTTATCTTAGTTTCTTATTGACACGCAAAGATCTCTTTCATCCTTTTAAAGGACTGCATGGTATTCCATGGTGTGGGTTGGTTCCCCTGTTAAACCAGACCCCCTGTTGATGGGCATTTAGGTTATTTCCAGTTCCTTGACACCATAAACCCCCACAGTGAGCGTCCCCTACCTGTGTGGGCATTGTGTCTAGGAGCAGATTTGCTGGGTCATGTGGTAACCTGGATCACGGGACTCTCAAGTGACTGCACCATTTTACCTTCCCATCAAATACCTGTGACAATTCAAGTTCCAGTTTCTCCACCAACACGTCTATCCCACATTTTAGATCCCAGACAACCTAGAGGGTGTGAAAGGGCATCTCATTATGGTTTGGATTTGTCTTCCCCTAATGGCTAATGATGCTGAGCATCTCTTCTTGGACTTGTCAGGTTTCTTTTTATTATTTGTTGTAACAGCTCTTTACATATGCTAGCTACAAGTCCCCAATCAGAGAGCTGATTTGCCAGTATTTGTTCCCCTTTCCAGGGCTTGTCTTGTCATGTTCTTGATGGGATCATTGGCAGCCCTCTCAGTATTCTTAAAATATTTCCCTCCAGAATTCAGTCGGCGTCTCAAGGAACGCATGCACCATAATATTCCTCACCGATTTAACGTGGGACTGAACATGCGAGCCACAAAGTGTGCCGTGTGCCTGGACACCGTGCACTTCGGACGCCAAGCCTCCAAGTGTCTCGGTAAGAAGTCGTGTGTCTCCACCTGAGAGAAATCTGTGTGATGGAGGCGGGTTTTTTTTCTTTTCTAAATTCCTCCTCATAGAGTGTATTCATTTTCAAGCTTTTAGTTTCAGTGGGAGGACACTGTATTTCCCCTGTGAAAGGAGTGAGTTTCTACATGTTTTCAGCTCCTGTCTCCAACCCCCTGGGCAAAGTGCCTCTGGCTTTGCTAATTTCCAGCCGCTTTCTGTCAGGCTCCTCTCTCCCGGGAAAGTGTGGGGATCACCCAGATGACAGGGCCAGGCTGACAGGACCCGACAGGGAGTTCATTGGCGGAGGAAGGGGGTGGTTCCAGATCTGCCGAGTATGTTCTCAGTGTGTTCACTGCTTCCCCTAGAGTGTCAGGTGATGTGTCATCCCAAGTGCTCCACGTGCTTGCCGGCGACCTGTGGCCTGCCTGCCGAATATGCCACACACTTCACTGAGGCCTTCTGCCGTGACAAAATGAACTCCCCAGGTCTCCAGACCAAGGACCCCAGCAGCAGCTTGCACCTGGAAGGCTGGATGAAGGTGCCCAGGTAGGTATGCCCAGGGCTGGCTTGGGCTGTGCAGGTGAAGAGCAGCCAAAGAGCCCACCCCCACATGGGCCGTGTTGGTGTAGGGATTCCTTTGCACCAAAGTCACTTGAGAAATGGCAGGTGCAAGAAGGACACTCTGACCTCCCATTTTTCCTCCCGAGAGTAGAAGCTAAAACTCCCCATAAAAGCTGCCCTCCTGAGACCAGAGAGGAGAAACATTTGTGTTACCAGAGACAGGGTGGGTGGGGGAGGCAGCCGAGAGAAATCTAGGCAAGGACACCTTGTCAAAGGAAGCACTTTCTTGACCTCCCTGCACTTTTACTCACTTGTCACAAGTGCTACTTTTTGTTCAATCGGTGTACCAGCCCGTGGGCCCGCCCGTGTGGTGGAGACGCCCCTGCACACGTGGAACAAAGTGCTGCTGTTGAGATTGTCCCATCTGTGGGATCCCAAGACCAGCCACGGAACCTGACAGTGTGGAGGAAGCCAGTCTCCTCCCCACAAACCATTTCCTGAGGTTTCCTAGGCCATTGTCTTTTCTAGAGCCCCCCCTTTCCTCCACCTGATACTTCTGAGCTCAGACACCTCTCTTTGGCGTCTCTGTTTTCCCAGAAACAACAAACGAGGACAGCAGGGCTGGGACAGGAAGTACATTGTCCTGGAGGGGTCTAAAGTCCTCATCTACGACAATGAAGCCAGAGAAGGTAAATTAGCAGCGCAGGGGAGCCTCGCTGCATGCGGGTGGCCCAGGTCTCCCAGTCTTGGCGCGAAGGCTTTGTTTTTGGACTGCGTTGCCAGCCTTCTGCGGTTTCCCATTGACGGAAACTGAGAACCAAATGACTTGGCTAAAGGTTATTGGTACGATACTCACATCTATAGGTCTCCCCTCTGAGGAACCCGCAGGGCGCTGCCCTGAAGATTCTACCTGCTAATACACCTTCAGAGAACTCCTGCCTCAGTCAACTAACCCATAAATCCGCATCGTCATCAGAAATTTGACTGTGCTACTCATCTGACACACTTTATTTTTTTTTTATCTTCCCTCTCCTCCTTCTCTGGACACCTTCCCTCCTCCTCTGTTCTCGTGCGCCTCTTTCCATGCATACCCTGTCTCTCTCTTCCTCTCTGCTCCCTTTGTTCTCGTTCCTGTTCTTTTGTTTTTCTTTCTGCCCTTCCTCTTTGAACCAAGCTGGACAGAGGCCGGTGGAAGAATTTGAGCTGTGCCTTCCCGACGGGGACGTATCTATTCATGGCGCCGTTGGTGCTTCTGAACTCGCAAACACAGCCAAAGCAGGTGAGGGGGAGCAGGAGCACAGGATGGGGGGACCTGCTTAACTCCCCCATCTATGTCGTCGTAGCTGGGACTTTACTGTCTCAGGGTGCTCACCCCCAGCAGGATGAAGGAAATCCACACCCAACACTGTGCTCTCTGTCGAATCTCCTAGATGTCCCATACGTACTGAAGATGGAATCCCACCCACACACCACCTGCTGGCCCGGGAGAACCCTCTACTTGCTGGCTCCCAGCTTCCCCGACAAGCAGCGCTGGGTCACCGCCTTAGAATCAGTTGTCGCAGGTGGGAGAGTTTCTAGGGAAAAAGCAGAAGCAGATGCTGTGAGTATGAAAATGGGCGTTGGCGCCTGTCTTTGTAAAGGGGGCTTACTTGGGAACCTGTCTTAGCCATGGGAAGCCTGCTGGCCACTGAGACTCCCCATGGCCCCCTCCCTGGGGATGATGGCTAGAGCCTGTCCCAACCAGAAGTTATGTGATGACAGGAATGCCAGCTTGCATGACCCTCCCCACCCAGGTCTTCCTCAGCAGCCATTGCAGAGGGTGTCAGCACTGCCAGTCAGCTCTGGGGGCAGGATAGGTGTTACACACCTGAGCCTGTTACTCAGGTGTGAACATGTATGTACGAGGCAGTCCTGTCTCTTGTGAACCCTGATGTGGTAGTTTGGTTTAAAGGGTCGGGCCACCTGGGCGGTGACGCCACACAGAAGGCTGCCAGCACCATGTCGACCTCAGGCAGGCTGTTCCCAACCTCCTCAGTCGCTGCCACACAATCTGCTCCCCGTAGGCAGGTCTGAAATCCTCTCCTCGAGATGTTAGAAACGTAGGTGTGCCGTGATTGGCATCACTCCTACTAGACGCTCCTACTAGAACGTTCCAGGATACAAACAGTGCTCACCGCTCACTGTTTTCTCCACCGAAGACCAGACTTCTTCTTTCATACACTTAGTTCTGGAGAATTCTTAGCCATGAGCCTCCTTCCCTCCACCCCCAGCCCCCCAACGCCTCCCAATGGGAACTTTGCTTCCTGGGTAGACCTGTGCTGACCTGTTGTTATACACCTGAGCCTTTTACTGAAATCCACATCAATGTGTGTATAATAGGGCCCTGGCTGCATTTCCTATGAGCTTCTGCCTGCGTGGGTTCAGGTAAAGAGATTCCCAAGCTTGTTGGTTTGCTGCTGACACTACGCTTTGCACGTCTGCAGTGCCCTGGAGGGACGGAGCCTTCCTTGTGGCTTATTAACCCCTCACAGGCAAAATCTCTTTAGCTTCAGCTTATTTCTCAGCAGAGCCCCCCTCTGTCTGCGGTGCTCACTCATTTCTGTGTTCAAGCCTAGCTGTAACCCCAATGCTAATTAACAACCATCCCACCGAACCAGAACCTTTCACATCTTCTTACCTTGTGAGTTCAGATCAAAATGTGGGGAGAGCCAGCGCAGATGTGTGTTCCCGAGTGTTTTCAGGAGTCACTCACCTTTCCTCCTGGCAGCAGACTTCCCTTCACTCTTGCTTTTGTCTGTCTGGAGGACCTGGTGCAGGCAGCTCGATCTCACCATGTCTTCTTTTTTCTTTTCTCTTTTCCCTCTTCACATATGCAAAGAAACTGCTTGGAAACTCCCTGCTCAAACTGGAAGGCGATGACCGCCTGGACATGAACTGCACACTGCCCTTCAGCGACCAGGTGAGGGTGGTTTGTGCGGGTGAGAGGGAGTGGCGGGTGTCGTTCCTCTCGCGGCCGGGCCTGTTGCCATGATGGGGTCTCGCTCACGTTCCGCCCTCTGTGTCTGACTGTGCAGGTGGTGTTGGTGGGCACTGAGGAAGGGCTCTATGCACTGAATGTCTTGAAAAACTCGCTCACCCACGTCCCGGGCATTGGCGCCGTCTTCCAAATCTATATCATCAAGGACCTGGAGAAGCTGCTCATGATAGCAGGTGGGAGGCCAAGGACATGCACTCTTTGCACTTAGAAGGGAGGACTTTGAAAACCAAATGCCACGCTCATGGGACACTCTGGCACCTGCCTCCTTGTGGCGAGTTCCTTCATCTGTGCCCCTGTCCGTGCCTAAGTGGGCTCTCTGTCAGGTCTGGCCCCTTAGTGTCCTAGGTGGTGCAGTCTGACACCCCAAAGAACAGCTCCCCATTATGCCAAGGGAAGAGGATTCAGCCTGAAATGGGACCCTTTGTTCTGAGCCATGACCTCCCCAGAGCTGGCCTGTCCTTGGCTGTTGTCTGCTTGTTCTGTGGCCTCTTGTGGATCCCACTCACCACTTGTTTACATTTGTCACATTTTTCCTAAACACACACACACACACACACACACACACACTGGAGTGTCAACGGCAGCTGTGACGCCAGGTTCTCTCCTATATCACCTTTTTTTTACATGGTAATTTTTTTTTCTCTATTAAGAGGAACACAGTCATTTATTGGCTCAGTGTCTGAAACAGCCACGGTTGGGTCTTGTTTCGGGAATGGCTGGGTGGACCCCAGCACTGGCATTCATGGGCCTGTCAGTGCTTTTCCTCTACTCACTTTGTTTCTTTTTCTTGCTTTCCTTCTTTCCTTGCTTCCTTCCTGACTCTGTTCTTTAGAGCAGCTTTAGGTTCACAGCAAAATTGAGCAGAAGGTACAGAGAGTTCTCACATCGCTCCTGCCCCCACACGCTCACAGCCTCCCCCTCTACACAACCCCCAGCAGAGTGGCACATTTGTGGTAGTCGATGAGCCTGTAATGACACATCATCATCCCCCAAAGTCCATCGTTTACCTTGGGGCTCCCTCTGGGTTCTGTCCATACCGTGGGTTCTGACCAACGTGGATGGCGCGTACCCGCTGGTATCACCTCATGTGGAGCTGATTCCCGTGGTACAGTTTTCACATTCAGGGGATTTAACCCTTGCACACCATTACCTGATGTATCGCCCAGGCTCATGTTGTACGTGTGGCTCCAGGAATGAGCTTTAGCGTATATTCCCCCTTGTTGCTTGAGCCAGGCTGGGGTCATGCAGTGCAGTCAGGCTCCTTCAATCTGGAACAGACCTTTTTAGTCTTTCTTTTGGCTTTTATGGCCTTGACACTGGACTAACCCCAGCCCATCATTTCATAAAATATCCCCTCATTCCCCAAAATTCTTCATTTACTTTCATAAGGAGCATGTTTGAAATTACAGTTTGCGTGGCACTGTCTCGCCTTATGTCCATGGAATTTTTTTTTTTGGTCTCCTCGAATCTTGACCAAGAGACCAAATATTTTTATTTTAGATCTAAAACTTGGTGCTCAACTGTGTTTACAGTAATTTGTGGAAAACCCAGCCCATCCACATGGCCTGTTAGGTGTTTGTGAATAGAAGTAGAACTGCTGTCCTTGTCCTTTACCTAACGACCTCACACTGACTGAGAATCTCTTCCTTTTCCCCTCAGGTGAAGAGCGGGCCCTGTGTCTCGTCGATGTGAAGAAAGTGAAGCAGTCCCTGGCACAGTCTCACCTGCCTGCCCAGCCGGACATCTCACCCAACATCTTTGAAGCTGTCAAGGGCTGCCACTTGTTTGCTGCTGGCAAGGTGAGCTCTCCTGGGGCTCAGCTGGTGGAATGTTCTGGAAGGTGTGCACTGCCCCTCCTTCTTCTGGGCTTATTGATTTAACCTTGAAAATTGTATATCCTCAGGGCCTCCCTGGTGGCCTACGGGTTAAGTCTCAGTGCTATCACCACCACGGCCTGAGTTCAGTCCCCGGCCAGGGTGCTGACCCACATATGGCGCAGCAGACCTTTCCTGTCTCGCCCCCTGCTCCCCTCAGCAGTGTATTTCAGTCAGCCTGCCTGTTCTGCTCCTCAGTGTGTCTCTGGTGAATCTTCTCACCCCCTTCTCCGCACCTCTGGCCTGTACCCCAGTTCTTCTATGCAATAAATAAATCTTTAAAAGAAAAACAAAACTGTATATCCTCAAACTGGGTTAATTCTTCTTCTAATTTTTTAAATTGTCTGGCTTCCTTTAGGCTTATGAAATAATACATGTTGTGATCATGTCATGAAATTTTATACAGACTTTGAATCTACAGGCAATGTCAGGAAAATGAGAATAAGATTAACAAAACTAAAAGGATGATCCATGGTTTGAAGAAATGATGTGTGTGTGTGAGATAGAACCTTTTTTAATTTTTTAATTCAATGTAGAACTCTGCATCTGAGGTGGAGGAGAGGATGTATGATTACTAGAAGTTTGCAAATCCTAATTTATGACATTTATATAACATCAAGTCAGTTCATGAGGACTCACGTTAATTCTTTGGAAGTTAATAGCATATTGAAATTTGACGCATAAATACTTTTGCTTCTCTGTATCTTAAAAAATAAAAAAGGAATATTTATGGTGCATACAATGTTCATGAAATCTGGATCAAGCTTTTGTAGATAACAGAGGCTGCTGGAGTCCTGCTGTTGAAAACCACTGCCTTTGCTTGTTTAAACTCATTTAGACTCTCAGCCAGCACTCAGCAGGTACAAGCCAGGCACTTGACTGAGCTTTCAGAGGTGTCTGTCCTGAGGGCTGGAGGGCTGGTCAGGGAGAGAGTGACCTAACCCAGGCGTTCTTCCCTGAGGGCTGTGGCTTCTGGGACTCTTTGGCCTGGCGGGGACTCTGTTTCCTAGTGACTTCTGTGAGCGTTGGGATGTTTAATGATGGCAAATAACCAAAAGGTAACAGAATGTCAGATAAGAGAAAGTCTGGCCTTAGCAAGGTGTTGATTTGAAAAGGTTTCTTGGAGAAGAGGGATCTTGAGGAAGCTGGTAGAAGGACACGGCCTGAGGGAATTGGAAATTTCAGACCAAATTTCAGGGGAACCAAGTGAGGTGAAACTCTCATACCCTTGTCAAGGTTAACTTTTTTCTTTTTCAAGAGAGCATTTCTTGTTTATCCTTTGTGGTATTCTCTTAGAGTACTTCTATTTCTCATCCTTAATATTGTGCCTTATCTCTTATTTGTCTCAGTTTCATCAGAGATATTTGATGTCATTAATCTTTACAGAGGAGCAGCTTTGGGCTTTATTGGTTCTCTTATAGTGTTACTTATTTGTTTTACATTTGTGTTTGGTTTTCTTCTCCATCTGTTTTCTAGGACTTTGTTATTCTTTTTCTAACTTCTCATTTAGCTCATCAGTATTTAGGTCTTCTTTTCTAGTACAAGTATTTTAAGGCTATACATTTTTTCCTTCAAATTACAACTCTAATTGCCTCCTTATAAATTTTTTTCATTCCACATATTCTCAAATTCCTTATAATTGCTTCTGTTACTGATGAGTTACTTAGAAATGTGCATTTTAGTCTCTAAAGTTTAGTTTTAAAGCTATAAATTTCCTTATGTTTAAAATTCTCAAAAATACATGGAAGTACATGTGTTATGAAATTGTAACACCTACCAGTGTGGTAAACAAAACACTGCCCACAAGCTCCATTTCTGTGTCCCTCCCACACCCCCTCCCACCTGCCCCAACCACCCTGCCACCTGTTGACCCTCACTTGGGTGGTGATTTGAGCTGTGAGTTTCTTTTCTACTTGGGTGAAGCAATGGGATCTAGTTTAGGAGGTAAATAAGAGGGATTTGTTCTAGAAAGAGAGTTTTGATGTCATAGCCCTCTAGGTCTCAGCTAAGAACTCTGCTTGGACCACAATCTTCCCTAAATTCCTAGCAATTTCTACTGCCTTTCCTCTCCCTTGGGCTAAGATCATCAAAGAACTCATTCTCCAGCAAAAGGTACCTCCACATAGATGTGTGCCGTGTGTCGGGGGTGGGGGCATCCCAGCCTCCTCTTGATTGCTGTGGCCCTGGCCCAGAACTCATCTGCACCACCCAACCCCAGAGACCCTGGACAATGTCTGAGATGTCTTTGGTTGTTACCACTTGAGGAGGGGCTGCTGTTGGCCTCTGGTGGGTGGAAACCAGGGCTAGCACTCGCCATTCTTCAGGGCACAGGCACAGGTTCCGTCTGGCCTAGAGTGCACAGGCTGAGGGCAAGGAACTTTGATCCATGATGGATGTATTGCCCTAGTTTTGCTGTGGAGCCAGTGTAGACATTGGCAATATTCTTTTTCCTTTCTGTCCCCCACTTGCTTTTCAGATTGAGAATGGGCTTTGCATCTGCGCAGCCATGCCCAGCAAAGTCATCATTCTACGCTACAATGAAAACCTCAGCAAGTACTGCATTCGGAAAGTAAGTCCCACCTGCCGTCCTGCTCTCCCTATCTCTGCAAGCTGGTGTGGCGAGCCTGCTGGCCTAATACTAGCTTGTGCCCTCAGTCCCCTCACCCCGCAGTCCTCCAGCCTGGTGCCCTCCAGATAGAGGCAGAGAGATAGACAGACAGACACCCTTCCTGGAGGAAGCCTCAGGCCCCCTAGTCTAGCAGCTTTTCCCTCTGGCTTGCTCGCCTTCTCACGTATGTGAGCTGCCTGTTCCCCCCCAGCCCAGTAATTTCAGCCTTTCATTAGGGGAGAAAGGATGTTGACTGATAGGAGACTCTTCTTTTGAACCAGATGGAAAAAGGAGGGCCATCTCTCTGAGAAGCTAGCAGTCCCTGGTGGTACTTACCAGAATCTTTCTCAGATCCTGGAAGTTTCTACTAATAACCTTTGTAGAACCCATGCTGGCTGCATTAGGGTATATGATTTGGGAGCTGCGGCACCCATCATGGCGGGGACAGGGTGTGTGTTAGATCATTACACCTGCCCCACCCCGCACAAGGCTGACTGTTGTCCCCGGACTGAGAGTGCGCCCCCCAGCACCAGCCTGAGCCATTTCAGCCTCACCAGCGACAGGAGGAATAAATCTGTAAGGGCCATTAACTGTTAGAGCAACAGTTTCTTCCCTGGGCAGCCCGGTGATAGATCAGGTGGTGCTTTTCCCGAGCACCTTCTGGCACCAGAGACTAAGCTGGCTATTTCAAAGATGCTCCACAGCAGTTCTGAAAAGCAGGGCAGTCACCTCTAATTTTCAGTGAAAGCTGGCCAAGATCCTCAGTTACACAGTTGACACCAAATCCAAACTGATTGTCCCCTGCCATTCCTCAATCCCATTTGGCCTAAAAGTTTCTCACACTTAGCTGGTGATCAGTAAATATTTAGTGATGATGATAATGCTGATTAGAATTTGAACTTTCAGGGCCTCCCTGGTGGCCTAGGGGTTAAGTCTCAGTCCTGTCACCACTGTGGCCTGAGTTTGATCCCCGGCCAGAGAGCTGACCCACATGGCGCCACAGACCTCTGCTGTCTTGCCTGCTGCTCCCCTCAGCAGTGTATTTCAGTCAACCTGCCTGTTCTGCTCCCCACTCTGTCTCTGGTGGATCCTCTCACCCCCTGCACCTCTGGCCTGCACCCCAGCTCTTCTATGCAAAAATAAATATCTTTAAAATAAATAAAATTCTATAAATTATAAAACAAAAAGAATTTGAACTGTCAGCTTCAGGAAAATTTTCAGAAATCTCTGCTACTTTAATTCCTGACCACCACTTGAATAAACATGCCTCAATTTTTGAAGACAGTAGGACTGACCTGAAAACAAGGAGAAATAATTAAGAGGTAGATAATTAGAACAGGATGACAATAGTGATATGATAATTAGGCAGTATAGGCTCAAATTAGAACCTTAGAAGAACAAAAAAAAAGAAGGAAACAAAAACCACCCCCTCTAACCACCACTGTTCATAGTTGGTGTATTTTTCCTGACTTTTTCTGGGAAAAGACTTATATTTTAAAGATCTCTCCCTGAATGCTACCTTTGTGTTGAAATGGTGCTTCTGACCCCTTTTTGCTCTGCAATCTGACCTGATTTTCTCAGAAGCCAGAGGTAAGAGAGCGCTCATGGGCCCCAGTGAGGGACTTGAAAGGATTGAGTGTGCTTTGTGAGAGCAGCCAGGGGGCCGCCTGCAGGCTTGCTTCCAAATCTGAGGTGGAAAGAGTAGAGCACAGAAGCGGGGTGAACGCTCACGTCCTCTGCCCTTTGTCTCAGGAGATAGAGACCTCAGAGCCCTGCAGCTGTATCCACTTCACCAACTACAGTATCCTCATCGGGACCAATAAATTCTACGAAATCGACATGAAGCAGTACACACTTGAGGGTAGGCCCCGAGCCCCCCCCCCCCCCCGCCCTGGCCCAGCACGGCCCACGCGCTGCCCCTACCTGGCCGCCAGCAGGAGCTATCCCTGAAGCCCGCTTCTCACCTGCCTTTACAGAATTCCTGGATAAGAATGACCACTCCTTGGCGCCTGCTGTCTTTGCCTCCTCTTCCAACAGTTTCCCTGTCTCGATCGTGCAGGTGAACGGAGCAGGGCAGCGGGAGGAGTACCTGCTCTGCTTCCACGGTGAGCCGGGAGGTGCCCAAGCACTGTGAGGGTTCGTGGGTGCCAGGAGTCTCGAACTGGGGCCCAGGGGGCTGGGATGGCCAGCAGAGCACTGGGAAGCAAGGTGCCAGCAGCACCAAGCTCCCGGGTGCCCTGCCCCACCACCAGGTGCTGGCCTGGTCCACCTCCCTCAGTGCTCTCCACAGAGTAGGCTGTCTCGCCTCTACCCTTGCTGCTGTTTCCTTCCTTTCCCTTTTTTTTTTTCTTCTTGATGTCCCCTCCACCCCCTGCCCCCAGATCTCTGGGTCTTTCTGTCTCTTCCTACCTGGCTCTGGGTCTCTTTCTCCCCTTCCTCCTTGCTTGCCTACTCCTCCTTCGTCTTCCTTCTTGCTGCCCTTCTCCCGTCTCTCCTCACTCACTTGTGCCCTCTTTCATCAATAGACCCCAGGGGTGTGGCCCAGCAGAGGTCCTCAGGCTTTAACTACCCAGTTAAATCTGGCGGGTGGTCCCCTGGGCTCGACCCCTTTTTCTCCTGTCCACATGAGAGTCATTGACACCCCTGCCCTGGGCTCTGACTCCTCACAGAATTTGGGGTGTTCGTGGATTCTTACGGAAGACGTAGCCGCACAGACGATCTCAAATGGAGTCGCTTACCTTTGGCCTTCGGTGAGTGAGGCAAGGTGGGGGTATGGGGCACTCTATTTTGCCAACAGCCAGTGTCCTGGGCAAGGCCTGCAGGTAGAATTGTTTTTGGCCTAAGTACTTTGCTTGTCTATCCATCGATGCCAGTGCCACACATAATCGTCACCCAAATAAATGTTCCTGGGTTCTGAGGCTTGATCCACAGGCCCCAATCCCAGCCTCGTGAAATATCTGTCAGGCCCTAAGGTAGAGAGGAAACCACTCCCTGTGAACTCCCCAGCATCATCTCAGCACCCATGGCTTTGGTGCCCATCAGTCTAACCAGCTCTCAGCAGACAGAGCAGGTCATGTGTGACTAGCAGCTCATGCTCGCCTCTGTGCATTCTCAAGTAGAGTACCCACTCACAAACCCCCAAAAGCAGGATCACTGGGTCAGAGTGTGAACACACACGTGCGTAAACTCACACAGGCACACACGCAAGGACAGACGTGTCTGTGTGGATGTTAAATATATCAGTGTCGAGCAGGTGGGGCACTGGGACACCTAGGAGGGCACAACACACAGGCAGTTGATGCTGGACACCGAGCGAGCTCAGCCGAGGCCTCACTTCCTGCCCTTGTGGGCTGCTTCCAAGGACCAGAGGGGGGAGTAGGCAGGCCCAGAAGCAGGCCAGGAGACCGGAGGGCATGAGCATGGGGAGGCGTGACTGATAGTCCTAATACCCAGGTAGTAGTTTGCCACAAGGAATCTTAGTGACTGTCTCTTTCCCTTTAAGACTCAGCTCCTGTCAGATCCCGGAGTTTCTGTGACACTGTGATGTAGAGATAGGTCATTCAGACCAGAAATACTTAATGATCTGTGAACCTACTCTTTTTTCTTTTTAAATCTAATGTTATGGAAAATATATGCAATCAAATGGTTTTCAAAAGTATATAATGAAAATTCTCACCCATATCAGCCCTCTCCCAAATATTTCATACCTGTTCCCCTAAGGAAGAAAAAAACTTATAATGAGTTTCTTATCCTCACACTGCTAAATGCAGATTTGACACATAAAATACATATCTTCTTTTTTTTAAGATTTATTTATTTATTCATACAAGAGCTGAAGTGCAGGCCAGAGGTGGGGGTGAGAGGATTCACAGAGACAGAGTAGGGAGCAGAACAGGCAGACTGACTGAAATATACTGCTGAGGGGAGCAGTGGGTGAGACAGGAGAGGTCTGCTGTGCTGTGTGGGTCACTTCCCTGGCTGGGGATTGAACTTGTACTGCAGAGGCTGCAGATAGCTTCATAGTGCTGCGACTTAACCCCTTATACCACCAGGGAGGTCAAAATACATATCTTCTGATCCCCTCTCTTTGTGTTTTTTTAATCAGTATGGATAGCAGCACATTTTACACATTATTCTAAATAACACTAAATAATACACCTTGGTTCCCCCACTGCTACAGAGAGGGCCTCTTCACACACTGTTATAACTTCAGATTCCCATAGATGGATGTAATGTATGTAGCGGATCCCTGGGCCATGCGGTTCAGTTAGTTCCCATCTTCTGCTGAAACAATTTGGTGGTGACTGAACCCCACCCACCCACCTTGGACTGCTGACACAGGGCTTGGGGACGAGGGTGGGAGTGGAGGGGGTGGGCAGCGGTGAGTAAAATCTTTAGGTGGGGTCTTTGGGTCTGTAGTGGCATTGCAGCCAGGTTTTGATTTTCTCCCTTTCAACCCCTCTTCACCCCACACAGCTTACCGAGAACCCTATCTATTTGTGACCCACTTCAATTCACTTGAAGTAATCGAGATCCAGGCCCGCTCCTCTCTGGGGTAAGCATAGCCCTCAGTCTTTGAGAAGCACAGCTCTTGGGACTGGGTGTCAGGGCAGCTGGTGCATTTCTGCCCTTGCTGCCTAGCCATGGTGGTGGCCTGCAGCATAAACTCTTCCTCTGGAATTCCACAGGACCCCCGCCCGAGCGTATTTGGAAATCCCAAACCCACGCTACCTGGGCCCTGCCATTTCCTCAGGCGCAATTTACCTGGCGTCCTCGTACCAGGATAAATTACGGGTCATCTGCTGCAAAGGAAACCTTGTGAAGGAGTCCGGCACTGACCACCACCGGGGCCCCTCCACCTCCCGCAGGTACCGCACCCTCCTCTTCCTCCTTACAGGGGACAAAGCAGAAGGAACTCTTGCTAAATAGGCTGACGGTGTCCCAATCTTTCAAGTCAAACCACTCCTTCCTTTGAGATCTACAGCACTGAAATGGCACTGTCCTTTATAAATATCCAGTGAATTTCCAAATGCCTCCCTGTAAAAAGGTGGAAGGAAATGTCTGGTCCTTCTCTGCTGGGTGTTTTCAATAGCTCTGTTTGGAATGGGTCATGAATTATGCATTTGTTGCTTTAGCAGATACTGTGCTGTGCTAGTGGGGTTTGCTGCAGGAAGGAGAGTGGTAAAAAGCCCCTCCCTGGTGTCACCCATAGGGAAGACACACACTGACAAGTGCAGCAAACCCAGGACGAGGCTTGCATGGGGTCATTCAAGGCCGTGTGGGAGCTCATAGGAGGGCCCCTGGCCTGGACTTGGGGCCGGGAAAGTCTTCCTGGAAGAAATGAGACCCTACAAATGGGCCATCCCTTCTTTCTTTGAATGTCTTAACATTTTTTGTTGAAAACCAATCCACATAATATAATGGGGCAACTCAGGGAGTCGGATCCCATCTTCCTGGGCATGTTGCTGCTATTTGACTGTCCTGGGCTAATTCTGTAGAGTCTGTGTCCTTGCTGCATGCACGTGCAGCTACTAACATTTCTGCCTGCTTAGTTTCATGGTCAACTAGTGACTGGGCAGAGATTTCCTTAATGCATTGGACCAATAAGTCTTCCTTCATTCATGCGTGCATGCGTGTGTGTGTGTGTGTCTGTCTCAGACTTGAGAGTGAAAAGACTGGAGACTGCTCAGGTTTCTTCAGCATATGGACAGCCTACCCTCAGTGTGTGGCCTGCTAGATTATCTGGAATACACAGGGCCATTTCAAAGCCCATAAAGACTGCATTCCCTGATTTCCTTGTGAGTGTTCAGCCAGTCTTGTTCCCCGAGCTGGTGTCGCAGCTGCAGGTATCTTGCCATGTTAAACAGTCACTACTGCTTGTTTTAGATAAATATCTGGGGGTAGGATTTTCCTCCTCAGCTAGTCCTGAGTCAGAACAAATACAAACAATCCCCAGGGATGGTCTTTCTAAGGAGTAACCAAGATGGATCTCACAGTGACAATTTTCTGGAGCTGGGGTTTTTTAGGGACCGCCAGTCCTGAGGTATTCCCTCTGGCGGCTGCTGGTTTTCACAGCCACCGTGGTCAAAGCTGTTGGTTTCAACACTACCACAGATCCTGGGAGAAGGGTGGGAATAGGTCAAGTTAAAATGTCACAAAGCTTCTTCTTGCGAGATATGGCTGTTTTTTTCTGAACTGTTGCAAGCCTCTGATTACTTTCCAGAGCTCTGAAAAATTGAGTTTGACATTTTTGCCAGCATTCTTGTTGTTTGTGAAGAAACAGGTTCTTGGAGATCCTGGCTCTACCATTTGGGAAGCATTCTTTTCTTCTTTTTCCTTAAAGATTTATTTATGCATACAAGAAGTGGGGTATAGGCCAGAGATACGGGGTAGGGTGAGAGGATTCACCAAAGACAGAGTGGGGAGCAGAACAGGCAGATGCACTGAAATACACTGCTGAGGGGAGCAGCGGGTGAGACAGGAGAGGTCTGCTGCACCATGTGGGTAGCTCCTGGTGGGGGATCGAACTCTTGCCACAGTGGCTGGTGAGAGCTTGATAATGCTGAGACTTTAACCCCTATGCCACCAGGGAGGCCCCTCTTCCCTTATTTTGAATACAGGGGACATCACTGTACCAGTTATTCTGGATCGTCATGTACCAGCGAGAGCACTCCTTGTTGGTATAAGAAGCATTTCCAAGTTTTTTTTTTCCACGCCAACATAGCATTCCTTCACCTGACCTCAGTTTACCTAATGCTCTTTTATCTTTGGATATTTGGGTTGTTTCTGCATAAATGACTTTGTACGTATGCCATTGTGCTTGTTTTAGAAACTCATCTGTAGGACAGATTCCTCGAAAAGGGTTTGATGGCTGACTGTGAGTGTGCATGTGTAATTCTGACAGGTGTCACTGGGTTTTTTCCCTCGAGGCTGTACCCCTGGGTATCCCCACCAGGCTGTGAAGTGGGACTGGCCTTGATACAAAGTATTAGGAGCTAGATCCAGATCAGGTTCGAGATGTGTAAGTTGGAGATCTTGGTCTGCACAGACAGACAAATTACTTTACCCAGGGAATACTAATTGATCTAGGATTTAAATTTTCTGGGCTGGTCTGTAAAACCCACATCTACCCTGTAAAGAGTTTATGTGGGCCCACCCCTCACCCTGTGTCAGACACAAAACCTGGGGGTCGGGATGCACAGATGAAGAAGATAGTTTTTATCCTCAGGGGATACCACGATCTGGTGAGGAACCACCACTAATATCACACAGTGCTTAGAGCTCAGAAAAGTCACCCACTTAATATCCTTAGACTATGTCCTAGTGAATAGGCTTTCTCTTCTGAAATAGGAGTTAGTCTGAAATGTTTGGTCAATGTGGTTTTAATCCCAGGAACTAATTGGAAAACCAGAGTAGTTTCCAAGTCATGCCAAGAACAAGTCAAATACTCAACTAAACCTTCATCCTCGTGAGAGGGCCAGGCATCTCCCTTCTGAGAACCTCTGGCTTCTCTGTGAGGAGTTACTCTGTGACTATGGGGCAAATGATGCTGTCGCATCCCTGTCATTGCCAGGCATGTCTGGAGAACCAGCAGTTAGTCTGTAGCTGTCCCGTGGCTTAGAAAAAGGTCTTTTTGCTGCTGGCTGCTTTGGGCAGGTCAGAATGTAGAAGCCAGCTTAGTTGAGTGTGATTCACTGCGGGCAGCACTGCCCGGGTCTGCTGAGCAGAGCAGGAAATGTAACTCTGCAAAAACCATAAAATTGACGTGGTAGATCATCGGTCATTAATGCATGTGGAGATGGAGGTTGCCCGTTCGGCCTGGAATGATGGGCATTTTCTTTCACCCCATCAATCCAAGCCGACATCCCAAATGGCCTCCCCTGAGCCGTCCTTCTTCCCCCAGGCAGCACGCACCCTCTCAAATGCTTTATGACGGGCCCTGCGGACACATCTTATAATTCCTCTTCCATTACAAATAGGCTTAATGTATTACTCCTACTTGGAATTTATTTTTTATTTGTCTTCTATATCTCAAAGCCATACAGCTAGAGAGGAGTATCAGCCTTGATTTCAAGGTGCTGGCAGCTGAGTCATCTGGAAGCTCCCTGCTCGGTGCCCCACATGGGGCTCTGGCTCACTGTGTCTGTGGTGGGATGGCCACACTGCATGGTGGCACGAAGAGGACCAGAAGCTCCTCACGGTGACTGACCAGTCACACAGTCCACTCAGCTCAGCAGCTGCTCTGTCTCACTGTAAAGCAGCAATTGGCCAACTCTCTGGAAAGGTCCAGCTAGTAAACATTTTCAGCTTCAGTGGCCACATGGGCTCTGTTTTGGTGGCTCAGCTCTGTTGTGGTCATGTGAGAGGTACACAGACGCCATGGCAGCCATCGGTCACACTTGGCTTATAAAATAGGCATCTGTCTGGACGTGTGGATTTGGCTCCCCACTTGATTTGGGGTCCCCCAGGGTGAGCCCCTGGGAGGTCTTTGTGGCTCAGTTGCTTACAGGCATTGACAGAGAGGATCTGGCAGAGTTTGACCAATAGTTAGGGGAAAAATCAACAAGTCGATAAAGTAATAGCCTTTTCCAAGAGGGCTTAAGTACCAAGGATTAAGTCTTTGGGAAAACCATTGCCACTTTAGAATACCTCTGAGCACACAACTGTGATTTTACTGCAAAAGTCTAATATTAGTGGAAAGGATGTCATGTAGCCTGCTTACAATTCTGCTGAGCAAGATACATCAGTATGTAGTCCACCCTTGGTTCACTCTTAGAATCGGCATGTAATTGCAGTTGTAATCCATTTAAAAAATATCTGGATAATTTTGTTTTCCAGATTTATTTCCCAGATAAAGCTCCAATGAAAACATGTCTTCAAGCAATAGTCACTATGAAATTTTCATCCCATTTTAAGTAGCTTGCCTTTTCGCTGTATGAAAAATGCTCAGATAATGAGGCTCTGAGTACTTTTTCTGCCCTTTGGGGTGGGAAAGAATTAACTGGGAAGGCTGCATTGCTGTACCTTGCTTCTTCAGAGAGGTGGTTAGGACCATGTCTGCTGAAATCTTCGTTTGAAATATCCAGGTTAGGACTGGGTGGAGGTTTGGATTTACCAGATCCATATCCTACAAAGGTCCCAGCATTCTCAGTTGTTTGCTGATTAACCATGGTGGAGAGGAACGTTTTTGGAGCCAGCTAGGCTGTTCTTGTCTGATCCCTGTGCTTCTGCACCAGTGCCAGGTGTCACAGAACCTCCTGGAAAGTCACCCGAAGGAGAGGTGACCAAACCCCAGGCCCTGGGGCGGGATAGATGTAGCCGTTGACAGAGATGAGGACAGACATCTCAAGACTGCTTCCTTGCGTCAAGGACCTTTTACAGCCTTAACCCTGAAATGCAGACTTTCTTCTGCATCTTTAGGCTCTAGAAAATACTGGGTCAATAGAATATATGTGGGGATTATTTGTCAAACTGACCTATCTTGGACTCCCAGCTCAGGCTGGAGTCTGTGTGTCCATTTTCTTGTCTGCAGTGAGGGGCATGCTGGTTCCTGGATCGTAGATCTGGTATGATTTAATGAGTTATCGCACACAGGCACTGGCAGATGCTCAGATAATGAAAACTTGCATCCAGATTTTCTCGTTGTCATCTTTGTTTTCTCCCCTGTCCACACTATCAAAATAAACCAGAAGCCCACAGCATTCCAGGTGGGCTCTTTCTGGTAATCGGGGGTGAGACTGAGGTCTGGGGGTAGCCCTGAGAAGGAAAATGCCCCGCTGGGTGGCAACTTCTCAGCCCACTTCCCTCTCTCGTTGTCAGCAGCCCCAACAAGCGAGGCCCGCCAACCTACAATGAGCACATCACCAAGCGCGTGGCCTCCAGCCCGGCGCCACCCGAAGGCCCCAGCCACCCGCGAGAGCCAAGCACACCCCACCGCTACCGGGAGGGGCGGACCGAGCTGCGCAGAGACAAGTCTCCTGGCCGCCCCCTGGAGCGGGAGAAGTCCCCTGGCCGGGTGCTCAGCACGCGGAGGGAACGGTCCCCCGGGAGGCTGTTTGAAGACAGCAGCAGGGGCCGGCTGCCCGTGGGGGCCGTGAGGACCCCACTGTCCCAGGTCAATAAGGTGAGGCAACCATCCCAAGGCCAGAGACGCAGCCCTGGGAACTAAGGCCGGCACCTTGTGCAAGGGACGCCATGACTACCATTCAGGTTATGTGAGTCGCCACCCAGGAGCTGGGGGAGAAAGCACACTTGATTTTAGAAGAGGCCCCTCAGCCAGTAGATAACGTGTGTGTGTAAAGGTGTGCCCCTCAAAATGTAACTGCTGCCAAACATCGCTCCCTTTGCAGCTTAGTAGCTGCCAGAGACATGCCGGGCATCCAAGCAAACGTGTCCATGGAGTCTCCCTCTCTGGACACAGGCTCTGGGCCCACCTTCCTTACAAACACATTCAGGTGCACGTGGGCACATCTCGAATTTTTCTGGGGAAGAAATAAGGAACTTTACTCAAAGGCTACACAGGAATGGGGAATGTGGTTGCCTTCTAGGACGTTGAACCTTTGCATATTTAGATCTGCATGCGTGTATACAGCTATGGAAATGTCAGGTTAGTGATTGAGCAGGTGCTGGGATGAGGTGCCAGGATGAGGTGCCGGGATGAGGTGCAGGGGCCCATACATGGGGCGAGAGCCCAAGTGCTGGCTGCCGCCTTCTCTGGTGAGCCGGATCCGGGGCTGCTGTGAGCAGCAAAGCCACGTTTCTGTAACCCAGGCGGATGTTCTGGATTGCGTTCTCCTGACGCCAGTTGCAGTCAGTCCCCTCCAGTCAGGAGAGGAGGAAAGGGCATCTGAACATTTTCTCTTATCCCTCTGGTCTGCTGATAAATACACGCAGCAGAAACTCATACCTGGCTGCGGGGCCTCTCCATGAGTGTGAGTGGCTGATGGTCCCTGAGATTTGAAGCTTGGCCCTGCCAGTCTGTGCCACCTGCAGAGAGCTCAGGAGAGCCCTCTGGAGCAGCCAGCCCCGCAGACTTCCTGCCAGGACCACACCACGAAGCACAGCAGTCTCTGGCTCCTGCCCGCTAAAACCCGTCCTTCTTGTTTTGCTCCTAGGTCTGGGACCAGTCTTCAGTATAAATCTTAGCCAGGAAGACTGACTCCTCATCGTAACCTGCGGGAGAACACCAGACACACGATGGAACTCTGCTGAAAGGGACCCCAGCGCCCATCTGCTCGGCCACCCACAGCGCAGCTGGACCCAGACCCAGCTCAGCACGGACACCCCTGCACTCAGGAGGTGCGGGGGGCTGCGGCGCCCCGGAGCCGTGGGCGCCCTCCTGCAGTCATCCTCTCTGCACTTTGTTACTCTTTCAAAGCGTTCATCAACTTTTGTACGTAGCCCTAGCCCGCCCCGGCCAGCAGCGGACGCGGCCACGCGGACCCCCAGAGGCTAGGCTCGATGCCAGCAACGCTGAGATCTGGGGCTGGTGGGTTCTTTCAGTTTGGTTTTTCTTTCCTTTGTTGGGTTTGTGTTTTGTTTTTTCTTTCTTTTTTTTTTTTTTTTAGACAACAGAATTCTTAACAGGTTTGAACAGCAGTGTATTTCCTGTCGCGTCCTATTTAGCCAGACCACACCATCAGGTCTGCGCCGCTGAGACGTATCGTAGACGAGTCCCCGCCTGTTGGCTGAGCTCCCGAACCCATAGCTTCGTCCTCGTCCCCACCCATCCTCACAGGTGGCCCTGCTTCCGCCAGGGTGACATCTTAGCCAAATGTTTACTGTTCTCATTGCCTTTTAAGGCCTTGACGACTTCCCCTCCCACCAGCTGAGAATGTACGGAGGTCATCGGGCCTCAGCTCGGAGGCAGTGACTTGGGGCCAAGGGACCTCGAGGAGCTTTCCCTCCCTGTCCCTCAGCGTCCTCTCCCTCGCCTGCTGTCCCTGCTTTCCTCGTAGCTTTGGCCAGGAAAGCATGCAATAGACTTGCTCCGAGCCCAGCATTATGGGGTCTCTGGGTCCAGGAGGGACCTCCTGTCCGCGGTGGCACGCTGTTCCCCGCACTTTGGGACGGGAGGAGACCCGCCTGGGAGTTCTGCATGGCGGTCACTGCATGTGCTGCCCCCGACCCGGCTGCCCCCCTTGGGTTGCTCTGCCAGTGTGCTAGCGCCATCCCACAGCTCTCGCCGAATCGAGACCCTCTGACGACTTGCCGACTCACTGGCCACCACAAGCTGCAGTCTGTAGCTCTGAACACACACAAAACCAAACGCTCAAGCCTTACGACCAGAGAAGGATTTCCAGCAAACCACCACCTCACACTCTCACGCTTCCCTGCCAACCCCCTGGCGGATGACTCTGTGTTCACAAAATCCAGCACGGTTCTACCCCACGAAACTGTGACATCCAAACGAGCCTTTCCCGAGGGCTAGGCTAAGACCAGGAGGTTTGAGAGAGAAGCCGCAGCTCAACTCCCCGCTCTGCCGGGGCGGGGGGTCCCCCTTAGGTGCAGTGCGGCTCCCACCGTTGCTCTCTCCCCTCTGTCAGAGCGCGGAACTCCTGGCAACTGGTAAAAAAAAAAACCAACCTAGAGGCTTTGCAGTTGGCAAGCTAACTAGCGGCCTTATTTCTGCCTTTAATCTCCTACAAGGCATCTCTTGCTTCCAATTCTCCATGACTCTTAGGCACGCCTCGAACAACCAAGGCACATCCTAGGTAAGCTGAAAGGTAGACCTGGTCCCACCGCAGCCGGTGAACCTGACCGTGTCCCCACCCGCCCGCGTGTCCACAGGTCACACACACCCCTTTCCAGACTGCACCTGGCCCAGATCCCAGCTCCTTCCTGCTCGTCTCTCAACCTAAGTGCTTTCTTGTTGGAAACGCCCTTGAACCCCCGCGTCGTCGCCCCCTCGGCAAGTGTCATGCTGTTGTGTTTTATGTGTTGCTTGGAGTCTTTGGGGTCTTGCTGCATCCCCTCCCTTCCCCAGGGCAGACCTGACTGAATGTTTGCTGAGGTTTCTGTCTCTTGGTCCACAAGTATTCGGAAAGGTCACACTGAAAACTGGTCTTTCAGTCTTGGCATTTCATTTAGGATCTCCATGAGAACGGGCTCCCCGAGCCCCGACAGTGCATAGTGTCTGTCTCATTTGTGAAATGCTTCCTGCTCTAGAACTAGCTCAAAAGACTGTACATATTTACAAGAAACTTTATATTCGTAAAAAAAAATAATAAGGGAATTGAATTGGTTTCTACTTTTTTATTGTAAAAGGTGCATTTTTCAACACTTACTTTTTGGTTTTACCGGAGGCAGTGTGGACGGCCATCTCCAGGGGAGGGTGGGGTCTGCGTGGCCGCCACCAGGCCAGCAGGAAATCTCGAAACACGAAATTGCAGTCAAAAGCTTATTAGCATAAATAAGACTCTAGGTCTCCAAAAGTACAGGCTTTCCTTCATTACCTTTTTTATTCAGAAGGAGGAAAAGAATACGAGGAACAATTCAAGATCCACCTCGAGAGGAATGAACTTTGTTGTTGAATAAGAGTGAAATAAAGCAATGATCTAAAGTGTTTGCTCTAGCGCTCTGGCCTTTTCTTTTCCTTGAGAGGCACCGCAGGACAATCTGAGTGGGGGCAGTGGCTGTGCAGGCCTGTGGCTGTGGATGGAATTGTCTTTCTTTTGTGGGGAGGCTTTTCCTGGGGCTGGAGGCCAAAAGGTTGGCAACGTTCTCTTCCAAAAGGGTGACACTGCTGCAGTGTGCTCCTCCCACCCAGCAAACCACGGACTTGCTGTTGAGGTCACTTTACAGGATGGCAGGACTGGAGAGCTCCTTAAACAAATGGGTCATTTGAAAGGACCAGGGGGGGATTATCCATTTCTCCTCTAGTGCAGCTAACCGGGAAAGCAGGTCACCTTAAAAGTTCCCTCACCCATAATAAGGCCGAGGAGATCTCCTGGTGGAGACTCCGGGGGCAGGGGAGTTGTGTTCTCAGTAGTTTAGAACATAAATACTTCTAACTAGATGCATTTTTAGTCTGCAAGGTAAATTTTTTTCTGTGATTTCTGTTAGTGTGTAGGTATAAACTCTGCTTGATCCAGACAGACATCCGTGTTGGCAAATGGTGATTCTCTCCTATTTCCTGCTGCTTTTGGTCTTTGGTTTTGACTTTTCCAAGGACACCCTCTGGGCTGCAGGGTCATATCTAGTGTGGCTTGTGACAGGAACCAGTGATAAATCTAGTCCTCTTATCTGTTTTATTGTCAGGGATAAAAATCTGCTAAAGCTCATAGCTACAGGAATGAAGATAATTCAGAAGATAAGGAAGTAAAATGTTGGAATCTGTCTTTTAAAATGTGAGGAAAAGGCCATTAAGTACCAACCAACCATTTCAGTTACTGTCCTAAGGATGGGTGACAGCCTCAGAATACTTCAAAAGCACAAGTAAGCATGGTTCAGTTCTAAAAGGAATGTGCCAGAAATTTTCTTTTTTTATTTTTTAGAGATTTATTTATTTATGCATACAAGAACTGGGGTACAGGCCATGAGAAGATCCACCAGAGACAGAGTGGGGAACAGAACAGGCGGATTGACTGAAATACACTGCTGAGGGGAGCAGCGGGCGAGACAGGTGAGGTCTGCCGTGCCATGTGGGACTCTCACCGGCCAGGGATTGAACTTGTGCTGCAGTAGCTGCGGATAGCTTCATCGTGCTGTGTTTTAACCCCTTGCGCCGCCAGGGAGGCCCCAGAAAGGTACTTTAGACCCTAAGGAATGACCTCAAAAAAACAACCAACACATGACTCAGCCCACACTGTAAAAAGAGGCTCAACTTCCCATCCCGCCACTCCTGTTTCTTCAGCACAGAACTAGACATCACATCTTGTGCTCTTACAACTTCATTTTCACAAGGCAGAAACGTTGACTGCATAGCAAATTTCATACTCCTGAAACGTTCGAATTTAGAGACGTGGGCCAAAAAGAGATGATTTGCTTAACAGAACTGAACAGCTAGTTTGTTTTCAGAATTGGGCTGCTTGAATGTGATTTGCTTTAGAAACACTGGTGCAGACTTAGCATTAAGGGGAGGCCTTCCAAGGTGGGGCCAGCTCGGGTTTCAGTCTCGCAACAGTTAAATTGGCCTGTTCCAGTGATTCTAAACCAGGGTGACTTTGCCCCCGACTCCTATGGACACTTGGCAATATCGGTGACATATTGCGTTGTCACAACTGGGGTGAAGAGCACCTAGTGGGAAGAGGCCAGGGGTACTGCTAAATATCCTACAGGACAGGACAGGCCCTACTGCCTGCCTCCCCACCCTCCCAGGAATTATCCAGCCCACAGTGTGAGTAGTGGGGAAGCTGAAGAACCTTGGGCTGTTCTAGTCAGATTTCCTCTTGGCAGTCTTAGTGTTGCTTACGCCATCCAAAGCATGGAGACCGTGGCTTTAGGCACGCAGTGTTTTTTAATAGGAGAAAAACGTCTTATCACTTGCCTGATCACTTGCCTGATCAAAAGTTGAAGCCAGCGAGTGGAACTGGTGCAGTGTGGCTGCTTGGCGGGGCCCCTGGAGTCTATCAATGATTAATGGAACTGTTTGCCCTGAAGGGTTGTTAGAGGAAGGGGAAGAACTCTGAAAATGACTTTACTACCTCACAGCACTCAGGCTATCAAGCACCGCAAAGGAAAAATGTAGTGGGCTTAGGGTTCCCCCACTGGTCCTGTGTACCCCCAACTGCTACTGAATTTTCGGAAGAGATGGGTGAATTCACTGCAGTGGGAGGCAGAAGAGGCAGCAGTGAGGGCGGGCAGCCCAATGCAGGCAAAGGCCCTTGACTTGTATTTGGGATGAAAAAGATGAGGTGGTTGTGGGAGCTGCCCCCACAGGCAGAGCCCAGCTTTTCAGATGCTCTTCCCAGGGGCTGACTCCCAGCAGTGATGGGTCCTAGGAAGGCCCTGTGGATGTTTTTATAACCAGCTGGGATGACTTGGGTTTTAGAAGAAATGCATGAATGCTCATGACTTTTCTCCTGAAGATAATTACAATTGATGTTCCTGGGCAGAAGGTTCTAGTTTCTGTTTCTCCGCTAATTTGCTCATCAAGAGAGGTGCCCAGGAGGGGGTTTCTCAGAAGCTGGGTGGAGACCGGAGTGGTCCTCATTGGGTCTTCATTCAAACCATCTGTATTCCCTGGTGCAGGCTCAGGTATCGGGGCTGCATGTGTGTTTGGAAATAAAATCATGCTCATCTAGAAGTAACTGAGGTAACAAAATGGTTTCGGCTAAAGTGGTTGCGGCTCTGCCCTCCGCGGTGGATGGTATGGCTTTCAGCCCTGGCCTTTGGAATGTTGCAGGTTTCCTAACTGAGCAAGTTGAGGTGCTGGCCCTTTTTTCTAGCCCCTCCACTTTCTGCTCATGACCACATCCCATTCATGCCCTGAAGGCTTTGTGGCTCCCAGTGTGAAATGCAAGGCACCCTAGGGACCCACCTAGTGCGGTCTGACCTTTCTCATTTTTTTAGGGGAGGAAATGAGGCTAAAAGGGGACGTGTGATTTACTTAAGGTCACATGGCTAGTGGCCAGTCCGTGCGTGAACTGGACAGACACCCCCTCATCTCAGTCCAACACTGCACTTGCGGGGGGCGGGGGTCCACTCCAAGCGCCGTCAGTCTTTGATCCCAACTCACAGTGAACTTCACCCACGTCTGTCCCACAAGCGGAGCCAGAGGGAAGGAACCCTGTTTACATCCTTTGATCTTTGGTTTCAATAATTTCAAACACATTTTTATTTCTCTGGCCATATTGCTTTACATTTTAGTAATTTAAAGGCCTTCCCTTTGGCTCTGTAAATTCACTTGTATATAAATGTCTGGAGGAAAAAAATCTATCTTCATTCAAAAGCAATTTGAGTTACGCTTTAACCACGTAACCAGTCCTCACCCGTAATGGGACTGCGCCTTGAGAAAGCATTACCTGCTCACAGGACACCCCAAGGCTCTCTGTGGCTTTGCCCCTTGCCTGTGGGCAAGGCAGGCTCTCCTTTTCCACATTTATGACTCAATCTAACCTTTAGCTTCCTGAGCATGTGCCTTTCGGGTCTGTGAGCAGTCTTCTGGAACACAGGGGACCTCCTTTGTGTTGCTTTTTCAAGAAAATGAGTTCTTTTAGATCCCCCAATAGCTGTGGTGAATGCTGGGGACACCCGTGGCCAGTTTGGGCTGTGCCTGCCCCCCTCCACAGCAGCCAGCTCCTCGGAGCCCTGCCCCTCAACGTTTGCATTCAATTTCCAGTTTGGAGCTTGCTGCACTCTGGACAGTTAATTCGCATGCTGGACTTCCCAGCTTCTGGCTGTGTCCCCCAGCGGGCTGGAGCTGGCGGCTCCCTTTGAACCCTGACTCCCGCCCGCAGCCAGATTCTCTCATCCTTTTCCAGGAAGGGCAGCGCTGCTCTGTGCCAACCCAGGCAGGGCGCCTCCTGCTCAGGTGTGGGTGTCCACCCCAGGACTGGCGGCCCAGAGCAGACCACCCCGCCCCAGGAGGAGGGACTGTCCACAGCTCACCAATAGGACGATGGTTGTACTCCCTGTGCTTGAGTACTTTTATACTTAGCTATGTATTTCCAGTATTTAAAAAATATTTTATCCAGTTTTGGGAAGAGGATTTTTTTGTGTCCATTTCCTTAGTTGACTTAATCACTAGACTGGAATCCAAGGTTCCCATGATCACTCGGGGGCTCAGACTGAGATGGCTCATGTCCTGCTAGGAACTCTTCTAGGCCTCCCTGCCCTTCAAGAGGGTCAAATGCCCCACGGGTTTCCTTTTCTCCTAGACCTATGTAAATGTCCCCGGTACCTGGGGAGAGGGTTTAAAGGTCACCCACAACCTCCCTCACTGTCTCCTTTCAACTGGTGAGAACAGTGGACTCCAGGATGTCCTGTGTCTTCCAAGCAGCTGTCTTGACCCCCGGCCCCCCCTGGTGATTTCTGAAGAACAAGAATGAACATTAACCTGGGGACGCCGCCAACACTCACACACGAGGAGCGTTCCCTGCTGCCTCAGTTCCCCTCCACTCAGTGCTTCACAAGAGCCCCATTTTACAGGCCCCTAAACAGCCTTCTAAAGTCTGAGGAGGGTGGGTCAAGAGAATGGCACTCCGTCTGGGCCGCCTGCCCCTCACCCAAACACAGACCTTTTGAACCTGGAAAAGCTCAACAAGCACCCCCCATCCCCCCGAATAAACCTCTCAGGAGCCCCAGCCCCTCCTCCAAGCAGTGAAGCAAAGCCAAGCCCCCAAGTGCAGTCCTGTTATCTTTACAAAGCTTTATTGAAACCTGTACATCAAAGTGATAGTAGTTCAGTGTTCTGAGAACAGTAACAAAAAAGGTACCCAGGACTCAGGTTTACCAAATAAATACTGGAGGCCAGGGCACTGGGTCCCCATCTCCAGCAGGAACACGGCGCGTGACGACAGCTTCTGCGGGCCGGGGGTTAACCCGTGCTGGCTCTCTCCCTAGAAACCACGCCGAGTGTGAAGAGGTTCGCTTTGGTCCAAAGGATGTCTTCCCGACACAAATTTAGAAGGCTGCGGTCAAGTTCAGAGTAAGCAGTGGCAATGACCGGAGCCCTCTCTGCTAAGCTGGGGCAGAGGTCCTGAGCAAGGTGGCAGAGGCTGTAATTAAAAGTGGGGTGGGCGCTTCTCCAAGTTGTCAGGGTAACATCATCACCTTGTTAACAGTAAAAAGCCGGACAAGCGTCCAGCTGACAGTGGTCCGTCCTCAGGATCATTCAGCCTAGTGGAGAAATCTGGCGGTGGTTTTCCAGGTCTGTTCTGAGAACAGATTATTGCTGAGCACAGGTCACATGATCCACATGGTAGTTGGGGTGATTTAAAAATGGCCTGAAGGCTGTACAGTCAGCCACCTCTGGTTTAAAAAAAAAAGTACTTAGTGCAACAAGTGTAAGAAACAATTGTAAAACTTCATCTGGAAATCAGACGGGTTCTAATTTCGATAGAAATGACATCTCCCTGGAACAGAGAACGGGAGACGATCTATTGCTCTGATTTCAGAGGGCAGGAGACCAACACTGTACTGGCTGTCAGCTCCACGGCCCGGCCTCGACGGGGACGAGCCGGCGGCCTAAACACACACGACTGGAGAAGTTGTGTGCCCTTGGCCCCTGCCTGCCAGAGTTTTACCAGCAATTTGGCTACTGTTCATTTTTGGCTTGAGAAACATCTCCATGCCCAGCAGTTCAGAGGACGTGAATTTGGACCCGCCCCCGTCCTCACGGGCCGCGCTGGCGCTGCAGGCCTGCGTTCCCTTGCTCCGGACTCAACCCTGAGCTGCGGGGCTTGCGGTCACCGGGCGCTGAGAGGACCGTTACGAACCACAGTGCTTCAGGAGCTGCTGCGCTGGAACAAGCTTTCAAGTAGGACGAGGGCGGGTATGAAATGTCTTAAACAGAGTGTGAAATGAGAAATTTACAGTCCGCTCCGGTGGTGGAGAGCATGCACTCCAGGAGCCCGGCGGCGCAAACTGTTCCCTGGGGCCCACCGCCGGCTCCCGGCTCTTCATATTGGCTTATATAACAAGGTGGTGACATACTTTTTCTTGTACCGGTGGGTCGCGCTGAGCACCATCACGCCATCCTAAGGGAGAGGGCGGGACTGAGTCACGGGGCTCAAGCTTCAGAGTGCACGAGAACCATCAAGGGTGCTTGGTAATAACACAGACCCTGGGCCCCCCTCAAAAGCAATAGGTCTCAATGGGTCTCAGCAGCCAACCTTTAAACACACCCAAGGAATCCTGTGGCTAGGGCACCTCGGAGCACCCCCAGAGAACAAGCATGCATTACCTTGATGGAGAGCGCATAGAGGTGGTTCAACATGACGTGGTTGGGCTCGGGGAGCAGCGCTGGATCACACTGCGGGAGGGGAACAAAAGCAGACGTGAGCATTTAGGAGCTGGAAATCAAGAAGCCTCTCCCCTTGATTTCAAGGTTCTGGATGTCAGAGGAAAGGAGGCCAGCTCACACCCCTTTCTTCCTAAGTCAGGCAGTGGGAGGGCTTGTCCAGTGACAGGAGAGAGGGGGGTGGGGCCACCAGCTGGGCATGTGGCATCTCTGGGGAGGCTTGGCCCCTAAAGCGTGGGCCATGGCTGTTCTCTTACTGAAGAGAGGCAGGAAGAAAGCTGCCCAATGAACACACTTTTAAAGAAAACAGGCAGATACAATCTATACTATGGGCCCGTCTTGCTGGCAGCCAGCACCGAGGCAGAGGTGGAGCCTGGCAGCTGACACCTGGGGGCAACACTGAGCATATCACCAGCTGCTCTGCAGGAGGTGGATGGAAAGAAAGGGGAGCAAGTGGGCCTGAACGTGGAGGACGGTGCAGGCAGCCCCCTGTACTCACAGAAATCCCTGTGTCCTTGTTCAGGATGACCTGGAGCAGGTGTGGAGGGAGGATGGGAGGCGCTTTAAACCGTTCTTCTGGTTTTGAGACATAGGGCTCCTGGTGGTAGGGGCCTGGAGGGGAACTGGACAGTTCTGTTGGGAGATGACAACAGGAAATTTACTGGAAAATTGGGAAGGTTAGACGTCTCAGTTAATGTATGGTGTCAGTTTTCCTTGTTCTGTTCCCTCAATTTCGATTCATATTCTCTTAGAGGATGTCCAGGCTCCAAGGGTGAAGAGCAGAAGCAAAGAGAAACTCCTTTTGGAATTTGGGTGACTGGCATTAAATTCAGCAGTGAACTCAGATGCCCTGGTGCAAGATAGAAATTGTGGCAAAGCCAGTGAGCCCGGGGCAGGCTCATGAGGAAGCTGTCCACAATTTCCTAATCTCACAGGCCACTGTGGAAAAATGCTTCCTTCTCACTGTGGGGCGGCTGGCAAGTGCCACAAAGAAGTTCAAGGCTTTAAGTGAAGCTTAAGCGGCTGAACCCACGTTCTGAGCACCACCAGCTGGAATAAAACAAGATAAAGTAGTCTGTTTCTACAGAGGCGGTGGCAAAAAACAGGTTATACGAGGAGCTGGCACATTTCAAAAGTAGAAAAAAAGAAAGAAAGAAAATTCAGTATCTAAAGGCTCTTTGATTCTTATCACTCTTAGCTACCTTTCAAATCCTTGCGTAATTATACAGGTTCAGCAAGAAGTTTCTAGAAGTAGAATGTCTCGTAAGGTGACAAGCAGCTCACTTAGTGATGTCTGTCGAGCTAGAAGGACTAAACGGTTATCCGAAGGACACAGACACGCGGGATGGGCTCCGGGCACCAACCCTTGGGCTGTCCAGAATCAATCAGGTATGCCCTGCCTCTGCCGAGACCCTCAACATCATTTTCCAGGAGACAGGGCACCCTTCATGTGGCCCACCCGAAACAGCAGGAAAGTGAGAAAAGCATTAAGTGCAGATAAAGGAGCCATCAGGAATAAACATGTCTTTTAAGAAAACAAGTGTGTAAGCATGAGAAGTCTGCAGAGCCCGAGTGGGTCTACCAGCGGCAATGGATCGTGCTCCTTCCAGGTGCTCTACACTCCTGAACCGGGACTAAAGACCTGGATCTAAGACCTGAAGTTACATTTATCAGCAAGCAAGGGATCTTGGGGCATGTCCTCCGTCTCCCAACCCCCCTCGCTGAAAAAGGCAGAAACAGTCTCCCTGAAGGTTAATACTATTTTTGGATTTCTAATTCCTGCTCAACACAGTGACCAGTCTCCACAGCGAGGGCACCAGTTAACTTGCCACTGAGAATTCAGAGCCGGGAAGAGTGAGGGCCTGGTGACAGAACCTCCACGCCCTGCAAGTGGCCATGAAGAAATCATCCTGTAAAGTAAGCTGAACCCGCTCTCAGACAGTCCTGGGGAGTCTGTTCACCATCTTCCTCAAGGATCCAGGAATTGTTTAAACCCCTCAAGAAGGGGCAGTGCAGCTGATGCTGACACTTTAGATTACACATCCTACCCTCAGAATTGTACACATTGTTTTTCTGGGCAGTTTCTTGCTGTGAGATCTGGATGGAATGCAGTTTACTGAAAGCTCAGTGACTGGAAACCTCTGGGAAGACGGGAGAGTGTGCTGGGTAGCCCATTCCCTGTGGCGAGCCTCTCTCTCCTAAAAGGATTCTGACAAGGTGCTAAAGCACCACACAAGTGGTGACCAAGGTCACCGAGGTGTCTGTTCGTCACATCAGGCTGCCATTCTCCAGGCACCCCTAGGGGACAGTGAGCAGACGGGGAGCTGGCAGGCTGCCCCAGTGCTGGCTCATCCCTGACCCAGTGCAACTCTCCGGGGCCTCATGGGCCCCACCCTGGCATGCGATCAAGCTCTGTTTCTATGTTCACTGTCTGGTCTCTGGGCCAAGCAGAACTACTGAATACCAGAGATGGCCAGGAAAATAACTAGCCCCTTTGGGGCCAGATTTCAGTGACCTGACCTGACAGATCTAGGAATTAGTTTTGTGGCCATTTAGGGAGTTACAAAGGTCCACCTGATCGGGCAGCTTGAGCTCGAAAGTCAAGAGAAACAAAAGTATTTCTAGACTGCACAGCCCCCACCGGCACACACGTGGTATAAGATAACTGTGTTCATACCAGACACATCGGAGCACTTTTGGGAATCCACCATTAAAGCATCAAATACTTCAAAGTCAGTTTTCTTCACTTGAATGATGTTGTTAACTGTGCCAAGCTGGCTGGTTACTATTGGCTGGGAAGAGACAGACAGGCAAAATCATAACGTGGACAGTCTCGGAGTTATTTTCTAGAGGACTCAGAATTCCTGGTTGGAAGGTCATGTCCTGGCTGGCCACCCTGCTCTCTCAGCCAGGATGCCCACAGCCTGACCATCAGCACTGCTTACCAGCAGCCCAGAGGGACCTGTCAATGATCTGTAAGTGACGGTGATTCATTTGGACTGCGTGGGCAGCCAGAAGAGCAAGGGTGGGAGGAAGAGTACCTCAGAAGGGTCATGTGTCCACTGACCATCCACAAAGAACTTGTACTGATGCTCTCCTTCGGGCAGATCCAGGATGGCTACAAAGTTATTGTGGCTGTGGGGAAAACGGAAGCAGAGGATGTTAGCGGGTGGGCTGCCCTGTTCGTTTACTTGCAAAACTAGCCATGGGACGAAATAAAAGTCTCCATGTAAAGCCAAGAGTTGAGCTGCAGGAGAATCAACATTTTTAACTGATTCAGATGATTCTGTATAGTGAGCTCAACCTTAACAAGCTACAAAGAAACAGCAGTGCAAGGTCTTCTTGAAAACCTGCCTTGCTCAAATGCCAGGAATCCACACTCCTCCCATCAAAAGGTTAACCGACAAGCTGGCATCTGTCCTTCTCAACTTCCATGCAAAATACCACCTGGCAGCCTGGACACAACATAAGATAACACACTGCCAAGTCCTACCCTTGTTGGTCTGCCTTTGGCAGCAGAGGGTCAATTTAATAGATGTATAAACAGTTCTTCAAGAAGCTTGTGTAACTGCTTAAAAGAAAGGTTCCAGGAGCCTCTTTTGTTTTGCTCCTCTGCTTGAACTGACTTGTAACTGTGCCCCTACCTCCATCTCTTTCTCCAGCTTCCTGCTGGGAAGGAAGGTTGTCCCAGCAATCCTGAGGCCCAGGCCAGGAGGGCACCATCTCTCCCTTCATCTCAGCCAGAGGACTCACTGGTGGAGACGTGTTTGTACTGACACTTGAAGAACTCCGCACTAGAATTCCTGAAAGTGTTTTGCTAAGTCTCATTATAATGATGCCCACAGAGGATGCACCTTTCAAACACAAGGATTACACAGGAAGTTAAAGTCAGAGGTACGCCAGAAACCAGCTGGTCCGACATCCCCTTCTTACAGGTAGGAACAGTGAGGCTCAGGGCACAGGTTAGCTCAGCCAACGTGTCTGTAAGTGCCCAGTGCTCGCTCTACTGCGTCGGGACAGATTTCTGTTTCTGAAAGAGAAGTTCTGCCTGAACAAACATAAAGCTGAATATCTGACATGAGAGATGTCCGTGAAATAGACAACTGAGATGTTTCTTCTAAAAGGGTGCTCTCAACAGACTACATGGATGTGACATCTGAACCCCATGAATCATTAACTCAGAGTATTTTCCCATTTAGCATCTACTTTACAGAGGCAGAGATCATTCAGACGCAGCAGTAGCATGGGTTAAGACAACTGTAGGAATATTCCCCAGGAAATTACCTTCTTGTGAGGGGAAGTTTACTCCAGTTATTGAAGGACCCAGATAAGTAAACTTCCTTCCCGCCGCCAGTCCATCGAAATACTGTTGGCCGCGCCTGGGCAGGAGCTTTATCATTTACTTCCAGGTCATGCTGCCAGGCCAGGAATTCCTCCTTCTCGGGAGCCTAGAAACAGAACAGTTTACTCAGGCACAGGAAGCCATTAGTAAGTGCCCTACAAGAGAGTTACCCTAACAGTGACAATTCCTTTTAAAGAGGCAGCTGCTACCAGTTAGGGTCCATATTTGGTCTTGCTAACTTACTAGCCTTGCCTCAGTTTCCAAAAGGAGATAATAAAAACAAGTATTTCTTAAGGTCATTGTGATGAGTCAGCTTGTCCCTATAAATGTTCTGCAAGGTATCTGACATATGTTAAGTGCTTACTAACTATTAGCTATCATTGGTGTTATTAAAAAGGTCGACATCAACATTCTTGGAGAAACTATAATATATATACTCCCTGGAAGAAGACCACAATGAACCCAAGACCAGCTTAGAAATGCCATTTTCCTCTCTTAGTTAAGCAACATTTGAAGTGCATAAACATTTATTAGGGACAATTCCAGAGCTCTCAACTTAAACACTGACAAATGGAGCCTCCCTCGTGGCCTAGGGGTTAAGCCTCAGCACTATCACCGCTAAGGCCTGAGTTCACCCCAGTCAGGGAGCTGACCCACATATGGTGCAGCAAACCTCTCCTGTCTCACCAGCTGCTCCCCTCAGCAATATATTTCAGTAGAGCTGCCTCTTTTGCTTCCCACTCTGTCTCTAGTGAATCCTCTCACCCCCTCACCTCTGGCCTACACCCCAGTTCTTCTACAGAAAACAAATAACAAAAAAACTGACAAATGCAGATTCTGAGGAAGGGAAAAACTACTCATTATTGCATGTCATCCAGGGACTGGGGACTAAGACGAGGATGACCCTCATTATGGAAAACAACAGCTTCTAGTATGAGAAGTGCTATCTAACTGCGCTGTTCCAGAACAGGGGAGAAGCAAACATACCCAACTCTCCCTGGGTGAAATGTATTTGGTCACGGTTCTTTTGCATTTTATTCTAGTCAGAAACCAAAGACTTTAAGACAGGAGTTCCAGGCTGGGAGAGACACTTGGAAGTGTTGAGCAGGCTTCCAGCAACATTTCAAATACTGACCTGTGCTTATCTTACAAGATGCCTGTGTTCTTGGAGCTTTAACAAGATCTACAGATTAAGAAATAACAGGCTGGAATCACTTTCCGTTGAGGATATAACTAACCGCAGCCAAAATTGCGAAACTGTAGTTCTTTTAGCTTTTTTTGGTCTCTGGAGCATTAATCTAGGGTATCTGCTACATGACGCAGTAACTTCTAAGGAAATAATAATGGACGCTATTTAAAATCCTCCTCCACAGATCATCTGTATGCTAAACATTTTTTATAGTTTTGGAAGAGCCACAGAACAATAGATACTTCCGGAAAGTAGTTTGCCTCTTATGGTATCTTAAATAGGTGTTCTTGGGCCAAAATTATTCCTGGGGGATGGGATGTCAAGTCACTGGGGAAACAGGGATCCAAAGTTCACTTTGCACACAGCTTTTCAGGAATGCGACAGATTCAGAAAGCAAGTTCAAATCACAGGATGTAGGCCAAGTGAAAACAGGCTTCTTTATAGGTAAACTTAAAGCCAAGATCCAAATAAGGATAAGTAATGTGATCACCCAGTCTGACACCTGAGAAAAAATGCAAGTAAAGGTAGGATGGATGAATTACTAGGCAATTAGCCTCGTGGACAATGATGATTAATATACACAGAGTAAGCTGGGCAAAGGCCCCTCAACTTTCCTAAACCTACTTTGTTGTCCATTCTTTAAGGAACTGGTTCTTTGTTTTTCAGGATATACAGATATATATCAGCTGCTGCAATCGCTATGTGTCCTTGGATGGGCCCTGCAGCTGGAAACACAGACCACATCAGGTGGTTAGCAGGAATGTGGTAGAAGCAGGTGTCAAGAATCCTCTTCAGGGTTTTCGATGAATTAAAGCAGACTGCAGGGCCTCCCTGGTGGCACAAGGTGTTAAGCTATCGGCAAGGAGCTACCCAGATGGCACAGCAGACCTCTCCTGTCTCACCCTGCTGCTCCCCTCAGCAGTGTATTTCAGTCAGTCTGCCTGTTCTGCTCCCCATTCTGTCTCTGGTGAGTTCTCTCACCCCCTGCACCTCTAGCCTGTACTCCAGTTCTCGTATGTATAAATAAATAAATCTTAAAAAAACAAAAACAAAAACAGACTGCAGCAAGAATTCCAAATTCTGGCCTGCAGAAATATTTGCTTTGGCCTATTTAAAATATGAAGTCATAGTTAAAACAACGCTGGAGAGGGAGGCTGAGTAGCAGCTCCTTCAGATCCACACTTCACCTACTGACCTCCAGAAGCTGAATAACTCTTCCATGCCCTCTCTCAATAAGCAGGTGAACGAAGAGTTTTAGGTAGAACTGAGCACCTCTGGCAACTGCATTCCATTGTTCCACTTTACTTTCAGCTTACGTGTGTGCTCTGGTCTATCGCCAAAACCGACAAACTGCAAAACCAACTACTACCATTTAGGGAGGAAAAAAAAAAAAAAAAGCCAGTCCGTTTAAAGATGAGGGAAGACCTCGCAAAGCTGTGAAATTAATTATACCCAAGAGAAAAGCCAAGACTGGGGTTCAATTACTGCTACCTCAACGATCTTAATTAATTAAGAACTGAAACTGTCCCAGGGCTGCTTTCTCCTTAATGATGGTAACTGAAATGAGTTCCTCCTCCCTCGGGGGGCCTTGCTAATATCGGTAATTGGACACAGGTTCCTGGACGGCTAAGAGGGCTCTTTCAGGGCCATCTGGTTTTTAAGCGCACAGGATAGTCACCTCCCTCCCTCTTCTCATGAATTTTAGGGGGGTTCCTCTCACCATTAACCAAAGGGAATGGGACTCCCCCACACCCTCTCACCTTGATCTCTTCTGAGTGGAAGAGGTCGGCATCCTCGGGGCTGTCCATCAAGATCTTGGGCCTGTCCCCGTCCTTGGTGCCCCCCGAGCTGTCCCTTCGGGGCGTCTTATGGCCGCCCTGCCGCTCCAGCGCGGCGCGCTCGCTACTCGTGTTGCCCATGGCGAGGTCTGCGGGGACACGGGGAAAGCGGACGAGGCCTCACTCCAGGGCAGGGCGAAGGGGCTGTCGGAAGCGGGGGGCCCCAAGGACCCCAGGGAAGGCGGCAGAGCCCCGGGCACCACACCCCTCGGGCGAGGACAGGGGCCGGGAGCCGGCGCGAGCCGGGTCAGCAGGTCCAGGCGGGGTTTCACAACCGCGCTTTACCTGCTGCGGCAGCCGCGGCGCGAACCCGAGAAGCGCGAAGATAAGCCGACACTTTGCGAGCAACTCCCCACCCCACCCCTTAGCAACTTCCGCTTCCGGCGCCTCCACGAGTCAGCTCGGCCCGGGAAGTGGGTGCGGCCGGCGCGCGCGCGGGGCTGACTGACCTCACTTCCGCTTCCGGCCCGGGTCGACGCAGTCGCGAGCGCGCCGAGGCGGAGTGGCGCGGGGGGGGTGTGGGGGGGCGCGTGTGGCATCCGCGGGCCAGGGGGCGCGCAGTCGCAGTCGGCCTCTGCCCGGACCGTCGGCTTCATCTGCTGGTGGCCGGCAGGGGGCGCACTAACGCGAGGCCCGCCTCGGCGCCGGGGTGAGGGATGCGCTCGAGGCCACGCTGTGCTGCTGCAAGGGTGGACATCTAATTAAGAGACTCCTTTTCTTAAAGCCCTTGAATGCAGTGGTGCTCACGCTTATAAGCATCGTAGAATTACCTGGAGTGCCTGTTTAAAAGGCAGATTCCCCGGCGCTAATTCCCAGAAACCGTGATTCTGAAACTCTGGCCTGGGAGCTGCATTTTAATAAGCACCCCCTTTGCTTCTGATGCAGGAGCTTGAAAAAATGACAGGCCGTGAGATCTCTGGAAATTTCTCACATCTAGAAGCTTGGAGGTTGTAAAATACTGGCGAGCTTAGTGCATTTTTTTTTTTTAATTGAGCGCATAGCTTTTGGTATGTAAGCTTGCAAGGTATTTGGTAATCACTTTGGACACATGATTCTGCATAAAATGCATTCATTTACTAGTGTTTGTCATGTACCGTGGCCAGTGCTTCCCCAAGACGTTATACACATGTACTAATATAAATAATCTTTTCGCCGTTCTGCTTGTGTGTGTTGGGGGGAGGTGGGAGGAGGTTATTTTGTTTATTTTGCAAAATGCTTTGCATTCGCTGTGCCTTGTCATGCATTTTGTCGCTGAATAAACATTTGTATAGTACCTACAAACCGCCAGACATTGTGCTAAATAAATGGGAGACACAGATGACTAAAATATGGTCTCTTGGAGGGGAATTTGGCAGTATCTATCGAACTTTAAAAAAAAAAAAAAGCACTTGCGTTTTTGCATTTTTGGTGCGCAATTTTGTCGAGGACGCTTCTGAAGAAACACATGAAAATGATCTACAGGCATGTTCTTTTGCAGTATTGTCGTTGATGCTGTAATAGTTTAATTTCAAGAAGCACATTTTATTTCCTATTCTATTCTCTTGAAAATTGCATGCTTTTTACAACCAATGAAATCTTAGATAAGGAAGTGAACAATTGTGAGATCCTAAAATGCTTGTCAGTAGGATGGCTTAATGAATTAAATACATTCATTTTATAGCGTACTAAGCAGTTTTAGAAAAGGATACAGAGTTAAATGGATACTATGGAGAAGGGTCTAAGACATTCCAAATCCCAAACGCAAGAGGCAGTACAATAGAGATTAAGAGCATGAGCTGGGAGTCCATCTGCCTGGGTTCAAATTCTGACTACCGCTTTGTTTCCTATTTTGTGAAATGGGGACCAGAAACAACAACTTCTTGACAGACTTGTTTTGTGAATTGAGAACATGCACAAAAAGTGCTGAGCATAGCACCTGACTCAGTAAACACCCAGTAGATATTAGCACTTTTATTGGCATCATTATACTTGCACATGGAAGGTTCTGGAAAGATACTTAACAAGCTGTTAATAGAGGTCCCTTCTGGGAAGAGGAGTGGAATTAGAAAGAGTAGATCAGAAAGGGGACTTTCCTGTTTTAGTTTATTGCTTGAAATTTTTTCTACTCTGAGGATATACTACTTTTGTTATTTATTTTAAAGATCTATTTTTATTTATGCATACAAGAACTGGGGTGTAAGCTAGAGGTACAGGGGGTTTAAGAGGAGTCACCAGAGACAGAGTGTGGAGCAGAACAGGTAGTTTTTAAAAGACAGTAATAAATAGGCCATGGTCCTATTTATGAGATCCCAAAGAGATCCACAAAGTAGAGGTGAAAATAGACTCTCAGAAAGGCAGTAACAGAAAGGCCAGATATTCTACAGAAGCTCAGCAGGGACTCAGGCCAGGACAGTGAATGACCCAGAATTTGTTCTTTAAACTGTTTTTCTTGCTCACAATAGGTAGCGAGGAAGCCATGGACAAGCAGATACTGAGTTTTGGATTCTCTCCCAAACATCTTGAGAGATAAGGAAGCGCACACAAGCATGGACGCCTTATCTGAGTTATGCAGATGCTTTCATGTGTGAAAAAAGTTTCGAGACTTCTACTCGGCACAGATAAGATGGCAAAAGCCACTGGATGCCAAGTGATATCTCAAGGATGCTTACAGTGGTTTCAACTAGCAGGATATTCTGGCAACTAAGGCTGTACAGGTGTACGGTGTATGCTGCACAGGGACCCTAGCCAAGGAGTTGTAGGGGAACAAAATCTGTCACCCCCAAAAAATATCTCTGTGGTTTAAGGATTATTTCATAGGTGGGCCTCTGAAGATTGGGTGGAGGTTGCCCTTTTGTTTTTGCAATTTTTTAAAGATTTCATTTATTTTTGCATAGAAGAACTGGGGTATAGCCACCAGAGACAGAGTGGGGAGCAGAACAGGTGGATCTACTGAAATACACTGCTGAGGGGAGCAGCGGGCAAGACAGGAGCGGTCTGCTGCGCCATATGCGGGTTAGCTTCTTGGCTGGGGAATCAAACTCAGGCTGAGGCCCTGGGCCTTCTCAGTGGTGGAGCTGAGACTTAACCTGTAGGCCCTGAGGGAGGCCCAGGTTGCCTACTTGCAAAGAGACATTTGCATGTGTAAAGGAAATCTCCCTTCTGGGGTGTCTCTCTCAAAGCATCAGGAAAAGCTAATCTCTGACTTTTACCAGAGAAGAAAGCCCTTGAGTCTACATAACAGTCCTGCTAGGCCCTTCCCAAAGCTCCCCTTCCCCTTCACCCTCCCGTCATCCTTTATGGTGAGCTGAAGTTGTGAAAGGAGATGAAGTAAAATGAATTAAGCCATTTTGCTGTTACTCTGTGTTAGTGGGTTTCTCCCAAGTGCAGAGAAAGTGCACGTGTTATTATTGAACTTCCCTTATTCTTCTCAATGTCTTGTCTAGTGTCAGTCTGTTGATTTGCCAGCTTAGAAGAACCCAGAGGGAGCCCCCTCTCTCCTTCAGAGGCTAGTAGGTCCTGCCTGTCCCGGTGGGCACTTTTTTCTAATTGGTACCAATGAAGCCAGTGTGCACTGTTAATTCAGTCCTTGAACCACCACAGGTTCTTGTCCCACTAAGGTGTAAAAAGGACTTTGTAGACTTTTTAGATAAGTAAGCATGTTACAGAGCAGGGAGAGGGGCACCCCACAATCCCCAAACCTGCCTGCTCTAAATAGGTTCTGTCATTCTGCCATCTGCTGCATCAAGACAAAACATATAGGGCCGCCCTGGTGGTGCAAAGGTTAGTTAAGCACTGCACTATCAGGCAATCCACAGCCTCTGCAGCATGAGTTCGATCCCCAGCCAGCCAGGGAGAAATTCACCTGGCACTGCAGACCTCTCCTGTCTCGCCCGCTGCTCCCCTCAGCAGTGTATTTCAGTCAGTCTGCCTGTTCGGTTCCCTGCTCTATCTCTGGTGGCTCCTCTCACCCCCCCACTTCTTTGGCCTGTACCCCAGCTCTTGTATGCATAAATAAATAAATCTTTTAAAAAATCTTTTAAAAAAAGACAAAACATATAGACCTTTAATGGAAAGGAACTTTAATACAATTAGTGTGCAATACAGAAAAGACAAAGAATATAGTTTCCAAAGCACCCAAAGTTACCCATCCCCTCGTGGGTAAAAGTCCGCCCAAACGGGATTGGCCCAAAGCAAGGCCCGACCGAAAGCCTTCCCCAAGTCTAAAGCACCTTCTGGTGAGGACCCATAGAAAAGGGTTAGAAACAGAAAGCCTGGGAGGAAAAGAGCAAACTCAAAATCAAGACAAAAGCTGCCATTGTCAACCTCCCCACGGGTCTCTCACCCACGTCTGTGTCACCCAGTCCAGGACCAGGAAGCAAGTGCAGCTTCTTCACGTGTCTCTCTGCCCCACGTGCCTCCTCCAGGTCTCCTTCTGGCTCCCCATCCTGCTCCCTTCCTTCCCCAGGCTCCTCTTCAGCTTCTTCTCCTCCCTGTTCTGCTCTACCCTCCCTTGGGTGGGGCAGGGAACCTGGAACATGCCCCCTTCCCGAGGACCACCCAGACACAGTGAGAGAGAAGCAAACTTTATTCAAAAAAGTAAAGAACCATTTACTTAAAAGAAGAAAACAAGGACTCCCCAGGGCACTGTACCTGGGAGGGGCAAAGAGGCCATTATATACCCGAGTCTAGGGGTTATTTAAACCTTTTTTTTGTCTATTCTAATGTCTCATCATCCTATTTTGTGATTGGCTCTTTCTCCCAGTGCCTTCCCGGCAGATGTGTCCATTTTCCCAGCTCTTATCTTAGAATTTCTCCTTTACCGTCCCTGTCCAAGGTCTTTTAAAATTTACTGTCCTCATTAGCCTTAAAATTTACTGTCCTCATTAGCCCTCCTGGATTTCGACCTCATCTCTGGAGTATGTTTTGGCTAGCACCTCTTTGAATTTACAGCCCTTATCTCAGAAGCCTCTTTAACTCTCTGGAAGTCCCTGCCTGCACTGTCCCTGAAACTGCTTACTTAACCCTAACTTGCCCTGGGACTCACCATTATAAATCTCTGAGCCTAAGAACAGGAGGAAACTGTGCAAAGTTCTTTCTTACATAGGATGCTTGCCGCAAAATATGACAGGAATATATAATTCTGGGGAACCACTCTGAAATTTTGAAAAGAATCATTTCAATATTCATGGAGTTCATTTTTAGAAAAGTTTATGTCTATTTGTTCTTGCATCAGATAAAAGCAGGTGGACGAGTTTTCACTGAATTTGGAGGATATGTTTGAGATAGTCTGGCTTACACTGACTGTAACAGGGTGGTCCCCAGGGAAAAGGGAGGTTCCAGGCTCCCTACCCCACAAAAGGAAGGGTGGAGCTGAGCAGGGAGAAGCTGAA